ATATTAGAAAGAAGCGCGGAACTCTTTGAGCTAGGCCCACAGACCCCGCGCCTCTGTTCCTATTCTGGTATGGGCACAACGGCGTATTCATGGGACGGCTTTGGGGCTCCTCGGAGTCTACCGTGTCAAAGCGCAACAGCTCATTACGCTTGTTCTACATATTATACATGTCATACCTTCTGTGAAGTGTAGCTACCTAGACTAAGCGAGTCCCCGCCTCTGCTATGCAGTTTTATATCTCCAAGACACGCCTCCCCGCCCGAGACGGAATTTTCGTGTCACCCTGAATCTTGAGCCTCCCCCCAGATCTTTTCTTGGATAACACCACTGGTTGAGCAATATCTCAATCTACAAGAAACAATTAATATCGCAAAATCGACCACAACAGTGGCTCCTACAAATCATTTTTAAGGGCACATTTCAAATTTCCGTCATCGGACTAAACAAGGAAGTCACAGATGAATAAAATTAACAAATCATAACTGATCATAATTGTTTGTATTAGCAATGGGAGGATTTCTGGAAAAGCAAAAATTCTATAGTGGATACCAAATAAAACCCGATGCACGTCATCGATCTGGAGCTGTGCGCTGTTGCCAGAATTTGCACATTTTCTTTTGAGCAAATAAATTTAATAAAATAAATTGTTTATATATACCTACCATTTACTATAATACCATTATATTAAAAATAAATAAACTTGTTGTAAAATTAAATTCCTTTCTGAATAAAAACACCTGATTTGGTAGATATTCAAAAACACAAAATACTTAAAGAACATAAATTGTTTTCTTGTATTTTAATTAATTTGATTATTTATTTATGATATGGGAACTACAACACTTTTTCAATTCACATCAAAGAGAAGAAAGAACTCGGGTGTTGCGATGTTACACAATACCGGCAACTAGCGGCAAGGAGTACTCTTTATCGAGCCTGATATTAACCGCATGGTATGGTTCAGTTGTATATCAATTCCGGAGTTTTATTACATTATACAGAATATATTTTGATGTTTTAACTATTCTGAATCACTGGAATCAGTAGAGTCATCGTTAACATGGATAATAAGGGGAAGAATTTCCTGTCTATCCGTTACTTGTTCCCTTCTATACCATTTCATAATTATCTCCTCTGTATGTCTAATGGAGTTCTTCCACATATCAGGGGTAATAGTTTGGAGTGCCTCTTGCCACATTTTTAGGCAGTCATTTTCAGTGTGGCCATCTCTTCCAATATGCCGATTATAGTAATTTTTTGCAATCCCCCAAATTAGCTCAACTGGGTTAAAAATACAGTGGTATGGAGGTAACCGTAAAACTTTATGTCCATATTGTTCTGCCAAGTTATCGACCACATACATTTTGGTTAGTTTATTCCTAAAAAAAAATAAATAGGAACAAAATGCATAAAGATTGGGTATTCTGCTCACTGTGCAACAATCGTTAGAAGTTCAGATTTGAATGCTTCATGTGGATACAGCATTTTTTGTTCAGTTAACCAATTCTGAATTTCAGCCTTTCTCCATGAGCTATTGGGAGTTTTTACTAATAACATGCTATGGCATGATGCATTATCCATAACAATCACAGAGGGTTGGGTCAAGTTTATTAGTAATTGATTTTCAAACCAATATAAAAAGTTTTGCTGGTTCATTTCACCATGGTAATCATTAAGCTGGGTTTTCGATGAAAATATGAGCGACGCACCTTCAAAAAATCCATTTTCATTGCCAGCGTGAACTATGATATACCTACAAATACATTTCATTTTTATATAGAGCTTATTTTTCTATACATTTGAAAGCCTACCTTTTTCGATCAACTTTGGTACTTCTAACACTTCGCTTGTCATTATCTTGCCATGAACGGTGAACGGTGCCATTTTGGAAAATCCAAGTCTCATCTAAGAAGACAAACTGATAAATAGCCTCTTGTTTATTTTGTACGTATGATCTCAAAAAACTAACACGTTTGGGGTTATCTTTCTCCCATTTGAAGCCTATTTCTTCTAATAGTCTGCTTAACGACATACGACTGCCCTCAAATAATTGCTTAGCTTTTAATTGCTCCCACAAGCCAGACAGTGTTACATGTTGTTCTACAAAAAAACAATTATACATTCTCTAATTCAAAATATGTTTGTTGGGCAACTTACTGTTTTCATACATGTTGTAAATATTATTACGAATACCACTTGTATTGAGCCTTGAAATATTAGTGACTCTCTTTGGAGTACATCGTTTTTTAGGAGGCGATTGTAAAACTTCTTTATTTTTGACTGCCTGTGAAATACCACTTATAGTAGACACATTTAATTTCAATGCTGCTGCTACACGCTAAAAATAAGAAAAAGAAGATTAACCTTAATGTTCCTATTACTTATGCTATCAACAAGCGTAAACTCGCCTCCCTTACAGCAGTTAAAGGCAAAAGTGGGCCATTATTATCCCTTTCCCGTTCGAAGTATTCTAATAAGCATGATATGAGCTCTTTACACCGACTGTTAAGTTGTTTTGGCATTTTAGATACTTTACACCACTTCACAGTAACTGTTGTTCTGAAAAGAACAATTTTTAATTGGCAAGGCAACGATTCAAAGCTCAAATAGCGCAAAACTCACAAACTAAACAATAAAGAACTAATAGTACGACAAAAGGACAATGGCAACTGATGTCAACAAATGAGAAGTGGCAACCTCACATTTCTCTGCACGGCACTACCAACCGAATCGAGACGGGGAAATTTAAACTTCAAGTAGAAATGTCACATTGAATGTAGTCAACTGTTGGTAACCATGATTTTTATGAATGACATCACCTATGACGTGCATCGGATTTTATTTGGTATCCACTATATATATTTGGTTTCTGCCTAAAGGGGCTGAACCTACCAGTATGTCTACAAAGTAAGAAGCATGTAGACCAGAATGCAGTTTTGTATAGACACAGAAAGTGGAACTACATACTGGTGAAATACTTTTCAGAGCTAATGAAATTAGTTGCAAGAAGGATAGATAGCCAGCGCTAATTTCGTAAACTAAACGTTTTTCATATTGATATTTTAGATGAGAATGTTCAGTTTCCAAACGTAGCTGTTCGGTAGCTAAGCACTTACGGCATGTCTATTTGATACCAAACATCCAACCTACCATATCAGAATTAATCAAACAACCTGCTTCTCCCTGAATATTGAAATTTGAAAGAAATATTTTGCTTTTCACAAGCCTGGAGATATATTACAAATAAAGATGTAATCTGCTTTGAAAATCACACCATATTGGGAATTTAATTAAGCCTACACCTGATCAACAGCAATAACCCACCGCCACTGAAGGCAACCAAGCCACGCGCCTCTATCGAATGCGGTACCTTTTATCTATAATTTATTGCTCGGACATTTTACCTTCCGGTATCAATCCTGCTTTTTAGACCGTCTTCGGTGCTAATACAACGTTGCAATTCGGTATTTTTGGAGGCCAGAAGATGCAAGAGGTATGTGCAAGTTGGATGGCTCATCTTTGTACATAAACATTCAAAAAACGGTTCTCATTTTCAAAATTTTTTGCGATTACAATGCTTCCTTAGCAGTGGCGTGAGAAGTAAACGGATGTTTCAGCAAATGTTAAAAATAGGTAAATATGATAATGCTGATAATAGAAGAACGGTCAGCAGATTTAAGTATTTTGTACTATAACATTAATTTCAAGAAAAGCAACAACCACCACCAACTACTTATAATTAGAAGTACTTCTCCTCTCCTTCAGTCTATGTCTAGCTACAACCATATAATAGTCTATTATAGCTTTATTAAGTTGCAGTCTGAATGTTGATATCTAATCGAATTCATCAACATGAAAATATTTGACCTCTGACTACATATAATTTCCCTTTTTTCTGTAGGAAAGTTCACATTTCAAATTTGAATTACGCGGCAACCGTATACCGCCAGGAAGTGGGAAGAAGTCTTGATCAGCGCGTTCGGCGTGCGGGTTAAATAGTCACAATGGAACGTTGGACCGGAGCACACCGTGCTTTTGCTGTCAAGGCTTACTTTAAGAGTTGTGATTCATACTGTCCTTCGGAAATTTTGTACACGATACAACATTCGCCGACCAAGAGATGCCCCAAGTAAGAACCTATTGAAAAAGTGGATTAAGAGGTTCCGTGAAACAGGCTCTACTCTTAGTCAACCCATTTAACTGGCCCCACACCTACTGTATCAACCGAAGAAAATGTGCGTTGAGTAAATGATTCGGTCATCATCCTCGGCGTTCTGAACGGAAGCATTCCGCTGCTTTGGGAATCCGTAGCTCAACACTGCATGGTATAATGAAGAAAAAATTGGGTTTTCATCCTTATAAAATCCAGTCAGTCCATGCTTTAAGGGAAAATGATTACGTATTATGGAAATCTTGTGCTAACGAACTCGAGAACGTTGTTTTCGGTGACTAGGCCCACTTTCACTTAGACAGTTATGTAAACAAGCCAAATTGCAGATATTGGGCACCAAAAACATCAACAACAGCTACATAGTCCAACGGTGACTGTTTGGTGCGCCATATCCTCTAGCGGTATTATTGGGCCGTATTTCTTTGAAGATGAAAAGGGTCATGCATTGACAGTCAATTCCGAGCGTTACAAGGATATGATTGACACTTTTCTACTCCTATTGTAAAAACAGAACGTCGATTTAACAGAAACACGTGGTTTCATCAACAGGATGGGGCCACAAAAGTGAGATCGAAGTTTGGAGACATTCACTGGCTTCCTAGGTCACCTCTCGCCATGCGATTATTTTTTGTGGGGTTATCTAAAGTCAAAAGTGTATTCCAAAAAGTGAACTTTCTCACTGGACACAGTATAAAGAACTTTTCATTCATTGGAATATTCATCAGTATCACGATTCATTCTTTCTTTTTTTGTTTTTTTATGTGTATATGTTGGGAATTGATACGTTTTTAAAAAAATAATAGTACATTTTATATAAATAATGTCTAATGTTTAACTAAAATATATATATGTACATTTTTTTTTAAATTGTTAATCAATGTGACTAATAATCTAAACTTTTTCTGAGCCTAAGAACCTATACATGTCATATCTAAGATGCTATACGTGGCATATCTGTTTGAAAGCTCCCATGGATCTATGATGTTTATTTTTCAGGCTAGACAAAAGAAGTTCCCAGTACTGCAACAGCTCCTCCAATATGGCGTCGTGTCAGATTCAAAAGCAATAGCTTGTCTCCTGCTGTCCTTGGGTAACCTTCATCCTGCAGCTTCTCAGTTGGCTTTGGATATGCTTTGCAGAATCGGAGCTGGTGAAGAGATCCAAGAGATACTGATCAGTGAAGGAGAGATTATTTCCGCGTTAAAAGTGGCCGGAAGTCAAGGAAATCCCAGGAAGTTCTTGACGTTGGCGGAAAAGTCAGGAGATAGCATGCTCTTCCATACAATCCTGGCGCATTTTAGAAACAACCCTAAATTCGCCGCGACGTTTGAAAAAGGTTTGTGGTTTGTAGTAGTAGTAGTAGTAGAAAGATTTATTTAGCACATTTGGCTACATAAACAGAATAATTGTAAACAACTTAGAACTAGTAAATTCAAGCCATATGGCGTATGATGTAAATGCTGGGCAACCTATAATTGTAGATTTAACAAGTGATTTCTCAATTTTACTTTAAATTTTGTCAAAGTTTTCTGGTCTTTTATCTCCGAGTATAATTTATTATATTCAATCAACCCTTGATGGAATACAGATTTGTAGCATATGTTATACTTTTTGGTCATTAAATGGAAGTCATCTTTATTTCTGGTATTATGTAAATGATGGTCGACATTTGATGATGTTAAATTAGTTAGACTTGATGGAAATATATTATTTTTTACTTTATAAATGAATATCATTACAAGATATTTGAAAAAATTTTTTACATTGAGCCATTTTAATTTGCTAAGCATTTGCCTAATTGGAGTATATTTATCTTTATTTAGTATTATTCTCATGCACTTATTTTGTAAAATTTGCAGTCTTTCAAAAATGGAATTATTTGCTAAATATAGAATAGTCGAACAGTACAAGAAATTTGGAAGAATGATGGTATTATAGATAATTTTTCTGCTATATGAACTCAGACATCCAGAAACTCTCGATAAATATCCCACTTTACTACTAATCTTATTTATAACTTTTTCATAATGAATATCAAAAATTAATCGAGAGTCAACAAAAACCCCCAGATATTTAAAATTTTCTACGAATTCAATATCTTCACCATCAATATTCAGTTGAACAATTGTACATTGTTTTTTTCCGATTAACAAGGCTTTCGTTTCAAGTCTTCATTTATATAAGAGATACCAGTCTGAATATTTTTAGTACTTATATAAATCATAGTGTCATCGGCGAAAATCTGAATTTTGCATTTTTTGACTATGGCAGGTAAATCATTTATGTATAAAATATATCTATTATAATCCTCTCAGCAATTATTGTTTTTCATTCGAAGTTTTTATCTTTCACAGTATCCACAGTACGAACCTTTTTTAGGTTACTTAAAAAATTTAAAGTATGTTATCGGGTATGTAAAAAAAATGGTCACAAATTAAATGAAAAGATAGATAGGTATTTGTATCTATAATTGTCGTCGAACTAGCGATTCAAATTTGCAAAATGACTTTATGAGATAATTTGAAAAAGTCCTGTAAACAAACCTTTGTTTCAGATCCACGACTGATGAGTTACATCCAACAGTATAACCTAATTTTCGATCAAAAGTAAATATTTATTATTAATAAATATGTAATAGTTAATTCCTAAACATGTAATGTAACTGTGATATTTTAAGATTGAATTATAATTAAATTGTATCAATGTAGAATTTTTGAAACATATACAGTTGAAACACAATACTGTACCTTGGCGAACAAAAAGCACCCTAGCGCTCATCCGGAGTTGACGGATAGTCGAGTTCTGCCAAAGAGTCGTTTATTTCAGCTGATCGGAGTCCAGATCACCGAGGACTTGATCTGCCACCCGAATACATTATTCATGCTTGATGCTGTTCATAGGAGGGCTGTTCGACTGATCGATAACTCTTCTCTAACCAACGGGCCTTCACGATGCCGCATTGTGCCAGCCAGACGTACCCATCTGACCTTCCATCCTAACCATGTCGAAATTCGTACATCCAGAATTGGGCGATACGACCGCTCCTTTGTTCCTAGGGTACCGAGCTTGTAGAACAATCTACAAGAGGAGGCTTTTCCCAGTTCTACTAACCTTAAGCAGTTCAAAAATCACATTAACAAAGTTTCTTAGGGATACTCGTAGCAGCCCCGGTGTCCTGGGATTTAGGCTTGCCTGGGCGGGTGCTTCGGTGTAAAAAAATCGGTATCATTATTGATAATGGGCAGATATTTTATTATAAAAATGAATTTTCTTCATACATCATAATATATTTATATACATAGTACATCACAAAATGATAATCTCGCACAACTATACAGGTTCACTGATATTGTTTTTTCTTGTACTGCCAAATCACCCTAACGTATAATCTGATACATTTTTAAAGTTATTTTGAGTTTTCTAAAGCGCCACTTTTTTGTTTGTTGTTGAATCCCCGAGATCAAATTGGCGTCAGGATACAGATAGAACAGTATGAAGAAGCGTATTGATTGACAGGCCTCTGAAAGGTAATTAGTTGTAGCCCATCTCAATACAATAGAATAGATTTCGAACAATTCTTTGATAAATATACAATATACAATTTTTTCTCAGTACTGGACTTACAGAGACCTGCCCTGAATCGAAATAAATTATCTTGTACGCATAATTAGACTAGAATCTCTCTTAGAAATGTCCTTCAAGGTCAGGTCTCATTCGAGTTCTTTGTCTCTCCTCTTGCTTCTTTGGACTTTTCAATGCTCTCATCATAACACCTTTCATCCTACACTGAGGACATATGTGACCAGTCTCTGCAGCATTGATACAGTTCAAATGGAAGCTATGCCCGCAGCTCCATACTTGAGTTTGAAATCTGTCCTCCATCACTTTTTGATAGCTTAGAGTTTTTTGACATAAGCTGCAAGTCAGGTTTGAGACTGACACGCCTTTACGACTGGACGATAGCGCCTTTGCAAGACCTGAAAGCAATTGTCTATAACCAAAGAGTAGTTATAACAAGAGAATTTAGAGTAGACAAGGCGCATAAAATTAACTAGAGCTAGAGACGTAACCAACAACATGGCGTCCAAACACGAGTTGTTTTTATTTGGCCAGAGAGATAAGTGCGGTGTTGCCAGAGAAATATTTTTTTAGAAGAATTCATTGTCTATCACTTTAGAGAAAGATGCAACATGGTTTGTTCAAATTTGCTTTGGTTTGGACAAAAATGCCTAGGTAAATAATAAATGTGTGCTTTCATGTAAAGCTTATTTTGCTTGCTGAGCACAGAATTGTCACTGCTATTAAATTCTTTATCCATTTTTGAATATTTCTAATACTTATTGCTTACTACAAATCAATACACAGTCTATTTTATAACTGAAATTATAGCTATTGATTGTAGGTACTCGATAAATTGGAATATTTGAAATTCAGTGGAAAACAAGTGATGTGTTGACATACATATAGTTGTAGTCACCGTTCCTGGCGGGTCAAAGTAAGACTACCAGTATCCCTTTATATATTTCCATCTCCCTCATACATACACGTGCAACCTACCCCTGTGTGTCAACGTTTGTTTGGTAAGCTCAAAGACAAACGTTTTTTAGTTGTGTGTCTCCGTCCCGAAAACTTTGTCGTTACGTATGAGTGCCCTTCAATAATATTTGTCAGAGTGACAACTTTCTTGATATGGGCATGCAATTTAGTTGTCCTGTTATCAATCTTCAATATAAAATTGTACAATGCCCGGAAATACGATCAATGGAGAAGGCCGACAGGTCGTGTTCAATTCATTAGAGTATTTCCAGGAAGAAAATGAAAACAGCGGTCCCCTGTTATCCACTTCATGCGTACTGGAGAGAGTGAAGGTTAGTCTGCGCAGCAAATGTGGATAATTGCCAAAGGGTCGTTTAAACGAGTTTGGCAAGATAAAAACGTATAGACTTTGAAAAGCGGCCAACCAGGGTACCGACAAGCGCTTTGTTGTTCTCCATGCTGGGACCAAAAACGGTTTTTTGAGAGATACTGCATTGTTATTTGCTACAAAATCAAAAAGTGCTGACTACCACGATTCCATGGACAAAGATTCTTTAAAAAAATGGGTATTTGAGAAGCTGATACCAGCGTTATAAGTGTTATCTTTAGTAATCATGGATAATGCCTCTTATCATAGTGCCTTAACAGAAAAAATGCCCAATTCCAGTTGGAGTAAAATGCAATTGAAGTAATGGCAGCAAGACAAAAAGACACATTTTGATGATGACGCTTTAAAACTCGAGCTTTTAAATCTATGTCGCCCTAATAAACCATCGGCTCGAAGATATATCATAGACGAAACATTACATGAACATGGACATTCAGTTAGTCTGGGGAATAGCCAAACAGTACTATGATCGTCATGTTGGGGAAAATGGCTATAGTTACAAGGAAGTTCGGGACGATGCTCTAGCGGAGGTGACTCCTACAGTTTGGACCAAGTGTGTGAAACAAACCGAGGACTTGAATAAAAACGACTGGGACAAGCATCAAGTATTTAATAGGGAGGAGACTAATATAATCATTCACTTGTTCACAGTTAGGAAAATTAATATCCGCCCATGGTACGGAGACTCGATCTGTTTACTTATTTCATATGGCGTCGATGACGTAAACTTCCAAGAACGGTGACTATAACTATAGCATCTTCTATCTTTGTCGGGCACCTTATCACTCTCTTACGCACTTTTATATGATCTAAACATTTCGTGTGTTCTATTCGGGCAGTGTTTCCGGATGTTCGGAAAATTCTCAGATATGCTAAATTTCAAAGGCCAATCAAATTAAATGTGGTTATATACCATCGTTAGTAGTGAAAACATACCTCCGCGGGCAAATTAATGTGTGGATTCAGCCGCGTTTGGGATCGGCTTACGTAGTGTGACGTACAGCTCAGTAAATGGTACAGTTAAGACAGTCTGTTTACTTATTTCATATAACACATTGTAATGTAACCGCCAAAAACTGACACTAACTTACTTTATCCAGCTCAGTACAAATGTACCAGTTTCTAAACATTTTCTGTTAGTTTGGCGACATTGCCTTGGTAGAAGCAGAGTCATCTATGAGCGAATCGCGAAACTAAGGGCGCTTTCTCGGGACATGTCGCGCCATCTATGAACGACCCGTCAAACCAAGGCATGCAGTCCAGACCAAAGTTTTTTCGCTACTTAGTTTATGTGTGCAGTCAAGATGCGGTACGACATGCACCCCCAGGAATATTGCAGATGGTGTATTCACATTTACATCGACTAGCTTTCGTAGTGAGAACACCACCTGTTGGTTTTTGGTTGGATTTAGCAGAAACTCACTCGCATCAAACTATGCCTTAATATCCGACTGTATGGCTTCCATTCTCGATGTTACTTCATCCAGAGAGCCCTGCAGTAAGGGAAATAGTGGTGTCGTCCGCGACAAGGTTGAAAGTGGCATGTATGCTTGCCAAAGTCAGGTTATTAATGTACCCAATACTGAGCCCTGTGGAACTCCGATGGACAGTTCCTTTTCCTGAGACACGACTTCTCCCACTCTGATTAGCTGGGCTCTATTTGCCAAATATGACGTAAAGAGGGAAATAGAAATACGTTCAGAATTCTATTCACAAAATCTAGTATAGCCTAAGCTGTTCTTATTTTTACCAAATGTAAATTGAGAGCTTGCTACCTGACAAGGGTGCGAGAAAGACAACATAGATTGTACTAATAGTACTTACCATGATGTAGATCCTTATCAAGTAGCTTTAACGTAGTTGTAAGCATCATAATGTCATGGTTGTAGTCATTCAGCATCCCTTTGAGCAGGACCTTAACATCTCCAAAGTTGGCATTGGAAACGAGATCCAGCAGCTGAGTCGGTGGGACGTGCGGCGCTGCGGCATGGAGGAGTTGTCTCAAGGAAGTACCGGAAGTTGTCCGTTTGTTTTGAAGAAGCGTCAGCCATAATTTCTGAGCACCTGAAGAGGAAATCTCCGACGATATTATAATCAAAGCGATTCACAAAACTGATATCGTTCTACACAAAATAGACCTCACTATTTTCATTATCGAACAGCCACGAAAAAATCGTAATAGGACTGTGGCTTTCTGCTGGAGATGGATTTTGGACTGGATGAAGCTAGTAGTATTCGTCTTATAGCCACAACCCTTGCTCCGTTACATATTTAATATGTTTATATTCCACACTGCTTAGTGAAATATGGACGCTGAAAGCGCGGAAAACCACGTATTTGTTTGTGTTGACGATGTACTATTTAAGGGCTCGGATATGGTCACGAAGTTTCGCTACTAAAACTTGGAGCACCTTTAGTATGGGAGTAATATTTTTAAATCAATTCAAGCAGCACTTAACATCGATCGTATTATAGCTAATCTTTTACTTGATGCTCTTGATGCGCTCACAATACTTAAATATTTCTCTTAACTCAGGTGATTACCCAGAATTTTCATAAACATCGATACTTATTTGTATTTATAAAATGAGCTCCAAGCGATTTATCAGAAAATTATAGACCCTTAACTTTAATTACTGTCATAGCAAATTAGATTAGGAGACTTTCTAAAAGCCAACAAAATTATTAGTGGCAACTTAGATTTCAATACTATTTTCACATTACTCCAACAGTTATGCTCAAACTTAAACGATAAACAAATTTCAATAGCTCTTTTTTGATAGTTCTTCAAAGCTTTTGACTGTGTAAATCATCATATGCTATTAAAAAAATTGAACAAATCTGGTTGTACTGGATCTTCACTCAAATAATAATCGATCTCTAATTGTGAAATTATCGAGACATATTTCAAATAAATTGAACATATGCACAGGGGTACCTCAATCAGTATTAGGTCCAATCCTATTCTTGGTGTATATCAACGATTTATTAAACTTAAGCATAAATGGTAAATTCGTAGTTTTTGCTGATGATACCACAATACTTAGGCAAGACAAATATATAAATGAAATTAAGACAAAAATTGATAGTGATATACAGGGTGCGTTATCTATTACTTTTTTTTTTATTTGAAAAATGAACACGCTTTTTACGAGGTGAAATCGATTATTTTTATTGATAAATGAAGGTTGGTTTATGACATCTATGTATGAAAAATAAGTCATGTGACCACCGCGGCTTCGTTTACACGCCAACATCCGACCATCAAAATTTTCAATGGCATTTCCCAGAATAGTCGAGTCTATGGCCGCAATTTCAGTCCGAATATTGCGCTTTATCCGGGGACCATTCGCATACACTTTTCCTATCAAAAATCCCCAAAGAAAATAGGCAAGAGGTGTTAAATCGCACGATCTCGGGGGGCAACTGACATCTGAATTTCGTAAAATTATGCGGTCTTGAAATTTCGTGTGCAATAAGGCGATTGTTTGGCGACATGTGTGAGCCGTTGCTCCGTCTTGATGAAACCAAAGATCGTCGGCACCAATACGATCCAATTGTGGCCACAAACAGTCTGTTAACATGCCGCGATAACGTTCCCCGTTGACGGTAATGGCCTTTTCTTCGACATCTTCAAAGAAGAATGGTCCAACGATGCCACCAGCCCATAATCTGCACCAAATAGTCACTTTTTCAGGATGGAGAGGTTGTTGATAATATTGGTGTGGATTTTCAGCCCCCCAAAATCTGCAATTTTGCTTATTTACGTACCCATTGAGGTGAAAATGAGCCTCTTCAGAAAAGAGCACTTTGGCCGAAAATCCGTCTTCTCTTTCCAGCATCCAATTAATAAAAACACGCCGCTGTTGATGGTCTGCCGGCTTCAATTCTTGTGTTAGTTGGATTTTGTATGGATGGAGGTGTGAATCAATGTGTAAAATACGGCGTGAAGTGGTCTCACTAATTCCTAATTGTTGCGAACGGTGGCTAGACGAGGTGGTTGGATCTTCTCGCACACTTTCACTGCGGCTATGTTTTACGAGTACGAGCTGGACGAGCATGTTGGTATGGTCTACGACCTTCAGCTGAACCAGTTTCCTCAAAACGATTAACAATCCAACGAATTCCAGGCTCTGTAGGGCGTCCATGTCGACCAAAACCAGTGCGAAGTCTGCGAAAAGTATTTTTTATATTTCGACCGTTTTCGCAATAAGTTTGGATAACCAAAATACGTTGTTGTGTTGTAAACGAATCCATATTTATAAATGGCATACCTTTGACAATTCATTTATGCATACCACATGACTTTTGACTCACATGGTAACACATAAACTTATAGGTAAAAAAAGTAATAGATGGCGTACCCACTACAATCAATTAAAAAATTTTGTGACAATCACTTGACTTTCAACGTTAATAAGACAAAATTTATGATATTAAAATTCTCCCTCGATTTTATAAATTCATATAATGAATTGATACACAATACGGAAACCATCAAATTTTTGGAACTGAACATTTTTCATAAATTAGATTTTTCTAATCATGTAGATAAATTGCTTACTCTTAGCAAATAATTATTTCATTATAAAAACAATTAGTTACAATATATGGAAAATCACAGCTTTAAGCAGTTACTTTGCTTTATTTGAAAGTAGATTGAGATATCGCATCCCCTTTTGGTGTGTCTGTTCACAAAATTGTTTAAAAAATGTCATTATTCCACAAAAACGAACTATCAGATTTGTAACTAAACGCAACCCTAGAGCTACATAATTTGTAAATCTTGAAATAATGATTGTATCATTGTTCGTTTTAGGAACAGCAATTCTTATTTTTAGAAATAAATCTAAATTTGAAACATTAAATATAGGTTACATCAGACGAAAGCAAGATCTTAAATCGGTAGTACCTAAAACAACACTTGTGAAAGACTCAATAATTTATAATGTATGTCTCCCTAAGGAATTAACAATTTGAAAATATTCCGCCGTGAACTTGGAAACTTTTTAATATGTAACACGTATTATACCTTGTGTGAGTTCGACAATTCTCCTACTTAAGAGCCACTTATGTAATTTATTATATTATAGTTTAGTTTCATGTTAGCTTTGTCATTAAGAATGATTGTATGCTTCAAACAATAAAGCATATTTATCTATCTATTACTTTATGGACCTGCCTTCATTATCTAGATGCTCCGCCCCTCTAACACACAAATTTACGGCTTCGTTGATAAGATCCTGCTCCAGCAATAACTCTAATGCCTCCATCCACTCCCCACCATGCTCCAGCATCATTGCCGTGGCCGCATGCACTTGGTACTGCTTGGTTATCCTCAAAGCCTCATCATTCCTGCACGTACTCGCCTGCAGGTACGTACACACTTCGTCTTTGTTCCTTTCACACAGCAGTCGCAGATACGTTTCTGCGATATCGGGAGGCACTTTGATGTCACTTGGGATGATTTCGCTGAGAAAGGAGTATTGTAGGTCGGGGTCTTCGTTTAACATTGAGGTAAATTGAGGTACGAGGTCGGGGAAGTATTGGATCACCACTTCTGCGGATTTTTTACTGTTTACAGTACACTGAAACAAAACGCGATTCTCAGATTAATTGAAAGCATGACGAACGTTCATCGCATCCGATTATGGCTTTTTACTTTAGTTATTTTTGAAATGATACTTTTCATGTACAGGGTGCGGCAACATAACTTCATTTTTTAAAATGCGCGTCACTCAGTCGGTTGTGCTCTTGTTTGAGAGGCAGGACACTTACATCTTCATCATCGGTTGGAATAGTGAGGAGCGTGCTTTTGTCTTGAGGCCCCTACTTTTCGAGCGGATGTTCTGTGATCGCAACCGAGCGCGCCTTTCGGAATCGCTTTAGTTCAGCCCGTTGACCCCTGTTCCGGACCGGAAATGAACTGTTACGTGGGTCACTACGTTCGGACAAAGTGCAAGTGCGACAAGGAGTCCCTCAGCACATTGGATCACTTGAAAACGTTGAAGCAGTGAGATCTTCAATGTTGCGATCACCAGGGCGTCCTGCGCACAAACATGCGTCTGCTCTTGGACATTCCAATCATTCTGTGAGGAGAATTCTTCATGATCTTCATTCCATCACCAACTTCCGCACCGGGTGCCACCCAAGGTAGCTACGCCACTGCTGTACTCTATCTTGAATTTGGATCTACTGTAATATAGCCTATCAAAATAATGAATACTTACCAAATATTTAAAATGTACAATGAACTGTTCTCGTATCAATCTCTCCTCTACGTTCATATAATTGAGGATATAATTGAAAACCTCTTGTTTCCGTACAGGATCTTTGAGATAACATTCTACAATATTCGCGTAATCTCTTTTCACTTCATATAAAAATTCACTAACGCGGTAACACTTTGAGGCTAAGGATGTTTTTAAAAGTTCATCAGCCTTCAAGTGACTCAGTTTGTTGGCATTTAGGAGGTCCAACCAAGTTTGCTCTCTTTCCGAGTGATCCCGAAGGCTCAGCGACGTTTTGACTGATGTCAGTGAGGATATTATTTCGTCTAGCATGTTTTTGTCTATTTCCAAGTTATTCTGCACAACCAGTCTAGATATGAAACATATAACGTTGATCTTCTGGCTTTCCTGAAAAAAAGTAGTCCATTTTCAGACTTGAGAATAATCTTATAACATCATTTAGCTTACAGTAAACTCTGGTCTTTTAGCTAGTCCAGCCAAAATCCCTACCAGTCGCCTCTTCCTTTGAATACCCATTTCACCCAAAAACTCCTGAGCCTCATTGAACGCTAACCCCACTACATTCAGGAACTCTCTAGTACTGTAGTGAAGCAGTGCTCTTAGGTATGGATACGGAGCTTCACTGTCACTGGCAGCTGGTGAATGCGACGTTTCGAGACATCGTAATACGTCACTTCGAGCCACCTGCGTTTCGGAGGGGGATAACGTGCCAGTCGGATATGCAAGACCTATAAGGAGACAAGGAAACATTTATTCATTGATTTAAATATTACCAGAAGATACCCAACCATATATTTGTATTTGGACGTCCACTTACAATCTCAATCGTCGGTTCGTAAGCTTGTTTTCGCGCAGGCAGGGCTTTTAGTAGGTTTGGGTATCTTCTAGCGGAATACCTCAGACGTAATTGAATATATATATATATATATATATATATAAAGAGAAAATGATCATGTGGAGAAAGGTATATAGCAAAAAATAAGAAAATAATGGGCAAAATCTGCAAAAAGAAGGAAAGTGGATTCGAGCAGAAAATAGGATAGGCAATGAATGCACATATGCAACCATAAAAGTAGATACATATGCCCATACATCCGGATACGGGTGTAACCTGAGGAAACGAAGATGTAGAGGAAAAAAATAACTCAGAAAGTCCCCAACAAGAGCCAACCTAAACATTGTAGTATAAAATGGCTAGAAGACCTCGAATTTTCAAGGCGACATCTAACCACAACCACGCGGCTGGTTATAGCCACTTGCTGTGGCACTTCAAGCCCAAAGGATCTACAAAGAGAAAATGATCATGCGGAGAAAGATATATAGCAAAAAATAGGAAAATAATGGGTACTTTACACTAGCTCCATGCTAGCGGTGCCAAGGGTTTAGTCTAGTCATATGAAAATTACAGTCGTAGATGGAAAATGAAGAAAAATAACGACATGAAAAAAAAACAAAGAATAGCTGAAAACTGAGGCACGCGGATATGAAAAGATGTAAATAATTACCTGCAAGACACGATGAAATATACACCAACAAGACATTTCCTAACCTATGATTCTCTGGGGTTAATTCGTTGAGGAATTCCGTCAGAGGACTAGCAAAATCTTTTAGAGTCTTTGTCGTAATGTATATCCACGCATTATATAACTTCGACTTCTTACATATTTTCAACACTTGGTGCAAATCTAAGCAGGTGACGTCTAGGGATAGCAACACTTTTTCTAAAACCTCTGGGTCCTTTTGATCCAGATAAGTCACTAGTGATTGAGCCACAGACGGATATAGATAGGTCAAGTTTTCGTTTATTATATGGTCTGTTAAAAGGTCGTAGTAGTATTCGAGGTTGCTATGCTCTGTAGATACTGCTTCGAAGATGTCGTTACACAGTATGGTTCTGACAATAAATAAATAATATCAATAAAAGAGCACAAATAACTCAAGTTGCAATACTTACATTTTTTCTAACTTAACGCAACATCTAACTGCAGCTGTGAGACTCTCCTTATCCACAGCATTCCTATTTAAACTTTCCAGATATTTGGTAAGCAACGTAACAGCGTACGTTTCTCTGGTACATCCTTCATCTGCAGCTAAGTTCAAAGCTTCAGTCCATCTGTTTTGCTCGCTTAGATACAGAAGCCTTTCAGGCCATGATCGCAATTTAACTAAATGCACAGCTCTCGTACCTAGGATGAGGAGTTGGTCTCCCCGACTTGAGATGCTATTATAACAAGCTCTTTCTCCTAAAATGGACAAGCCATATGGATTGTAATTTCCAAGGATTTTTTTTACATAACTATCGCTGACTTTCGTTTTGAAACCACACATATGTAGAAGTGACTGTTTACTGACGGTGGCCTTGTTAAAAGTACAAATCAAATGACAATATCTCTTCTATACTTAGAAATATTATAAAGAGAAAGTGTCGATGTTTGTTACTCAATCACACCAAAATGGCTGAACGGATCTGGATTTAATTTGGTACAGTGATATATCATAGTCTAGAATAGCACAGAGGCTATATTTTATTCCTTGAAATAACATTGAAATATCTATTTCACGGACTACAGCCCAAACGGCTCAAGAGTAAGGCTACATAAATAGGGCATTTGCATCGTGAACTTACGGCATTTCGACATTCGCTTTCTTAGCGTGATCACCTTGATTTAGATTTGCTTGGTGTTTTCTTTTACTCTAAGTGTAATCTATATTCTTTCTGTATGATTTTTTTTCTAGAATTTTTGAAACTACTGGTAACAAGCTGATAAGTCCAAGATGTTTAAGTTCCGTAGAATTTGAGATTTTATAGACAGTTATAATTAGGTCCAGCTTCCAATGTTTAAGGTTGTATCCTTCTTCTAAATAAAAATTCATCATGTGAGTGATATCAAAGAAAGTTACCTATACGAAGACGTACTTTGGCAATAGTTATTGATAAGGTGTCAATTATCTTAGAGATCGTATTTGAGGTCATCGACAAATTACGTTTGTTATCCTAAGGGCCGTATCGTCAGTCATTCCTACAGTCGTAGGATGTCTTTATGGCCTCCTTGATTTGAACTTGAACTCGAACTATTCTAATGAAACCTTTTTCTAAAAAAGGTTGCCAAGTTGTCGAGGTGTATAAGTTCGCCGATAAGACTGTGCCAATAATATTCCTCATGTGTAAATTAGGTATTGTAAATATTTTTACGTCTTTTGGTATTGTGGTTCACACAAGATGTGGACAGACTGGAGAGACCTCCACATTTAAATATTGTTTATATATTGTTGCATTAAAATGTTGAATAAAAATATCTATTACCAAAGTAACTGAATATTGCATTCTTTTCGCCGAAACTATCTTATTCAAAATAATGCAAGACAAATAACCTATACTTTACACTATTTTCACGAGAGCGGAACCGCGGGTTTCGCGTATTTATTTATGAAACATATTGTCATAGTCACATATATATATATATATATATCGAAGTTGAGTCATTTATTTTAACAGTGAGTAGATCTGATCAAAAGAAATGTTTTTTCCTTTACCATTTTTCTGGTAAAATTAAAGTAACAAAGTTATAGCCCTTTGGAAGTTTGAGTACCGCCCTGTAACTCAATAATAATATGTGCTCGTGTTTGGCAACAACAAATATAATCCGCCTTATCGGTTCATCGCATCGGAAACAAAAAAGCGAAAGAATTTGGAACGATGTTTTTACAATTATTTTATTCAGTTGTGTCAGTCGGTAACGCGTGAGTGGTGTCTGTTGCGTGGCTTAAACGAAATCAAAAATGGCACATGTTTACGAAAATGCTGAACTTGTGGACATGATTCTTATTTACGCGGCATCACAGATTTTGCGGATCGGTTTCCCAATCGAGTGCAACCAACCCGGTGCTCCAAGACCGCACGATCAAATACAGGTCCGCACTGAAATACTTGTCGGGAGGATACTTTATAAAACAAGGTAACATTTTTTTTTATTTTTTTTATTTTTACACACATATTTTGGTTTATCTTCCTTCTACAATCATTATCTGAAAATTAATGACTCAACTTCAAAGTCACCCATATATATATATGAGAAAATATTGTCATATATTTTATAAATTTACTGTCATTTCATTTGTATTTTGGAAAAGGCCACCGAGGTGGTAGAAACATCAGCAAATAGACAATTCTACATATATGTGGTTTCATTTTATGGCCAGAAAAACATGGAAAATAATCAACATGAAAACCACAGTATGAGTTTCAGATGTTACATTAAATCAATGTAAATTTGGACACTTTCTGTAAAGTACAGCAGGAATGGAGAAATGTCAGAGTTTTTAAAAAAAATCAGGTTTGAATTTTCAATCCCTTAAAAAAGTGGTGAAATATAAGAAAATCATTTAATTACAGTGTAGTATCAACCCATGGATCATTTCTGAGATGTACAACAAAATACAATGTACAATGAGAAATAATACCTGCTAGAGCAAAAGCCTCACTGACACCTCCACCGACTGCTAGCGCCTTGAAATGAGCAGAACTATATACCAGACCTGCATTAGCTATCTCTAAAACCTCCAGTTCTCTTTGGCTTCTAACTTCAATTAATCTCAGATTTTCGCTTGTGTCCATTATAGCCAAGTGTCTAGAACCTAAAACGTATTACAAAATAAGAAGTTTATACATGGATAAAAATATAAGATGGTAGACTCTTGTTCGTCAAATAAAGCGCTAGCTTCAAAAATGGATGGCCCCGACTGGGTTTTGATAATTCAGTAGCGGGGCAAATGACATACCATCGTCGAGCAAGAATTATTCTTTGAGAAGTCGCTACACCTCGAAGCGTTAACGAGCATAAAACTAGAGCAAATATTAAAGTATGCATAGTTACCTAGCCAATGTAAGCCCATCATAGTATATGATAACTGTACACTTCTTAAAGGCACTAATCTAATCCTATGGTTGTTGTAGTTATGAGTGATGACCCTGGTATAATGTAACTCGCTGCCTCGTCCCCACGCTAATACTGGTTGGAATGTTTTGCCTACAGACACCATTTGCCATGATATGAGTGGCAATGCTGTGGAGATCCTGGGTAGTTGTTGACTGAAGTAGACTTTCAGTTTCGGCCTTATTGAAATGACAATCACCTATAAAAAGTTGAATATTTGAAGTCACCTAGATTCACTCTGCACTTCCCACGCAACACTATCATTAGTTCATAAAAAGTGTGTTTAACACAAGTTAGCCCCCTTCCAAAAATTCAACTGTGAACATGTATAAAAAAGAATATAACTGATCAAGTATGTCAACTAGCCCCTAATGTCTCTAGCCCATGCTGGGCGGGGCAATGGAAAATGCTTGTTCCAAAATTTGTTGTACTCAGTATATATAACTTCTTTCCGTTCAAGTGATTGTACACGCGTCAACGAATACATCACTAACAAGCAAACAGAAGGTGGTAGACAAGGACCAGTCGATCTAGGCGGTACCACCCGCTAGCTTTTTCCAGAGCGTCTTAAGAATGTCCGCATGTTTCCACACCTAAGCTACGCAGTCCCTTTCTTTCACAACAAAGAAATTAATTATGCATCCCTCGAGTACTAAGAACTCCGGAGGTAAGCTCCATCCGTTCTCGTAATGTCCAGGTGGAGGGTGGACTAGAGGGAGCAACATCGACGATAAAGTCTCTTTTACGAACATATGCAGGATTAACAGAAACACTGATGCTGTTCACCACTATCTGCAGTCTAATCGTCCCGCCATGCTTTTCTTGGCGAAAACCAGAATCTCGAATTCTGTTGCTGCTAACCATATTGGCTTTCCAACTTACGAGGTGCATTCCAATCTGAAGAAGAACTTTGGAGTTCCGGCTTTTGTCCGCAGCAGTATTTCCGGCTACTGAGACGTTTCTTTGGAATCAGGCCAGAAGGACATTCTGTGGCTTAGCCTCAACTCCAATTCTTCCCCCAAATTTAGTTGCTGCATTTTTCGCTCTTCCTCGGACCATAATTGGGATAGCTACTTGAATACCCCGCTGGTAGTTCTTCTAGGTGATTCCAATACCGATAATGAGCTCTGGTCGGGCTGAAACAAGATTGATTCAGCAGGTAGTGCTGTTTGCTATTACCTAAGCACTGTCCCAGCTGGTGACGAGCCCTACTTTTTCTCCCATGTTTCATTCACACACCAGTAGTATGCTGGTCCTCTTTCTTGCCACGTATCCTGTGCTAACTGGAAAAGGCTCATGGACTTCTCTACCTTTTCTTGGTGAGATGATCGTTTCGATGACTCGCATGCGTCGGCTGTCTGTTCGTCAAACACAGAAATTATCCACGTTGGGATGAAGAAACACATCCCCCTTACAGTGAAAGTGCCTAAATCAGGCTCCTACGGCTGTTTCAACAAATCGAGCGACACTGCTCGACTGCAGAGGATCAAGGCACACAGAACCTTCTTACAAAACACCACTTTAGAGACCAGACAAGCCTACGTCGAGTCCAAAAAGAAATTGAACGAAGCGGTTCGCAATACCAAAAACCAGCACGATGTAAAAAGGCACAGGGTAATATACCGGAGCGCAATGGCAGTCGGTCTTTAAGACGCTGGTCTAGTGAAGGCAACTTCTCAAAGAGAAGCCTTCCACCGCTTACCTGTCAGCATGGAACGATTGTAATTGACTCGAATGATAAGGCGGAAGTGCTTGTCAAGATCTTTGCTGCCAGCCCCACCATGGACGTCTCCCCCAACGCCCAAGTGCCGTCGATTCAAAGGGGCCCCCTACACTATAAGGGAAGTAACCTTCTGGCATAAGACCATAAGACGGGTGTCCTTATCGCACGACATCAACAAAGCTTCTGGTCTGGGCTTGATTTCTGCCATTATACTGAAGAGCTGTACAGCAGAGTTTGCTCCAATTCTTCCGCGACTCTTCCAGATATCTTACGAATTCGGCACGTTCCCAGAAAACTGGAAACTTGCCCATGTCCAACCCATCTCTACCGGTGAGCTAGCAGCGACTTCCTCTCTGACGAAGACCTGGAGGTTATCACTACTTGGGAGGGATGTCCGACTTATTGATGACTTTCCTAACCGCGTCAAACTTCTTACACCCAAAACTGGCCGATACGACCGCTCCTTTATCCCTAAGGTATCGAGATTGTGGAGCAATCTACCTGAAGAGGCTTTTCCCAGGTTCAACTAACCTAGGGTAGTTAAAAATTTGATTAACAAAGTTTATTTTAGCTCTTCATAGCAGCCGCAGAGCCCTGGTATTTAGACCTCTGCCTGAGTAGTTACTTCGGTATACAAAAAAAAAAAATGAAAAAAAAACAATACAATTCGTCCTCACTCACTACCAGTTTCACAAGCAACGGCAAGGTTGCTATCAGAATGGCCATGGGTAAGCCTGATAGCACTGAAACACATCTCCATATATTTGCCTCCCATTTCTCGTCAAAGATATTGAAAATCATTCTACTTGTAAGGCTCAGGGCATATATACGATGAAATATATGTGTGAAACATGTCTAATAGATGCAACCATCCACCCTGCATTTGTTATCCCTCAAAACATTCAAGCAACGAGCAAATGTCTCTGAAGCGTAAGAAAACAGGTTTGAGCGCTTTTCATTTTTTCGTCTTTTTCTCGTAGCTTCGGATCTGGATCAATTTTCAAAAACAACAATCATTTCGCTTCTTGGCTTGTAAGTAACCTCGTGACAAAATTCTATCAAAATCCGTCCGTTACTTTGCAACAGGCAGATAGACCGATGGAAATGAGTGACATGGATTTTTGTGATATATATATATATATATAGATGTCATTTGACATCCAAAAAACATGATCTCTCATTTTTGGAATTTCTCGCGATTAACTTACTTCTTCGCCAGTGACGTAATAAATAAAACTCAAATCGCATCACACTTACCTTAGACAAAGTGGCCATTGCAACCAAGACATGCCTGTTCAAGAAATGCACCTCCTGCCCTTTGACTAATGGTTCAAAGACACAAACCTCCCCCCTAGCACCAGAAAACAAACATTTGGAGTCCCATGTTCGCCTGCCAAGCCTTCTGTTAAAGGACAATGAAAAAACGCAACCAGACGAATCACCTACCAGCGCCAGATTGCTAAGGAATGTGAATCGGAGATATAGGACTGCTGTTTGGGGGGCATGAGCGTCTGGTAGTCTTCGGATTACGTCACCATTCGTGGCGTCTAGCATTGATATGTAGCCTCTTTCGTATCTGCAACAACAAAAAATTAGCGTCAAGTAGATTAACTTTGTATTTCCCAAGCAATACTGTTATCAATTTGATTATGTTTGTTGCAACATCTGAAACTTATCCTGTAGTTTTTATACTGAGAAATATCGTATTTCTGGTTGCCGAATGAAGCCACATAATCTTGGATTGACTGTTTATAACGTTTCCGCCACCTGGGTAGCCTTTTTCAAAGTACAAATAACAAAATGACAATATATTTTAAATTTATTAGCAAGGTGACCGAAACGTTTACATGTATGTTCACTTTGTTTCCAAACCTAATGCCATATGAACAGATTTCTAATACACAATATAATTTCCATGATTTTTTAATTCTTGTTTAATATAACGTGGAGTTATTAGTAGTAGTAACTGCTAAAATGAAAGTGAGACAATTTGGAGCCCCAATGAGAGACTCTTGACAGACATATGACATCAATGACCGAGCCTGTGAGCAAACTCTACACCTTCATTTATGTGAAGATTTTTCAGTATCATAGAGAGCAAACGTGGCAACACTGCTAGATGCTGCTAGCGAAGCATGGAGACTGTGGTCGCACAATACTGCCAAATTCATCTCCTTGCTTGGTATAATTGTAATTGGTCAAAAATTTGCTAAAATTTTTGTATATTGCTCAACACGTAAGGAGAGGGCCCCAAAACATTGCAAGAACAGACTATCAAACTATACAACATATATAATTACTAGAATTTTACTGTTCTTCAGAAAAAGTGTATTCACCTATCTATGTTAAAGTAGGGCCAAAGGCAGTGGCGACGCGTGTCTTTTTCTGAACTGTTACCAAAACCAGATGCGAAAAATCTTATGAAAAAAGGTTTATTTTGACCCTCCCAGATATAAGTTTTTGCTTATTTTAGGTATTGTATTTAAACTTTTTTTAAATTAAGGTAAAAATTGCTGGACTGAGCGTCTGGGGCACTTGATATACCTCATCGTCTTATGCTATGACTAATCCAAGCCTTCCGAAAAACAGTAGACGTTTCTAGATGTTCGGATTTTTTTATCTTTTTTGGCAATTAATGTTAACAATTCCCAGTAATTTCCTCTATTGTCAGAGCCTTCCCCTTCAAAATGAGCCCGGAATGGTAATACTTGTTCGGACAAAAAACATACAGCATCTATAAGTGTGCTGCCTAAAAGCTTGGTTAAGACAACTTTCGATTCTTGTTTTGCCGAACTGAATCAAATTGGCTACACATCTCACATGTAAAGGAGAAATTTCATGTCTCCTCTTTAGAACCCTAAAACTATTTAAATCGTTGCTCGTCCACCAACAATACAAACTGTTTTTCTTGCAACCACATAACCAAGAGTTTTCAATATACCAACTAAATTTAAAATATCGAAATTTTTTTGATTCCTTTTTGAAATTATCTAAAATAAGTGTTGGTATTCCATTTTCAACAACATCCTTTTTTTCTTCAAAATTATACAAGGAGAATGACTTTTCAAGTAGTTAATCGATTACGCAGCGACACTCATCCATGTTTAATTGCACGCACACTACGCCGGATACCAAAACGATTACTAACGAGGGAGAAGTGAGTAACCAAAACAAAAAATGGTAACAAGTCCACATAAAAATCGCGGCGGCCCAAGCACTTGGGCGACCGCGATCAGACACGAGCCGGAACCGACGGTGCCCGAAAGACTATAAAGTGTATCCATAAACGAAAATGGTACCAACCGACAACCAAGTCGAGGCGCGTTCGCAAAATCTAGTCAATATTATAGGGCGCATTATTTTCGTGGGGCTAATCTGTTATTTACTAAATTACTAGTACATATTGCTGTTGGTAAACAAATAATGAAGTTATTTTACAGTACTTAGTCATAAATTATTTAGTTTTAAGATTTTTTACTGTTAACAATGGTAACAATGGTTACATGGACGCTTCGCCACTGGCCAAAGGTATTGCTAATACTAACAAAATCATGTTTTCTTACCCTACTAGAACCCTGGTACCTTCCAGATTGAAGGCTAATGCTGACACAGCACCTTGATCTACTGTGTTTGAATCGTGACAGCACCAACACAGGTTCTGGTCCAAATCAAAATTCAGTACATACCCATGTGACATTCCAACAGCTACATATTTGACACTATTTGTTATGACTGTTGGTTGACCTGCATTTACTCTATCCTGAAAATAGTTAGAACTTAAAAATAACAATACTTTCTAACAGTGTTCTAGGTAGAATCTCAGGGAAATACCAGATTGAATTGCTACATATTGTACGCCCTCGTATAACTGGAACTCTGGATAATAGCAAGACACCCTCGGACATCAACCAGAAGAATCAACAGGTGTCCGGAAATATCGACATTTTGACAACCAATCATGCGATCGTGTATCCAAAGAGATCAAGTTGAAGTTCGAGAACATTTGGTGTCATTGAGATGGATCTACTGCCAACTAGACCGCTTCCATGAAAGTTCACGACACGCACTGGAAAATGCTGGAGTATTTCTCGACTCGTCGATAGGAGAATAAATATAGACAGAGATAGCGGATAAATTTGTCATGAATTGGTTGCATGTGTTGTGATAAATTAGTGTAAGAGTAATAAGAGACTTTTAACTAGTAATAGCAGTGTTCTCATTTCAATATGTAATTCCATATGCAAAAAGGTACATCAGCCACTTTGCAGATCCAGGTACAGTAATTTAAAAAATGGACAGTTGATAATTATTGGTGCAAAGAGAGCATTTTTATGCAAAACATGCCTATTAAGCTTTACAGTATAAAACTTACTATATCCTCAACACATTGACTACCTTGTCAGTCACTAGTGACTGACACTGAACTATTCCAATAAAATGATGTCAGTCACCAATAACTGACACTACATAACTACTTTTAAGTTGTTATCCAGTACTGTCAGTCAAGAGTTCTGTGTTGAATTATATTAGGTTTTCCTGACACATAATGCATTAAAATGAATAAAATATTTACTTCCTTAGATATTCCATTAAATATGGCAAAAAAAATGTCTGACATTTTACAAAAAAAAACGGATGGCATTCAATGTGTTAATAATAGGAGATATGTGTTCTATGCCAATGCATACTAATATCATTTTTGTTCGTTTATCAGAGCAATAATGACAAGTTTTAAAGTGTTTAACCTCTATGTTTTCATGAAAAATTACTATTTCCACTGTAAAAGCTTTCCACAATAGTTACATGATTCATAATGATAATAAGTAGTATTTTCTATTAGATTAGACTGTATGATCTATGTCAGTGATGATGGATGGCAAAAAATGTTTCAGTGGCCTTTACAGAGTGGTAAAGTTGTAACTTGTATGAACTGACAAGCTCTTATAAACGAGGATAGCAAATGAAGACTATGAGTAGAATTAATCTTACCGAGGCCGAGCTGATCTGTGCAGATATTCCTCTCAAAATATTGTGACACAGCATTGATCGAAACTTGTGAGACATGGACTGAAATGATAGCAGTGAGGCATTGTCACTACCCTCTGATTCCATGTCCCAAAGGACACTTTCCAGAGATGGTGGGGATACATGGGGGATGTCAAACTCCAGGTCATTGATCTAAAAAAAATCCTGATTGGATTGATCCTCTCTTTAATTCAAAGTTCGAAAAATGAGGAATTTGTGAATCCTATATTTTAAAGTGTATTTATGGACAATTCTTGTTCACTACTTTGAGATGGAACAACTTAGTAAAGACGGGGATCACTTCTTAAGCTCACGTAAACAAGATTATTTGCCGGTTACATTTCTAAATATTTTTGCTCCATATTTTTTGACGAAAAATACACCCACTAACCTCCTTAAAATCCAGTAAAGATTCATCGGAGTCTTCCACCGGAATTTCATCGCTTTCAGAGCCCATTTTGAAGGATACTAAACAGAAATGGGCGTTTTGAAGAGCGATTTCCTGTGATTTTACATTTTTCAATTCAATTTTACATTTTGACCGCGTTTTGACATTTGTTTTCGTATGCCACAATAATATCTCAGCATATGATAATGACACAGAACAAAATAAGAGTATTGAATATGACGCAGAACGACAACTCAGAAGACTAAATACAGTACAAAATATTCCGAGTTTATGTTCTGTAAATGCTGAAAGTTGCCAGTTTGAAAAATGTTGTGGAATTAGAATATAATTTCTATAAAGATTTGAATCAGAATACGGAAAATCAATTCGGTTTTTAAAAATCTAATCTTTTCTTTCAAGTATATTTTTGCTAATTTGGACCTTGGGAGAGGTTTATTCGTTGGACCACCAGTGAAAACTTTGAGCATGGGCAACACTGTAGGAGGTAGGAACTGCAGAATTGCAGAATAGAGAAAAGCCAAGTTCCCAAGTTAGCGAAGACCCAACAGTGCATAAGGAATCCAAGGAATTTATTTGAAAAACCATAATTTTGTAAAAGGTAAACAGAGATAACTTGTTGAACTGTAATAACATTCCTAATATAATATATATATGATCGTCTAGTAATCACATTTACCTTATCTACGTTTCAGTTGGCACAGGAATTCCTTTTATGTCTACTCATCAATAATTTTTGTCACAAACGCATGATGGAAGACTTCTCTAAAATGTCGCACAGCGATAGCGAAATCAGAGACGATGTGATGGATAAGGTGCGCCGACTTAAAAAACAACTCCATATTGAGTTTAAAGCAAAAAGGAAACTCACAACCGCCGAGGATATACGGAAGTTCAAGCGCAAGATTCAGCCTTTGTACAATGAAATTCGTTTAGTACAGGCAGTAAACTCCCACAATACTGAAGAAGTTAAGAAGTTCCTTGAGTGTGGAGTCAGTGCAAACAGTACAGATAATGAGAAAAGAAGTGCTTTACATGTAGCTGTAAGCAAAGGGTTAGTATATTTTGAGGTATTATTCAAAACTGTTGGTTTCAGTGAATATGAATTCATCCACTTGATGATCCAAGGAGGTAGTCTTTTTTCAAAATGTCTGCACAAATACATACCCATTCAGCAGAAGGCAGCTTATGTTTAGGTAAAGAATAGACCTCTAAACTATTTGACCAGAGAAATGAGTTTTGAGATCTGTTGGAGCTGTAGCCTGTTCTTACTTGGATACAGTCTTCTTTCACTTTTCTTTCACTCTGTGAAAAGATTCTATTCTCAATTTCTATAAACCAGTTCTACTCAAAGGTATAGGCTAAGCTATAATATATTAGTAGCATAATCAGATGTTCATGTCAAAAGAATCTACTTTATAGTTCTCACACAAACTTTCTCCATTTCTGCTTGTCTTATCCTATTATTCTAGATTCTTTCCTGTTTATTTGTCTCTTTCTCGTTTCCCTTGCCTTCTTGCTTCCCATACTTGTTTGGTGAGCCTGTTGTCATCCTTCCATCCTTTCTATCTAGGTGTTCACACCATCTAAGTTGGTTTCATTCTTTTCTGGATATAACTAGCTTTACTTTGAGTGTTTAACTTATACATCGTCACCAATACTTCATCTCCATACTTTGCAGTTCACTTCTCATGCTTTTGTTGGGGATCCAGCTATAAATCTACTTTTTTCAAAAAGCTGAGTACTGAGCACAGTCAGATTTGAGCAGGGTTATTTCAGGTGCTGTTTGTGTATATTCAGAAGATTTGTTTTTTAAATTTCTAAGAGGCCTGCAACTGCAACTTTTTCACAGTGGAATTCAGCAGCAGCAATGTTAAAGTTAAAATTGAACCCATATTTTGGCATTATATACATATATATATATATATATATATATATATATATATATATATATATATATAAATATTTTTTTTTATATTTGATTTTGATATATTTTCAAGACAGGCACATTTGTAAGAGATTCAAAAGGTATATGCTTGACACCTCAAACCTACATTTTGTTGGAGGTACAGGTAGGCAACACCAGGTACCATGCTGCTCAAATTTCAAAAAAATACCTACCTGTGTTTAAATTCTATAGCTTTGAAGGAGGTTACAAAGTTAAAACTGCCTGATTTTATGGTGGGACCAATTCTGTTTGGGCAGATCAAAACCTTGATTATGTATTAATGGTCTCCTTTGAAGATACCCTTATTTACTTCACTTTCAGACTATTGCTGTATTCTGTTTATTTTTTGGAGGTTTTATTTTTCGAGTGTAAAGATAAAAATGCAAATCAACATGTAAAGGGGCAATCCTAAATGTGCATCTGCAATTGACTTGAGTTCTGTGACTTGTATTCAGACCTCTGTAATTAGCTGGCCAAGTGATTTAATACTCATGAAACCTCAGTAAAATGGGACGACTACGCTGTGTACCAGGTACAAACCGAGCACTTGGTGCATCTCTAGATGATTATTATTATCATAGACCCCTTACATTATTAAAAAAGTAAGGTATCTAGTACCCTGTCTTCTAAATTGAAGAGCAGCTTAGGTTTTTTAAGAAGTATGATCTTAAGAAAATCAGGCTCCTGTATTAGAAACTTAGAAAATCTTCATAGGTAGTAGCTTAGGAGCTAATGGTCCATATCTGAAAGATATATACCTACATATAAAACAAACATTGAATCAACGTATTGCATAAGTATCTTATTGACTCTCCTACACCTATTAATATCAAGAGATTTCAAACAGTCTGGCAGTCTATTTTTAGATCTTATCTAGGATAATGGGCTGTTGTAGACATAAAACTTGTATGTTGAGGTCTGATGCATATTGCGGTGTTGATTTTATTTTATTCAAGGAGTAAAAGTGCTTTGTTATGTTACTTTGTAATTATACTTTTGTCTGTATGTAAAGAATTATACCCTCTACTATGAAAAGGTGAGAAACTATAAAACAAAAATAAAGAACTGATTGATTTTGTATGGTTATTTTTGGTGTAAATGAAGAGCTATATAAGGGGGGTGAAGGGGTACAAGCGAAATGGAGAAAGTCATACAAACTCTATCATGCACTACCTAAGGACTTTTTATCTGTGGTGCATTGCAAGAACCATTGGGATTGTAAATAAAAATCATTATATTATTTTTAATCTACAGATTACAGCTATTTTATTTAAGACATTTATATGCTGCTGTTTAATCTATGTGCAGGTATGCTGACATAGTAGAGCTTCTGCTGCACCATGGTGCTGATCCAAACAAGAGAGATATCATCCACAACACACCCTTACATTTGGCAGCTTGCATTCACAATTTTGCAATAATTTCCATGCTTATCAATGCAAAAGCAGATGTAAGTTGTTTAGACTTGCAAGGAAGGAGTCCTTTCCATTTGGCATCCAGTAAGCTACAGATTTTGCAGAAGGGATGGAGAGAGGGGGCAATTGAAATGATCAAGTTAAGGGAGGAGTTACAACAGGTAAATTGCTCAGCTGATCTAAGTATTATGTGAGCACTAAAGGTGAGCTGGGGAATTTTTGATGGCATAGGAGGTCTGGAAGATAATTATGTCGGCAATATTCATTTTTTTACTTCTTGGATTTCCAACAACATTCAGTCGATTTTGTTTTACTTGTATAATATGGATATGCTTACATGCTTAGAACCTTACCTATGGATGCTCCTGGTAGAAATGTGTATAACTAAGTAGAACGCAGAATAGCTCCTCTTAGTTGGGAACTAGCTGGTTTGATGTTGATATAAGACATTGGCTTGCTTTTGCTGACATGAGATGGGAGTAATAATTGTCAAAAATCTGCTTACGTAATACTTGAATGGCCCTAATAGGACAAATTTAGTTTTGTCTCCCATTGTTGTAAGGAAATGGTAATCGAGGGTGCTGAAAAAAATATAACCAACAGAAAATCAAAGTGTCTTGGACTGAATTTAATATTGACAATGGACTCAAAAAATGTCCGAGTCGGAATCTGCACACCCAATTCACAGGAAACATTTTCCATCACCTTTTGGCTTGGAAAGTTGAAATGCCATTCAGCATATTCCACAGTAGTACAAAACATGTTTTTTTCATATAACTAGAAGAAAAATATATGGATCTATTCTCTTTCAGGTTGTTGATTTACTGATGTCAGTAGTGATGCGCGGAGTGGAAGAGAAAGTAGAAAAACTTCTCCATTCAGATATAAATGAACTGCAGATGACAAAAATGAATTTGAACTCTGCCAAACCCGAAGAACTTGATAATCAAATGTCCAAATTATTGAGTGACATCGAGAAATTCTCGATCGCTTGAACATGCGTGTGCGTGATTACCTTTTTTTACAAATCAATTTGGTGAGTTTGACATGGACCAGTGTGTAAATGGGCATTCATAAGGACGTCGCTTAATGTTTTATGGATTTTTTGACTGCTAAATACATCATATAACAGAAGGGTTTTTGGTATGATGAAGACAAAAATTCGGATATATATAAGAAAGAATGGTTGTCCAAAAGAGTGTGATCATATTCTGACATTCTATGTTTGTGCAGACAACTTAAAAACTTTAGAATGTAACACCTGAAATTCATCCTCTGGTTTTAATGTTGATAGGTATCCATTATCTTCTTCATCAGCAAAAATATTCAGTACATATTTGGTTTCATATGGCTAGGATATCATGGACTTGTATTTAACGGAGTAGTGTGTGGAATGAATGACACTAACAGTGTTGTTCAGTACAAAAGTGCTATTTAAGTTATTATGATTGATATGCTTAATTTTTGATAAATCACAACATTAAGTTGTAAACTGTGTTGATAGCCTTTGCGAGGTTCTCAAATATGCATTTAAAGTATGTGCTTGAAACAATTCTTTATGCATTTACTACCTTTGAATTCTAGTAAAATGTTTCAGGCCTTATCCGTATCTACCTTTTGCATTTTACCTTAGCTCATTTTTGAATATAGATTCACAAAATTATCATACCACAAAAACCCCTGTTCATAAAAGTAACATGCATTGTGTATCGCCATTTATGTATATCATCCATTGAATATCACTAATCAGTGTGTTGCTCAATGTTTGTACTGTGTAAAGATCTCCAAATATATTTAGAGAAAGGATACTTGCTCATTGAATTGAAGACTGTACATTTAGGTAATTGGTTCTTTTTTACAAAAAGACTTGAACCGTGCAATCCCCTCAATATTATGTCTTTATGATAATCATATACTTTAATTCACCATGGGATGCAGAGATGTATTCGAAAACCAAAAGCCTGTAAAGAAACTGCTTATAAACAGATATGTAATTTTAAATTTTTGTTATCATCACTGGAAGATATTTTTACAGTGTTAGGTTGAAAGAATCATTGTAATTGTGCTTCATAAGAAGAAGAAAATTTCTCTGCATGACACGAAGGAAGCTTATTCCTCGTTATATTTATCCATTTTCGTTTCATATATTTATAATCATTGAGATATAATCTAAATTTTTTCATGTATTTTGTACAGTTTTGTATGAAATTGGGTGTACTGCCGCTAAACAGTGTCATAAATATATTTACATGTAATTTAAATCTATTATATGGACTAATATTTTTAGAGGTGGTCTGGATACGCAAAAATCGGAGACGAATTCAAACAGAATTCGGTTTTTGGTTTTTCATCACCTCTTGTTTTTACTGCTAATTGAATTCGTATATATATTTACATTTTCTTTTTGCTTGTGATACTTTACAGTTTTCTATTATTTTTGATTAGGAGTATCAATTTATTTATAGGTGAAAAATTATTGTTAGGTGATACCATTAAAATCAGATTGCTGTCTAGTCAAATCTACAGATTCAAACGAATTTTTAGTTGTAAACTGTTTTCATCTGAAACTTAGTTTTGACTAGACTTTCAATCAGAATTTTAGATTTTCAAGGTATTTTTGAATATAGGCCATAGGGGAAGTACAGTTATGTCCAAAATGACATATTGTTTTACTAATCATCAATAACTTTAATATTACTCATAATAGGAACAATTTTTTTCTTACAACTTTGCTTATATTAGTGACTGCTATTGCGTCTGAAGAATCTGATGAAGTAGATGGTTTACAAGAACTAGTGGATGGCTTTGATGAAATTCAGGGGCCTTATTCTGTTCCTGGGCCATAATCTCGCCAGCCTCCGGTTCTATTGGCAACGATGGAAGGTTCTGATCCTGGATTGAGTCTGAGTTATCAGCTGTGGAAGCTATTGGCATATTTGTTGTATCAGCTGGTTCAAAAAAGTGATTTGGAAATATGTCTGGATCAACTGGCCATAGTCCAGTGTTTTTGAACTGAAGCAGTCTTTCCATAAGCTTGATTAAATAAATATCTGATCTGAAGAGCTGTCACCACTCTTCCTGGATGATTTCTAAGCCCGACAGAAATCTCTTGGTTAAAATATGTCTTGAGCGGTCTATAAAAGCACACATCGAGAGGCTGCATATGATGAGTGTAGTGTGGAAGAAGACGAACAATTTCGATTCCATTCTACTTGGCAAAGTTCAAAGCTTCGAATAACATGGCTGGCATGGCGATCGACAATAAAGAGGACTTTATCATTATGACTAGCTTTTACAAAGCTTTGAAAATGCTGGAGTCACTTCACGAAAATTTCAGTGGTCATCCACCCGCTTTCTTGAGCTACTCCTACCGTACCAGTTGGTGCTTCATCCCCGAGCAGCTCGTTTTTCATATTTTTCCTTGCGAAAATCATTAAAGGAGTTACATACGACCCAGCTGCATTCATGCAACACACAACTGTCGGATTAGATCCCCGCTCCGCGCTTGTAATGGCATCTACTTGCTTCCTGCCAGCGGTAGCCAGGATCTTTTGAGGTCTTTGGACAGTAGACAGCCCCGCTTGGCACGGGTATCACGTAACTTTAAAAGTGACATTATACCGATTTTTTTTGACATGTTGGTACTTTTTTGACATTATGTAGGTTTTTCTACAAGATGTTATCTTAGCACTTAGTTGTACGTGTTGCCTAAACGTCATGAGGCTTGTTATCAATCTTCGGCTCTGATGTGATGTAAAATCTGTTTCTGAGATGGCATTACTCGAGGTCTAAGCTGTAAGTTGTATGTGTTGATGATAATTGCATTGGGATCTTGTCTGAAATACACTTAAATGAGATTCAAAGCTAGAAATTAGTTGCGCATCCACTTTTTCTTACCCATTCTGGAAATTACATATACAAATTTGCTGAATTTCGAAAATGAGAGAGATAAGAAATAATTATATTCACTGTACACTGTCGAATTACAAGCCATATACATGCTAACAGTAATTACACACAACGCGGGCGCGGTGATTTCCCGTAATTCTCCTCAGTTTTTCGTAATTAATAACTTTGAACATAACCTCTCTTCAGAAATCACAACATATAATTTTATACACCTGCAGACCAATACACATAATCATCCAGATGCGATCTTGCTATTCAACCAACTTTCTTAGAGATAAAAACTACAGACCCGGATCACCCAGCCTCACAAAGCTATGCAACCAATAATGCTTAGTTCAGTCTGCAAGTTGACATCTTATAGTTTTTTTTTGACGTTTTCTGTTTTTTTTACATGATATCCGTGCCGATTCGTCCACATTGTAGATCCGGTTCGCGTTTAATTTGTGTTTGTCTATGTATTCTTGATAGTTATCGAAAATCTTTCTTACTTGAGGTCTATTAAAAGCTTGGGCTCTGGCTGCGGAGGTAGGCTCCGGTTTTCGTAAAGATATGTCTTTATGGCGTTTTAAAAATCCATCTAGCCACTCCTGGCCAGCTTTACCGTTATCTTTATTAAAACTGTGTGAAAAGCTATTCTTTTCAGCCAATCCGAATGCGAGTTCTTGGACCATTGTACGCGTTAATCCAAACATGCGAGTTTCAAGTAGCTTGATGTGCTCAACCAATTGTCTCTCAATTTCAAGAGAAAATGTTAGCTGAAATCGGCCTAAACCTTTTGCTGGAGGTGCAACTGTTTTATTTTGTTCCAAAGCATGCCGCCTTAGTGTAGATTGTGGCACTTTGAAGGTCTTAAGCCCGTATCGTCAGTCGTCCCTACAATTGTAGGGCGCGTTTATGGCCTCCTTGATTGTCATACTCTTTTCTCTCCTTCAAAAATTTCCAGATTACACTCGTCCCGTGTCAGCGTCAGCGCTCTCCTATTGTTAAGATATGTTTTCCTTTTAAATTGTAGGAAATTTCAGGCTGATAAAACATGATATAACTCTAAAGCAAGCACAATTTGATGCAAATAGATGTTTGTGACATAACCTCAAAATAGAGCGTTGACACGGAGAAGTATAAAACTATGACAATCAAGGAGGCCATAAACGTGCCCTACAATTGTAGGGACGACTGACGATACGGGCCTTAGAAGCCAGAAGCCAACCCATTTTTTTTCTCTTTAACAGCTTCAATAGCTTTTTTCGTCGCTTCTTGACTCCATGACTGCCGATTACTTGTCCTCTTATAATTTCGGGGCATATTGCCATTCTGTAAATTAAAAAGATTTACTTAAAAAATTTCTTACCACCATCTCGACGCAAAATGACATGAATCAAATTCAAGCGGATAACCAAATGAAAATGGTATTTACCATTTTGGATTGGTATTTACCGATCCGTTCAAGCGAGTGTGGTTGTCAGTTTGGTTATAAGATCCGTGACGTCATGAATCAGTTGTGTCATAGTTATCACCGCAAAATTGTGGTATTTACCCAACTCAGGAGTAGTTTTATATTTCTGGTTATTATTTGACATGTGACAAGTTAGAATTTTGCCGGGTATTGGATATCTTTATGGTACTTCAGCTTCATTTTTGGGAAACTTGATACAGGCTGACTTCAGTTTTAGCATAAGAGAGCACCTTATTAGTTATAATCATTACTGTTGTTGGGGACACTTTAAATCTAGTTCCTACGCTTAACAAAGTATCCTGTATAGCCATATACCACAAGAATATTAAAATATGGCCATATAAACTCACTGGATGATGTCCACCTGTATAAGGTTTTGTTAATATCTTTTCTTCATCATTTCTGCTAAATCAATAAATATTTTCTTTGACATGCGGAAAAGATTAGAGAATTGAAAGTTATCATAGCTACAAAGCCATGGTTCCATCAGTATAAATTTTTTTCTGAAAAAAAAAAAACATCCTCCCATTAATATTATGAAAGGTTTCTTTTTTTCAACTTGCCATACCCCGTTGTAGACGAAAAAGCACCGATTATTAAGTGATATTAAAAATAATCAGAAATTATATACGCGCTTTTCTAAAATAAATAACTTGAAATAAACCGCGGTTAAAACCAACGCGTTCAAGCGATTCGAGTAACTGACGTCATCATCCCGTGTCTCATCTTGAACCATATTATAACCGCGGTACATAATACGGAAATTTTGGTTATTCCCTTGGATTTGATTATTATGTCGTTTTGTCCATAGTGGTTGTATGTCATTTTGTACATAGCCTCAAAAAATATTACGATTCGAAGAATAATCTTGTTGCAGTGACAATAATGTTTTAAATTCTACGCGATCACCTCAAACACAAAATGCTTCGAAATATAAAATTATAGGACAGTAAAATAACAAAAGAAAACTTAGCGAAAAACAAATGACCACTAACAAATTTCTTTCCAACCTCGAAACACAAATGTCAACATGGCGTCCGTTCTGTATTTTAAACGGCTCTCAAAAGTCCAATGGTATATTTCCGGTGTAGATGCTTCTTGATTGGCTAACTTTTGACAGTTTATACCGCGCAGTTTTTTAAATATCACTAATGTGTCGTTTTATCCGCATATGTCATTTTGGACGTAATTCCCCTATATTCAATTTTTTCGAATTTTAGCCTACATACATGAGTCTTTAATTGACATTATTAGTTTTATCTGTGAGCTAAAATAAATAATATAATCAATTGTAATTGTAGTACTTTATTTTTTAGATTCAACAAACAATAGTCAAACAACTTATTTAAGTACGTAAATAAATTCCTAAACATCTCATTCATTCCTACAAAAATTATTTGAATCATAAGAGGGTACGTAGCCTCACTAAAAATATAAAATTGTATTGCACTTTTGCACTAAGATCTAAAAACTGGTAATTTCGATTACCGTTTTGTAATTGACTAAAATTAAATCTTAATAGAATAATGTTACCTGCGAACCATGTGATGCGATGTCAATGTAGTGCTCAGAGGAAAAGCAAACACCTTATAGCATTGATTAACATATTTTCCAAGATAATTTCCAAACCTAAGTGTTCACTTACAATTTCCACCATCACATCTATGCTGACAAATACGATACCTTAAAGGTAATAAAAACAAACTCTATTTTCCTTTTGAGTAAAATAATTAATTCTCAAACATGACATCAAATTTCCAAGGAAGTAGTAGTGGTGGACAGGTGATGCCTGGAAACCAGGGCCACCTTTGGTCCTTTTTGCCGACCCGGTAGTATCAACGCTGTACTACTACCACAAGACATCTACTGACAACTGATTATTTAGTCAACCAGCTCCAGCGATGCGGTGTACCTATGTTGATCTTCCAGGTCTGATGCGCAATATATACAACACAACATTCATGGCTCGAAACTAACTTCCGATACGGAGATTCGAGTCGACCAATTAGCAGCTTGACCCGCTATCTGCTCGGCTACACAACTCGCACAACTTCCGATGAAAAACCACCCATCAACATTCCTCATAATTTCATAACCTGTGGCAACAGTCTAATAGTGAATAAAGATGGTGATATAAAGACATATACATGGTGTCCCATTTTAATCTTGCCACCAAATATTTCGAGAACCTCGCATTCTAGAAAAAAAGTTGTAGGATATTGAGAGGTCAAAATGATAATGACCTTGACTAAGACCTTTAAGGCAATTTCAAGGTCAAGTCGATATTTTCAAAAGGAACCCCAACTTCTTCACGTCGGAATTGAAAATAGCAGCAAATTTTTCGTCTGAACAACTAGCTTGCCTATGACTGCTCATTGCCTTCAAGGTCAAAACAAATTGCTTTAGCAATAATGTTCGACAGCACAGTTGTGATGATCATCTAAATGCCCCTTGACTTTAAATCTCAGGCCAAAATTGGCAAAGGAAACCTCTCGTTTTTATACTGGAAAAAGCCGGAGATTTTTCGTCCTAATGTGATCTTGACCTTAAATAGCAATTAAGCTTCACACGCCCTTGATATTGAGATCAAGGTCATATTCGGACATACAATTTCCAGCTTTTTCTAATATTGGAGAATTTTGTATTGATCTAGGTCATGGTCAAGCTCACATTTAGGTGATCCTCACAACGTGCTGTCGAACATTTTTGCTAGAACAAATTGTTTTTGGTGTCTCGAAATGGCCTAAAATGCACCAGTCAAGGTCGTGACCAATCTGATTTTAGGATGTAAATATGCTTCTCCTTTCACTTCAAATTTAAAAATATTCTGTTGGCGTTGAGGGTCATATCAAGGTCATTGTTGAGGCCACATTGATTTATTTTGTCCCCTTGGTTCCCCAAACTTTTTTTGTGGAATGTGCAGTTTTTGAACATATGAAATGGGACACCGTGTATATTATGAGCAGGTGGTTGGCTTCGCGTGGGTACTTTCGCTTATTTTCCTGAAGGCAGCGAATTTAATTAAATGAGATACCGTATGGTGGAATATGTTAACCAATACTTATACTCCAAGACCTGTTGGTATTCTTTTGAAGCGCTTTCTACAGCTTGAATCTCAACTATGCGAGTCCACCGCTATCGCTGGCATAGTAATTTCTCAAAACAATGATTACATTGTTTTTTAGAATCAATAGACCAAAAGGAATTCAATTCAATAGAATTTATGCGTTTAAGCATTTTTTCTTAGGATTCACTTAAATACATTGTGTTCATGAATTAATATACAATAAACATTCCTTTTGATCAATCATAAAAAAAAAATCAAAATATAGGATGTTATTGCATCATAGAAAGATCTCCATGGAGGAGTTTTTGTCATATAAAAGTTTTGATTCATTGATTCTTAAATTTATGTCCTCATGACAGATACCTTCCAACAAATGAAAACCTTATTCCCAAACTACTCTAGAATAGAAAAAATTAGTAGGAAACAGTTCAAGCTATGCTTAAAGCAAATTCTTCAAATAACTTTTTTGTATATCACATTAGCACCTATTATAACGAGTTCAACAAGAACAAACAAGTGATGGAAGAATGCACTATCTACAGGGCGTCAGGTAAATAGTACGTAAAAACAATGAGGAAGATGGGGAAAAGGCAGACCTACAACATAGCAAAAAATGAACCTAGTAAAAGTTCCACTCTTTTTGAGATATTAATTTTTCGAAAAATTTCCTCTTTTGATCTACCTTTTGTTGCTGTGCCTAGAAATAACAGGATATTTATTTGGTTCTATTTGCAAAATATTCTCAAATAGTTGGTCTACCATTTGATACATTATTTTCGATAAATACAAGTAGGTTAACTTGACAAACTAATTTCCTCTCCATAGTTTCTATTTTGGAAAACTATTTTACTCAACTTTGATCTTCAGCAGTGAAAAAAAAATGTACTGGACTGCTATTGCAAATATTACGATAGATTATTTGCTTAATCAGGAATTCAGAAAGGTAAAATAATGCTACCGCAAAAAAATACAGCATTTTTCTGCTCGAAGGGATTCAGGTCAAAATGTAATTGAATCACTAATTCGGTTTTAAAGCATTGCAGTGTTACTTTTGGAAACCTAAGCCAATTTATTTGAAAAATAAGGAAATGCTAAATAAAATACTCGTTTAAGGCTTTAAATATTGCACATTATTTGAAAAATACAAACCTAAGGCTTAAAATGCAAATTTTTACTACATTAAAAAAATGCACTTAAAAAGTGTTCAAATTGCCTTCCTGCCACTCTAACACAGGCTTGACACTTCTTCAGAAATGCTTGTTTTAATTTCCTCAGATTTAATTGTGATATCTCTTGAACAGCTGAAGATATTTGCTGTCGCAATGGCCTGCGCTTTGTACAGTTTTGCTGTACACTTTATCTTTTAGGCAACCTTAGTAAAAAAATCTAGGGGGTTTAGATCGGGCGACCGAGGGGGGCACTCAATTGTGTCAGATCGTCCGAACCATCGGCGGGGGTATCGCTTATTCAAATGTGCCATTACTTGACGACCGTACTGAGCAGATCAGCCAATCGTATTCGTGCTACAATGTACACCGCTGTTCCAACGAGACACCTAATAAAATTGGTAATTGTGTCTCCAAGAACTCTAAATAATTTTCAGAGTGGAGACTTGGCGGCAATTCGACGGGTCCCAGAATTTGGCAACTAAATATTCCCGACCACAAATTTATTTTGTACTGATTGTGTTAAAAAAATTTGAATCAGATCGGTGCCTTTCTAACATTTTCCGGCAAAATGTTACTCTGGCGGGGTAATCCCTTGGCGGCAAAGTTTGGACTCTGAATGTTATAAGGATGTAAAGCATGACGCTGCAAGATTTCGTGGGCTGTGGATTTTGGTATCTCTGTACGTCTTTCATTCTCACGGATGTTGATGGATCTTCTTCAACTTTGTCTAAGACAATATCCTCATCGATTAGTGAATGCCGTGCACCACCGTTACGCTGTCCAGGACTAGGTCCTTCAGAAATCGCCCTATGGGTTCGGGTAAAAGCTTCATAGCCTGGATGCCGGCGATTGGGGTATCGCTCAGTATTAAGGCTCGCGGCAGCTCTAGCATTGCAGCGAGTTTCACCATAGATGAGGTGAATATCTCCATATTAAAGCGACGTGTAGATGCCACCGGATGTTGATGCCCTAGCCAAGTTCAGGACAATCGAATCAAAAAGAGTAAACCAAAGTCCAAGGAAGCGCAAAACGTAGGTATTATCACAGTCAACACTGTCCAAATCGTTTAGCACATCAGAGTCCTAGTTGAAAGCAATTTTTCGTTAGTACGTGAACAAGACACGAGAGTTGCGAGGTAGACAAGCGCACAAAACACCGGTAAAGATTGTACGGACCCATAGAGAAAGTGAAGTGCGCATACTTAGCCATTGTTGAACTATAACAGCAAATATCTTTACAAGCCGTAAAAAATAGTTGCATTTTTCAAACACGGGTTTTCAGGGTAAGCCAGGTAGCAAGGTCCCCTCGCACCCCTATGTTTTACCTACCTTCAAATTACGAGTAAGTAATAACTTTTAATCTCATTCAACAATTAAACACGTTATTTATAGGAAAAGGTTTCATTTTAACTATAATTCGAATATTGTATTTAAACGTAAATCAGACTTCACGGCAGAAACAATGTATATTTTTCATTTGCAGTAGCAGTCTAGTACATTTTTATTTCATTGCTGAATACCAAAATTGAGTAAAATAATTTTTTGAAATAAAAATTATAAAGAAGAAATTAGTTTGTCAAGTGTACATACTTGTATTGTATTTATCGAACATGATATTTCAAATGACATACCAACTATCTGAGAATATTTTGGAAAAAAAAAACAAACAGATATCCTGTAAGGTTAAAAACAGTGAAACTTTTACTAGGGTCAGTTTTTGGTATGTTGTAGATCTGCCGTTCGCCTACCGACCTTTTTTTTTGTCGTACTATTTACCGGACATCCTTTTTAATACTGAAAAATAGATTTAAAAATAATTATCGGATTATTATCAAATAACAGTGCATCACCATGAATTGATATGGCCAACTTTTCACTCAAGCTGCCATGGAGACAAACTCCAAATAAGGCAATATCGGAAAAAATATGTAAATAGTTTTTCTTTCGAAATAAATCAGTTCATGGAAATGCATATGGAAGATCAATTTTCATGCAATTCTACACTAGAATCTATACTAGTCAATCCTATAACAAGTATCTAAAAATGTTCAAAACGCGTTTCATAGCCTGAAGCCAACTCTAAAAATCAATATAAATTGTTATAAATGCACATCCGTATTTACAAATGATATAAAATGTTAAAGCGGCAAAAGAATCACCGAAAAAACATAGTAACATAGTCGACCCGTTCGATGTTTGAAGTTAGCTTAAAACATCAAACAACAATAAATGTAAACATATTTAAAAATGGTATAAAATATTAAAGTTTCAAAAATAATAACTAATCGTTATAGCTACAAAAACTGTCCCTTTTGACATTTTGGGGGAATGGCAAGACAAGAATGTATAAAAAATAGGAAAAGAAAAAAGGCATAATGACGTTAAAGGAATGCTAGAAATCACATTTAGTTCAAAAGGATTCTATAAACGACTTAAAAATAGATAAAATGTAAAAATACATGAGTAGTGGTAACTCCTGTTTAGGCCTGATAATTAAGAAGGTATACAGGACGCCCAGAATGATATAGTAGAATATAAGATTTCTCAGATTATATAGTAAGTTGTCGTCTCGAAAATGTAAAAGAATAAATGTTAGTGTTTTTGCAATTAACTAGTGGGATATTTTGCCTAGGAGCTGAAACGTTAAAGGACGAATAAACGACTATAATGGTTATTCTTGAAAGTTCGGATCTCCAAATAAATATTTATATAACTAGGTCATTGATCCTAAATGATGTAATATTGCAGTAATTATGTAGAGCTGGATATTTCCAGAAACCCTGTATTCCAGCAGCAGTTCCTAATGTTCTAATTCGCATCAACTTAACGAGAATTTAGCTACCTTCTAAACGTAATAACAAGAAATGAGCACTGGTAACTTGTCGTTAAAAACTCTCAAATTTGACGAGTAGCGGTTCCAGAGTAGACAATATCACAACCTTCGCTTTTCGAGTTGGAAGAATTTCATTGGTTGCCTTTTCTGATCAGGGAACCATCGCCCTGCCCAGAGACGGGAATATTTCTGCTTGGATGGGACCTGTTAAATAAAACAAGGTTAGCTGTCACGAGGGTAATTTCAAAAGTTTGGCCTATTTTATTAAAAGTACAAAAAGACTTATTTCCAATACCAAATTCATCATTATAAAGCTTAAAGGAGTATTTTTCTGCATAATCGAAACTGATGCATTTTGTACATGCTGTGAAAGTTTTTGAATGCCCACATAATACAATCCAGCTCACTGCCAGATCCTTGAGAAAGCACTAAACTTCATCTTTCACTTCGTCGTCGAAAGCGCCAACTGCTATATCAAATTAGGACACCACATGCAAGGGCATAAGCATTCTTCTGCAAAAAGTTGAATGGGAGAAATCATCACCTCACCTACCCTATTCTCCGGACTTGGCACTCAGTAACTACCACCTGTCCTCTAAGTTGAAAAACATTTAGCCAGAAGGCGATTCACTTCGACGATGACGTTCAGTACTTCCTGAATGACCTGACAGTGAGCTGAATGACCAGAATGACGATTATGTAGAAAAAAAGACAAATGACATAATGTACGAATTATTGGAAACAAATGATTTTTGACCATGAGAAAACAAAACACCTCTTTTAGGAGATGTACCCATTTTTTGAATATACGTTGATATAGATACAAACCATATTCTACATGTTCACCATCAACTGTCATGTAACCATTTTCTGTCATATTTGGCTCTATACGAAATGCATTCACTGGAAACAGTTGAATTCCTTCTGGGTTTTGGGACGCTGTAGCATGGGCACCCGTACTCAATCCCAACAGAAAATGGAGTAATTGAGATCGGCTTGTACCTTCAAAAATAATATTTTCGACTGTTAAATCATATGACTGTATGTTAATAAGCGTATAAGAGGTCAAAAGAATGAAAAATGTGAATTAGAAAATTTTTAGTCAGCCAGGATCGATAAGGTCAGCAAAAGCGGGTGCCATTTGTGGAGCATTAGGCAAAAACACAACTAGGGAAAGCTATAATCTATTCAAATATCATTCACTTCTATGGTCGCCCGCAGGCCCATCTGAGGATCCGGATGAACCTTGAAATTTGCATGATTTCAAAATGTTTTGGGGGCAGATACATTTCTGCTCTTCAAAAAGTTTTGGAGGCAGGAACACCTTCACAAAAAGGTGACTCTTGCTGATTAATGCCCTCTGAGAAACATTCATGCGGGCGCTCATTTATCGCCGCGTTTGATATATGGCCCATTAACCCACGTGAATTTGAACATCGTGCGCTGGTGTTGAAAAACTCGCAACCGGACGTCATAAATTGTAATACTGCAGTAATTTATCCTCTAAATGAGCAATATTTTTGTTTCCATATTGTGCTATAACTATGTTAACCATAGCCCAACCATCAGGAACATATTGCAGCATATGGCCCGGTTATACTCGTATATATGCTAGCTATACTCGTATCTTGGCAATATTGTCTGTAATGTGCGGAATTTGTCACCAGAGGGGCTAGAAGGGCTGACGAAATTGTACTCGTTGTGACAGCCTACATCACATCAAGTGGGATTCCGAACGTGACAGCAATACACAAATATCGAAAATATTTAGCTTATGTAGAAGGGCCATATACTAAAAGATTGCCGTGTGCTGCTGACTACTCTTTTGCAGGTAGATAAATGCGACAAAAATATTGTCCGTTCAGAAGTGTCATAATAATTGCTGTTTCATAACGCGATTTTTCATTTCCTACAATTTGTACAATAATTCATTCAAATGAAAATCGATTTGATTAAATATTTTTCTAAAATTACCCTACATGTTTTCGTAAATCAATCATCGCAGGCATCATTAAAAATGACACCTTATCTTTAAAGATACCACAACAGGACTACAGAAACCTGTCCAATCGACCATGACACGATGCGAACTTTCAACTGAATTACTAAAAAAGTTACCCTTACCTGCCTTCACGATGAGCAACCAAATTTTCCCATCGTCCAACCTGGCCTCAGGCGCGAAAAGGCACTCCTCCCCCAAATGACTTTGATACGATGCATGCACCATCACGAACCGCCCCTCTATACACTTCCACGTGGCCGGCAAAGGAGCGGGCAGTCCGGGTATTTGAGGGGGCGGGCCATAAGTGCGTTCCCTGGGTACCGTGCCGCCTGCGCAACAGTCACCGCCCATTTGAGGCAGATCTGAACTGTCGGCCGTTGATTGATAGGAGCTGCCCGTTACGGAAAAGTAGGTGCTGCGTTTCGAGTTGGCGCTGTACCAGGAGTCCACGCGCTCGCGACCTGAAATGTGAAGATGTTGCTTCGAATTTCAAGTTATGATCTGAATTTCGTAGCTTTCATGCAGAAGTAGCTTAAGCCGTAAAAATAATTTCACAGGTTTTTCAACATGCTTAAAAAATAACGCTGTCAACAATTCGTATTCGGCACAAGTTAGTCCTTCTTAAAAAAGGCTATGAACATGTATAAGAGAGGAATTAAATGGACCATGCCAGTCCAACAAGATTATACAATTAGTCCATAGTCTTCATCTTCACAGATTTGACAATATTGCGATCTACCCAGTAACGCAACGTGGCAACGCAGCAACGCGATGCATACACGGATATATGAGGACTTGCAAATAAACGCATTATCGCTTAACGTTATCCCTCCGCATCCGAGACAGAGACGCCCCTCCAATTCAATCTTTGTGTCATACATTACAGGAAATGATGTTTTGAGGACCATAATAAGCTTAAAGGACATAACAAATTCTGGTATCGATGAAATTCCTCCCACAGTATTAAAATCTATTACACCATATATTTTGCTACCTCAGACTCATATAATAAATGTTTCCTTAAGCAGTGGGCTTTTTCCTGATCTGTTGAAGCCAGCTCTGATTTTGCCTCTTCACAAAAAGAGAAATCTGGAGGATATAGAAAATTACAGTTAAATATCACTTCTATCAGAATTTTCTAGTCATTGGAGCGGACAGTGTATACAATTATTACTGACTTTGCTGTTATCTGATGCCCAGCATGGTTTCAGGCAAAATAAGTCTGTGTGGAGGCGGCTACCTCTGAACTTTCAAATTATGTCTATTCAGAACTGGATCACGGCAATGTCGTTTTAAGTCTCATGTTTGATTTATCGAAAGCTTTTGACAGCCTGAGTAAGGATGTAATAGTAGCAAAACTAAATTCACTTGGTCTTAGCGGCATTATTTTAAACTGGATCAAATCATACTTATCCAACAGAAGTATTATTGTAAAAATTAATGAAATAATGTCTGACAGATACTTAGTCTATCTTGGTGGACCGCAAGGATCGGTGTTGGGACCGTGGTTATTTATACTTTTCATAAATGACCTTCCAACTTTCATTTCAAAAGGTAAAGTCACAATGTTTGCCGATGATACTACAATCGCTGTTTCTGGCAGTTCTGTTGCAGAAATTTATAAGAATAGCTTGATAGTTTTTGGTGAGATAGAGGTTTGGTGTGAAAAGAATAAGTTGATATTAAATAACAATACGAGTATAACTAGTGCAATCAACTTTCAACATTAAAAAAATTATTCCTTCAGTCATAACAGCTTTAAATAGTCAACTTGGATTGCAGTTGTTAGACTATGTTAAGCTCCTTGGTAGCTGGTTTGATGCAGACAAGACTTTTGAATCTTAGATATTTCACATGAAACAATATTTAGATGAAAAATATCTATTATCTTTTTACTATGCATTTATAAATAGCAACCTGTCATATAATATTCTATGCTGGGGTAGAGCAACTGGCATAAACAGAGTCTTCATTTGAAAAAAAACGTATCATCAGACTATTATTCAATCTCACTTTCGAGGAAACTTGCAGCCATGCTCTTATTGAGAACAAACTACCTCACTGTACCATGTATTTTTATATATAAATGTGTAAATCATGTTAAACGTAACATTAACAACTTGGAGATGCAAAATGAACAGCATGATTATAATCCAAGAATCACCAAGTTAAAATCATATCGTTTTAGGGCTCTAATTTACACTAGGTCACTGCAGTATAATTTTGTAGCAGTAGTAGTATGCTCTACCCAGAGATTTGAGGGATATTGATATCTACTGTAATTTCAAAAGATTAGGTACCTTTACACTTACACTCTTTCGCGTGGGTTTTGAACGTGACGTTCCAATCGTGCGCGCAAGAACGGTAATGTAGATGTGAGTCGGGCATGTGCGCAAACACTTCGTACTTTAGTAAAGACTTCATTGCGGGAGAAGAACGTGAAGGTTTTTTGTGCATAATTTGAGTGTGCGTGAGTGATTGGCACGCGGTATAACAAATAAAATAATTACATTGTAAGTAAAGTTTATTATTGTAAAATTGTAAATTACATTTTAATTCATTTTTATAGATATTTTCAATAAATACTTATTTTGTGTGCCATGGGAGACAGTAGGTACTGGTCGAAAGAGTTTATAAGGCATTTTATTGAAGTTTATAAATCGTATCCGTGTCTATGGAAGGTCAGGTCAAAAGACTATACAAATAAAAACCTAAAAAATAAAGCTTACGAGAAATTGGTAGAGGTCTGCAAAACCATTTTTCCTGAGGCAAATAAAGACTATGTTATAAAAAAGATTCAAAGCTTCAGAGGTTCTTTTCGCAAGGAAGTAAAAAAGCTGGCAGAATCAATGCGAAGTGGAGCTGGGGCAGATGATGTCTACATACCCACTTTATGGTACTACGACCTATTGTTATTTACCAGTGATCAGGAAATACCAACCGCTAGTATAAGCAATATGGATACGGACGAATTAGAGGCAGGATGTGACAATGGGGCAGGAGAACATGCAGAGAATAATGAATGCCAAATACTACAAGAGCATAATAATGAAAGTGAATCTCAGGATACTGAATTACAAGAAAACACAGACAGGCGTAAAAAAAAATTTATTAACACAGGCGAGTTATAATAATATAAATTAAGCTTTTCCTTTCTTTATCATGTCAAGTTGCCACGGAACTTTTCCTTCCAAATTAAAATATTGTTTGTACTTCTCGCGATTACTTTTAGCGTTTATTGTTACATTTTTTTGCGTACTTGTTCGTAAACTGGTAAGTTCGGTACTGCTATTCCGCCATTCACCCATTTGTAATTCGTGAGTCGCCAAATCTTCGTGATAAAACGATCTGGGAGGTGCATAAGAAGTCGTGCGTCTTATAAGAAAATTGTGCAAAGCACAAATAGCCAAAACCACGTAGGTGATATTTTGTGGATCGGTAATGTGTATGGCTGTGTGTAAAACTCGAAAACGTGCAGCTAGTAAACCAAAAGTATTCTCAACAACATTGCGTGCACGGGATAAACGGTAGTTAAAAACTCTATTTTCCAATGATAGATCTCTTTGAGGATACGGTTTCAAAAATTTTCGTGCAGTGAAAATGCTTCATCGCCTAAGAAAACGTAATTAAGATGTTTCTCCGTTTCATCATTATTCGGCAAATGTAATTGACCTGAAAAAATTATCGTTTTATTAAAAAAAACCTCTTGCATAAAAAAATGACCTTTATTTTATACCTTTTGTCAATTTATCATAAAATTCTGTGTACTCCAAAATTCCTCCATCGGAATGTCTTCCATTTTTCCCAACATCGATGTAAATAAATTCATAATTTGCGTTTACAAGCGCTAGTAGAACGATGCTATAAAAGTTTTTGTAGTTGTAATATTGAGCTCCCGAATGAGGAGGCGGAACAATGCGTATATGCTTCCCGTCAAGGGCTCCCCCACAATTTATAAACTGCCATTGATTTTTAAAATCCGATGCTACTTGGCACCAATCGTCTTTTGTTTTTGGAAACTGGAATAAAATAATACTTTTAATTTTTTTTTTAGAATTCGCATGCTTCACAACCAAAAACCACCCCTTTCCACACCCAAATCTACAAACGTGACCACAAGGCAAAAAGTCAAGAGCAACTTGAATAAACAAAATGCTGAATTCATGCAATTTTGCAGAAACCAGTTGCAAATGACAAACAATGTTATTAGTGAATATGATGCAGTTGGAATTTCATGGAGCGAAAAATTAAAACGGATGGATTCCACTCAAGCCATTTTGGCCGAAGCATTGGTTAATAAAGTTATGACCCAAGGATTATTAAAAAAGTTGACATGTACTACAACCCTGTCGGATACAGAGGAGACACAATTTCATCCTGCAGTCGATACACGGTATTATCAAATTCTTCTGGTCAGCAATGGCAGTTTACATCACCATCAGACCAGGACTGTAATCAACAGAGGCAGGTTTTATCTCCTTCGGAGCAAGAATCTGATCAACAGTGGCAGGTTACATCACCACCAGTAACAGAACAAGCAATCGAGACCTCTTCAACAAATATAGTGGATTTTTATAATACTGCTGCAGATAATATAGATGGGTAAAACCCCTACCTAGCAGCAAATATTTTCTTTTTTAAAGTTGTTCTTTTCACTGTTCTTTTTTTCTACGAAACCATTTATTTTTAAGATATACCTACTTGCTGTTCGCTAAAAAATAATTATGTTTTTATTTTTAATAAACTTACCTTCAAATAAGTTTCTTTAAGAACCTGATATATGGCTTTGCATGTTTCGGGTATGATGTAGCATAAGCAAGATGGTGATATTCCAGTAGAAAATTTAAGATCTTCATTGGAGCGACCTGTCGCTAAGTAGCGTAATGTGGCAGCTAGTCTTTCCTCCGCACTAATACTTTCTCTCATCTTCGTGTTTTGTTTAGAAATAATAGGTGAGATCAATTCTAATAATATATTAAATGTATCAAAGTCCATACGAAGATAATTTTTAAAATCACTAGGATAATCTTGTCTTAGTTCTTTTAATAGTGGCATGTGACCATATTTGTTACGATCCTCCATCCATTTTTTCACCCATATGCTTCTTTTTCTTTTATTATTTATAAAATTTATTTGTACAGCCATACAAAGAGCCACTTTTAATTTATGCTGCTTTATTTTGTACATTTTTTTATATCAATCCTTTCAGAATTTCTAAAACGCCTGGAGAACGGTCAAATCCGCGCGATAACCAACACTTTTTACTTTACACTGACATGTTTTTCCTTTTACGTTGTATACGCGCGGTTAAGTCTGCGCGAATGGAACGTTATTTTTTATTTTTCTAGTAACACACTCTTGGAACGCTACGTTCTTGAAGCGCATTATTGGCCGCACGATTGGAACGCCGTTCAAACCCCACGCGAAAGAGTGTAAGTGTAAAGGTACCTAATGGTTTTCAATTATTTAACTAACAAATGTTTTTATTCTATTGACGAATTTTAACTTGTGGATGTTAATACCGTTAAAATGGATCTTTTCGAATGTAGTTTTTTACATAATTTTTATTTTGTCAATTATTTTAATGTGCTTCAAATATAAATATATTATTGCATATTTTATTAATGTATCTTCGGATGATACATATTTGTTTTTTCTTTTATGTCAATTCTTTTTTATGACTTGCCATTTGAACCATGTGTTTGTATTTTGGCTCAATAAAATACTACTACTACATGTAAAAGAGATAAATTAAGTGGACCATGGCAGTTAAACAAGTAGCCCATAGTCTTCACAGACTTGACAATATTGCGATCTACCCAGCAACGCAACTTGGCAACGTAGCACAACGATGCATACACCGATATATGGGGACTGGCAAATAAACGCATTATCACTTAGCGTTAACCGCCGCATTCTAGACAAAGGCATACGCACGTTGAGTTGTGCGGAACGCGTATATCGAAAACATATCTCCATCACTCAAGCTTTAAGGGCAACACAGCCCCCAACAACCGATGTTTAACCCCGCAAACATTTTCTGAAAACGAACAAGATCCTCTGAAACGTCAAAAACGATGTTTGGGAGATTTTTCTTTTTGTCTGTATCTCCGCCGCGCCTGGACCGATTTTCAAATACTTCAAAACTTTTTTGTCCTTGGCATGATAGTAAACTGGTGACCAGCTCAGACTAAAAATATAAATAGACAAATAATTCCCTACAAAATATCGTCGTCAACATAACTGTATTTACGGTAAACAAATATATGCGACGCTGCCACTTCTCCATACTGAAAAATCTATTGAAAATGGAATGAGATATTGGTGTGCACTCCGCCCGAAATGAAGGTGGACTTAAATAAGGTGTGGACGCTCCGGTCGATCGTGGGTCTATCAAACAACTGCTCCTAGGCAGTTGTCAACGTCATTTTAAATTTTAAAAATTTATTTTTTCTTTTCATATTTGTTTATACTCGCAAAAAACGGTCACAGAGGTGGCCGACACGCCGTAAATTCAATTCAAAACAGATGCAGGTTCATGTTGGGTAATTCATAGCGAACATTACATATAATATTTTGCCCAGTCAGTTGTTTGACTGGATTTGTTCCACCTTGGACGAAACTTGCTCTCATTCGAAAGTAGCACATTTCTACCGACTTTTTGCCGAACGTGGCAACGGTGTTTAACGGCAAGTGGTGGATGCGTACACAGAATTTACAAACATCTGGTGTTTGTTGTTGTGCACAGTGAATTTGTTGCCAGTATTCAAAAGTGTTTTCAGGTTGTTTTAGCGGCAATTATAGCATTGTTATCATTGATAGACAATTTTCAAAGACAATGGGACGTCGGAAGTGCATTCTTTGTGGAGTTAGCAGTGAAGAAACTGAGGCAACTTTCCACAGGTGAGTTATAGGTTAGAGGAGGACAAGGGCGTAGCGCATGGGGATGCGTTGTGATTTTTAGTATTAAGAAATAGACATTTTATAGTTATTGGTTGTTTTTACACTGTACGTGTGGTGATTTTCAAAAAATACTCTTCTGTTAGACACGCTTTTGATCTTTCAGGTTTCCTAGTGATAAGAAAAAGCAAGAAGAATGGTGCACTATCCTCAATATTGACATAAATGATTTACCACTTCATGCCTTTATTTGCGCAAATCATTTTCACAAAAGTGATTTAATAGAAGGCAAAAGAACTCAACTAAAGCATTCAGCAGTTCCATCAGTAGAGCCTTTGAGGCAAACAGAGTAAGTCCTTAATTATATTTAGTTATTGGATTAAATGGAATATTTTGTTGCTATACTTTTACTTATCTATAGAGTCAAAGAAACCAGAGAGCTGAAGTACCTTCTCACATATAAGTTATCTCAAGATCATTTGGAATTTTTCTTCAGTTGTATAAGAAGCAAAGGAGGATACAGCAATAATCCTACCTCGAAGCGGTTTCAGAATATTTTAAAAAAATTATTACTTCATACTGAAATAAGTGGCAATGAAGCATCCAATGTCGTGGCATTAGATAGCACATCCATTTTGCACTGTTCATCATCATCTTTAGAGATCAAAATTAGTGAGGATATGACCTCATCATCAAAGAGTATAGAGGAAGATGAAGATTTTATACAATTTAAAAACTTTCTTCGAATAAGTCCTTGGCAGCTTACACTGTATCTGGAAGATGTTGTTGCATATGTTGCAGGTTTTGTTACGAAGAGGCTAAAAAAGTCTATAAAATGCCAGAGTTGTTTAGATTTGTTAGAAACTTCAGGAGAGTCTATATCGAAATTACAAATAAGAAAAAAATATGGAAAATTGGTTAAAGCCTCCGATTTTACATATGGAGAACATTGCTTTAGGTTATATAAGGAAAGGTTAGAAGTTGGCAAAAAATATGACAAGAGTTTTACAAATATTAACAAATTATACATTGCAAAATTTACCTCTTTGATTCGGAAATGTGTTTAAGGACCATGTATTCGAAGATGAACCTTTAAGTAATCATTTTCCATTGCTCTGTAAACAAGTTTTAGAACAATATTTTACCATTAAGTTGTACCATTATACCTCTAACTTGAATGCCCCTTCAAAACGTGTACGATCATTACTCACAAAAAGTATATTATTTCAAAATCAATAAAACCTGATAATTACAAAAAAATAAAAAGCAAAATTATAAAATGAATTATAAATAATGACTTAGGGAGAGTGACAAGTCCAAAGGAATTGTTTTACTGAAATATGCACTAAACCAAATAAAATAAACCTCCAAACATGGATTGACTACTATAAAATACGTAGTCGTGCCATAAGTTCTGTCCCATGATAATCTCATGATAAAAATGAAACAAGATAAGATATATTTATATGAAAGATATTATTTATTCGACAACATTTTTAGAATTCATAATCAAACAGTTTTATTCAAAATGTCCCCCCTTGGCCTTCACACACTGCTTCAATCTCGCGGGCCACTCATCTATCACTGCACGCACAGCTTCCAAAGGAATAGCTGCCGCTGATCGGATCAAATCCGCTTTCAGGGACTCGATATTACGGTGGGCTTTGGAGCAGGCCAACTGCTCTAGCAGGTCCCACAACTTGTAGTCTAAAGGATTGAGGTCCGGACTCCCTGAGGGCCAATCTTCCGCAGCAATGAACTCTGGCACATTGCTTTCCAGCCAGCGCTGCGTACTCTTAGCCTTGTGAGCGGGGGCGGAATCTTGCTGGTAGACCCAGTGTTGGTTGGCAAACAATGTACCACTTAAAGGCTTGACGATAGGATCCAGTATGTCGCTCTGATAGTTTGCCGCTTTTGTTTTCACGCCCTGTTTACAGAAATGGAGCTGAGTGACCCCTTCGTAGGACACCCCCCACCAAACCATGACTGACGCAGGGTGGTGGCCTCTCTCAACTCTCGGAATGATCTCCGAAGCTTCCTGTGAACTCCTTGTATACACTTTGTCATTTTGTCGGTTGAATTTTTCTTCTATGGTGAAGATTTTCTCATCCGTGAACAAAATCTTTCGGAATCCCCCAGCTGCGTACCTCTCCAAGAGCTTCTTGGATCTTGTCGCCCTGATGTGTCGCAAGGTGGCCGTAAGTCGCTGGCCCGTACGTCTCCGGTAAGCCCCTAGCCCTAGGTCTTGTTTAATGATGCGCGACATCGTCCGGACAGGAATCTTCATTTCCCTGGATAGGATCTTCTGCTTCCGGACTGGATTCCTTTGAATCCTGGCTTTTACGGCTTTGATGGCTGCTGGAGTCCTTACTTGACGAGGTCTTCCGCTTCTTGGCCTGTCATCAACAGAGGACGTCTCATTGTACCGCTGAATGGTCCTAGACACAAATTTACGCGATATTTGAAGGCCGCGTAAGAGTTCAAAAATCTGACTAGCACTGTGATTACACTTATGTAAAGCTATCACTGCAATACGGTTCTCTGCCTTGCCCCACTCCATCGTTATGCTTCGAGAGATCAATACAAACTGAGGTATATGTAATTACCCGAAAAGCGCTTAATCAACTGACACCACAATGTAAACAATCGGACAAGTATTAACAGGTCTACACTTGTTTGAAAACGAGGGACAGAACTTATGGCATGACTATGTAATGTATAAACCTACCCCCAATGTTGAGTTTAGCTTTTTAGATGTTTTACATCCATATCTGGATCAGCATATATCAATACAAGAACTTTTTGACGCGCTAAATGGCTAAAATGGCTATCAGAGTCTACAGAGTACGCTAAATCCCCAAGTATACCGTTATGTATAAAACGATTTATAATCCAACTTAAGCTCCACAATAAATGTAGTCTCAAAATCTTCCTAAACAATATTTCATACAGGGTTGACCAAACAGACTGTTGTACAATATGTAATACTCGAAAGACAGAATCTTTAAGACATCTCCTCCTGGAATGTCCATTATACAATCCATTGAGAGAGCATATTCTGTCAGATCGTTTGAACCAAATCTGTGTCTTTGCTTGCCTAAATAAAACGAATAAGTTGAATTTATGATACAAACTTTTTAAATACTTTAGGGAACTATTTAAGCTAAGATCTTTCTTAAGGAATGCATAGTTTTTTTGTGTCTTCAATATCAAGACAGAATATTTAAATTGATGCGTCAATTATTTATTCTTTTTCTGTTTGTTTATATATTTTTTTATATACAACTTTTGATCATGGTTACTATCATTTTCTTACTATTTTTTTTTTTGTATTCATACTCTGGACAGGAAATTTTCTACTCAATTCTTATTATTTACATAATACTCTCTCTCTCTCTTGTTTATATACCTTTGTACTATGTATTATGAAACAATAAACCTGATAATTAAGTTCCAATAACAAAACCTTGTTTACTTCTCTGTGTTTATTCTTTTCACTGCCATGGAAGGTGATACTGGGTGTATTAACCAGAACACCATTACAAAAAAAGCACCTACGCCACTGGTGGAATCAGCTGTGGTCTGCACATACACAGCTTATTGTTTGTATGTGTTTTGAATTGGGTTTGTTTGTCTTCATGCATTACAGTGCCGTAAGAATGGTAAGTCTATTTATATTTTTAGTCTGAGGGTGACCAGACTGATGGAAATGAGTGCAATGGTTTATCGTTAGTAGACGTTAGAAGTTAAATCAAGAGGATCTAGAAAACGGAAACATCGAACAAAATACAAAGTAAAACTGAAAATCAATGCGAAGCGTTGCGATACAATGCGATGCTGAGCTAAGTGATATGTTGCGTAGCGATGCGATGGACCGTGACAGCACCGCCGTTTACTACTTTCTTCCCTCTGCATCCACTACCAAAAATGCAATATTTATAATCCCGTATCGCATCACAAGTGGGACCGATACCATCCCCCACCCCTCAATTTTAAAATTCTATTTCTTTTCAAAAATGATCACCTAAGACGTCCAAAACCTAAGTTTGAGCGATATTTATTTTATTCGTCTTTGGGCGCCACTGGATCGATTTTCAAAAACTACTAAGCTTTTCCATCCTTGGCATAGTAGCAACCTTGACTAAAAATTTGATCCAAACCCGAGCAGTACTTTCCAAGTTATAGAGAGGCCAAGGATTATCGAACAGACCGACGGAAATGACTGACCTGGTTTTTAGAGATGTACGCCATTTAAGATCCAGAATACATAATACATCATTTTTCACGGTTATAATACTTCCTCGCCAGTGAGCATGAGAAGTAAAATCTCAACGTTGACAGCTTCCCAGTCCGCCATTTTGACATAGTGATTTTGTTCTAGGATTATAAAGTACTCACAAGGTTCTTTAAAATAAGATATCACACGACTCCTCATCCCATTTACAAAAAATTTACAATATGGCGAAATTTTCAACTATTATTTTTAGTCTAAAATATAGTAGTATTTATGCGTTAATATCATTGTCCATGTCAGATTCTCAAATTAGCTGGAGTGATTGTATATCTGCGAATCGAGGATCGACCATTATCAGTAAGCTTCTACCAAGTTTTGTGCTTTTTGTGCTGCTCCAGGTTAGAAAACCTTGAAGGCTAAATTTCATCTTATAACTTATATACCACGTTTGATACAACACGTCACGAGTCCACCTATACCGCGGGAGGTCATTGAATCTCACCAATGTGATAGCATGTTTTTGGAGCGTGTCGTTTTCAACGTCTATTATGGATGCACGTCTTACTAACCTGACTCAGTTTCCAGATGCATCTCAGCGGGTAAATCCAAATTGCTACCGGTGAATTCAAATTTTTCCGAGCGCGATAGAGGTACATCTGATGGTAGGTACCAAACTTTCCCTCCATAACTTCGCAAACCTATCAGCCTGCACAAAAAACGTACTATCAGTAACAGTTTGGCAATAAAGTTCTCAATTGAGCTCCCACTTCCAATGTGTAGTCTCCCGTGTTTATATAAAGTGAACAATATGGCTGCTTACCTAGCTACCGACCATATGGTAAATCGTTGTCCGCCGAACATTCTGAGCCTTTCACTCTCTATGTCTATGTCTGAAAGTAAGCCCCATCCCACGGAAAGAAAGGAAAATAGTATTTGTGACCTAAGAATCAGAAAAATCATTTTATGAAAAATAAAAGGGTAGATGCTTTCTGAAAGTTTATTTTTACTGAATGATTATTTTTAATACCTAGTTTCTACTCTGACGAGGTCCATTGGCACACACCGGCCCTTGACAGCTGCCAGGGCCGCGGGGAGCGTAGGATGGGGCATGTATGGCTCACTACAATGGTGCGCGATGCTCCTAGCCAGACCATTGCCAGATCCGCCGGGCACTACACCTACTGGTATGTTCCGGATCACTTCTGACCAATCGCTGCGCTCAAATATTCCGTTTATCACCTCGAACACTATGCCGTCACCTCCTACCTGAAAAGCGATCCATTCATTGGTTTATTGTTTGTTTGAAGGCTTCTTTCTCTAACACTTATATGGAATTCTAGTGCGGGGGGTGATTGTTTTAACTGAAAAATATATTTAGAAAATAATTTATAAAAAAAGAAAAAAGATATCCTCCATATTTATTATTTAATGAAGAAATAAACAATGTTAGATCCTCATGTATACTTGCTGTTTGTAAATATAATATATATGTTCATACCTATGTTCACCATAATTATAAAATCAACATGTCACTCTCGGGTGAAACTGTCAGTACCTTTCTCTTACAATCCCTTGCTTGACAAAGACTTCTTATTCAATTAAATTTATGCTACAAACTTACAAAGCTATGTTTAAAGACCAAAAATATGGATTAAATTGCCACATTTGAGGCAAAGTGACCAAATTAAAGTTCACACATTTCTTTACCATAATCAGATGAAATCATTTGAGGAAAGTAATTTATTTTCAATTATTATTTTACCTCACAGTGGCGGCGAAGGTAAGAATGAGAATGTATAATCACACCAACGCGCCCCACCCCTGTTTTAAGATAGAACCACCATTTTTAGACTTTTTCAAATTTCTGATGACTGTTGAGCATAGTATCATGCAAATCTATTTTCAAGCTGTTAAAGTGCTTTTGTGGGCAAGCTTCGAAAACCCTAATGGTTTAACGTGACTCGAATCTAGAAAAGTATATAAAGAAGAAATAATCAAATTACAATAAAAATGTAACATAAAGTTTACTAAGTTATTTATTTGTTAACATAAATAAATTAAAACCATGTGGTTTAATTATTTATCAATTATGCAATAGTTTGGCTTATGCAAAAACAAGACTAAATTGAACAATACCTAAATACCATTTTTATTATGCTTCATGGATTGGTTTGAAGCCAAGCACTTGCGACCTTGAAATATTATTGGATTTAATTTTTCAGTACAGATAACATATTAATTGTGTATAGATAACGGTGAAAATGAATGGCACTTACAACAGCATTCTAAATTAGTATTCTGCGACCTACTAATAATAAAATCAATGAAGACTAAACATATATGTTAATTTGTTTGGAGAGATAATTCCCTAGATTAAAATGAATTGAAATTATTCAGATTAATTACGTCTCTTTTTCATTGACGTGCTTCCAGTCGACAAATAATATTTGATAAACCCATGGATTAAAGTGCGTCAAACCACGTCATTTGTGGAAAAGTAACCAATCATGTTAATTCTGTACTTTCAAGATTGAAAGGAGTAGTCTTCCTTCAGGTATATGCCAGGATGGAATTATTGTAACAGACTCAAAAGCTAAGGCGGATGTGCTTGCCGAGATATTTGCTGGTAACTCCACCATGGACATCCACCCAGTGCCAGAGTGCTGTCGACGCAAAGGGTTCCCTACACTATGTGGGAAGTAACATTCAGGCTAAAGACCGTGAGACGGGTGCTCCTGTCGCTCAACATCAACAATGATTCTGGTCCAGACTTCATTCCAGCCATTGTGTTGAAGAGGTGTGCAACAGAGCCTGCTCCAGTTCTTTCGCGTCTCTTCCGGATATTTTACGAATCCGAACCCTTTCAAGAAAACTTGAAATTTGTTCATGTCCAACTTATCCCACAAAAAGGGATCTAAGACTGACCCGTAAAACTACAGGCTCTGCTTTCTGTTATGAAGAGATGCATAAATCGCGAGCTTCTGGAGAACCTCGAACGTGACGGCTTGATTAGCGATGGGTAGCGATCCACAGCGGACTCCTAGCTTACGCCACGCAATTGTGGAGTAAACTCATCCAGTCTATGGTGAGGCTCATGTCATTGCTTTTGAAATCACGAAAGCAGAGTAGCTTTGCAGATGGATGCCAGACTTTCTCTCTAGCCTCAAGATATTGGTCGTAAGTGACGGGTACTCCTCTTCACTCCACAGTGTCAACGCGGGTGTACCCCATGGATCGGTCTTGGCTCCGGTTCCTCTTACTTATCAACAACCTCCTTTTCTGAAGGATCAATCCAATCCACAGCTTTGCTGCTGACAGCAAGAATTCAGAGTGACAAACTGATCTCTGGTGGTGAGCTAGAAAAAAGGATACTAGCAGTGACTTCCTCTCGGATGAGAGTCCTGGAGTTTACCACTGTTTGCAGGCATAACAATCTTATACAGTTAATGTTTCCAAAACACAGTATGGTATCTTGACGAACAAAAAGCTGACCTAGTTTTGATGAATGGCTGAGTTCTTCCAAAGAGCCACTCATTGTGGCTGGTTGAAGTCCAGATCACAAAGGACTTGATTTGGAATGAGCACATTTCGTCAATAGCGGCGGCTGCTTCGTTTAGGGCTAATAATTTTCTTCACATGAACTCCTCACTCTATACAAGGTCCAAATATCACCTATCCTCGAGTATTGCTCACATGTTTGGGGTGCTGCATTCCTAACTACATTATCCATGCTCATTGCACCTGATTTTTTTCTCTTAAAAGCAAGCAACTTGATGCTTTGTTCAGTATATATATGTTTCAAAAAGGCTGCGTTGAAAAATCTAAGTTTAGCAAATTTGTTTTTAAAGAAATTGATCACTTTTTGCGTGTGTGACAGGTTGATACTCTAGAGCTTCTGCCGAGTCTTATGAAAAAAGTAGCAATTTTTTTAAAATTACAGTTTGAATTTAACTTTTGAAAAAGGTGTGAACCTGTAACCTTTCAATAACTTTAAGAGTTTAAGGATAAGTTGATCCAAGCCTCAATTTATATGATCTTATTTATTATTCTTGAATATAACAATAAGATGATTAAAATGTTAACCAGACTAGGTCCACCATTCTGAACCTAAAAAGGATTCTTTCATTGATGTTTGTTCAAATTAGCATAATTTCAATCAATAATTAAACAAAATAAATAATTTGATTTTGTGTAGGTGTTTTGTATCATTTTTCTTTGGGGAAGTGAAAATATGTGAAAGCTGGCATAAAATCAGTAGAACTGTGATCATTGAACCATGTTGCATGCTTAATAATAGATAAGCATCATGAAACTTGTTTAAAGTACCCTCTTAATGTAATCACTTGAATGTGAATGGTGAAAATAGCATGATTACTTCACAGATTTTTTAAGACACTGGCTTTGATAATTTAAAATCAATATGAAAACAGCTTGAAAAGTATGCTTAAAAAATTAATAACTCATGAAACAATAGTATAATGCAATAAATAATATACTTTATCTTACCACTACAATTCCAGTCCATTGATACAAGTTATTTGTTCTCACAAAATCTCTTGCAAAATTGGCATGTTTGGTCATAAACAAATCAAAAGGCACCTCAGCCTCCTGTAAAATTGGCACTACCTTTTCTTGGAAGATGTATTTCCCTTTTCCAGCTCCACTCTTTGGATTGCACAAAATTAAGAGCTTTCTTGTTTCTCTATGTTTAAGACTCAATGTGAAATCTGATATGCTCCTATTTGTTACTGTCTCACCTCTGACTAATTTTTTTATTGCTGTCCTCCATTTTTGTGCTTCTTTGTTGTTGTCCTCATATTTATCAAAAGATCTAAAGCGGAGTGTGATGATTGTACGTTCTCTCTTTTTGCTAGTGCCCTTTGTTGATTGGAATATGTATGCATAAATGTACAGGTATGCACTGGTATCCTCGTCATCTAATTCTAAAGAACTCTCTTCAACTACTTCTAAGCTATTTGATCTGGGAATTGACTGGCAAGTACAGTGTTTTGACTGCTTCTTGCTTCGAAGACACCTGCAACCGATCACATCTCGAATCGGGATCACTTGTTCCTTGATGTTGTGTTCACTTTCTTTAATCAGACATAAGCCAGTTTTGGTAAGTCGCACCTTAAACACGCAATGCTTCTTCGTTAGTACGTAAAATGTTTCTTCTAAGAGGATTTGATTTTGCGTCTCTTCATCTTGCTTTAACTCCATTGTCGCTACTCGATTAAATTATTACTCAACCATACTCATTAATCACTTGATCATTACCGCGAACACAACAATCGGTTTTGATTACTGAAGCGAATCATGCTGGAAAATGATAAAATTATAATTTGTTGGGTTTGTTATGTAAAAAATATTGACAGTTTTGACACAGTTTGGTACGTGAAGTGTCAAAACATTGCGCAGAAAGGGGGATTAGAAAGGTTGTGTTAAGCAGGGAGAAGTTGAATTGTTGAATGTATTTCAATCAAATCGCCATTTTCGTTCCTATGAATCAGTATGTTTTATCATAAAATTTGTCATCACAAAAGATGATTTACTGTATAGTTGACAATAAGACTAGGTTAAATAAATTATTACTAAAGAGCCTGCACTTTGCATTTAGATGGAATGTGAATCAATCACGTGCCACCGATTCATGAGGAATGTGGACTTAAAATGAGAGAATGGGATGGGATACTTGCGAAGGTGTAAGCGTGTCCATGCCGTTAATGTCATATGTTAAAGTCAACCTGACAAGTGAAACGTCCAAGATTCGTCCACAACTACAAAAATAGTTGATTTCAAATTTGCTACTTAATTTTTAACATATATGTTGAGTTTCCACGTCGCCTACCAGCACTGAGGATGCAGCACCAATACTGGGTAACAAAAAAGAGCGTTTTGCGAAAATTGGGTGGTAAAGAGGACGAATGTATAATCTCTTCAGACGCAGAACTAGACGCAAAATTGGAGCTATTTAAATCCATAAATGATAGCTGCAACCACTTACAAAGAATTTTGGATTCGTACCAGGAACGTCTGTGCTACTTGGCCCAAGAAGAAAACACTCTAGGAAGGTATCTTAAAGATTGCGGGAAGAATGAGAAAAACTCTAGTGCTGGTCAAATCATGGCCTGTGCAGGAAAGGCATTGGCTTATATGGGTCACCAAAGGCTTACAGAAAGACCTCCATTAGTCAGATTGCACCATGAAGTTGAAACTTTCAGGGCAAGAGCTGTTACTGATACTAGGGCCACTGTCTCTGAGATGGAGAAAATCAGAACTGAATATAGGTATTATATAGAATTCAAGTTTAGTTGTTATATATTTTTTTTTTGTAAAAAGCTTGTATTTTTTGTTCATTCACTAATAGGAAATAGCATAAGAAGTAGGCGGTTTCTTTTTTGCTAATCTTAACATTTTAGGGGATGCATTGAACTTTGGGGAGCTAACAGTAAGATAATCAGCATTACTATTTAAAAGCAATTTGGCATTTTGATCACTGGCATACCTATCCAGAAAAAGTTCTGGGGTGGCTCTCGGGATTCATGTTCAGGGATTGAAAACTAAAGAGCAAGATGAGGATGGAAGCATCTGCTGCATCAATGTCAAATATAAATGAGACAATTGAAAAGTGGGGAGTAGTATGTTTTTGAAAATTAATGAGTGGTAGGGGGTTATCTGCATCAGTGTTTCTGAGAACAAATTGAACAGAGCTCAACATATTAGCCCTCAATCTTGATTCTCCCAGGGGAAGGGGGCTTGGTAAAGCCTTCTATAAGGAAAAAATAATCAAGTGCCCCTAAATATACCTGAGTTTTAAATATAACATTCAATAAAAAATGTGATTTATCAATAAAGATTTTCATTTCCTTTTATTCTCAGAGCGGCCTTGAGTTGGATGAAATCAGCTTCAGCCCAATTAGATCCTGATACTGGTCATGGCCTTGAAAAGTTCAGAAAAGCTCAATCTTATGTGAAATCCACCAAAGTAAAATTTGATCGTTTGACACTAGCTTGCCTTCAGAAGATTGATCTTCTTGCTGCTGCCAGGTGCAACATGTTCTCACATGCTTTGGTGCCATACCAGAATGCTTTAATAAATTTCTCTACCAAAGGTATGTGCAGGTATTTTTAAATAATATTTTTTTGACTTTGTTCTATAAATCTCTTTATTGTAAAATTGTTATAGCTGCTGAAACACTGGACTTAGCAGCAGGAAAAATTGGTAGCATTCAACCAAGTGATGGCAGTTCAATCTTTGAGTTAGCTGCAGGATCTGAGGGAGACAAATCTGGTGACAAGGATAAGAATACTTTCTTCAATGCAGAGTATGCAGATGAAAAGAAAGATGAAGCCAAATATAAAGAGAATCCTGAACATAGGTGAGTGTAACAAAAATAATGAAGGATTTGTGATATCAGTATTCTCAAAAAAAAAATATGTAATCATTATACACTATATTATGTGTATTTTCTGGGAGAAGCTCATATTGGTGCTGATGATTTTTATAGAAAAATCTTGAAGTATTTAGAAATGTAGTCTTCTAAAAATTTAATTCCATGAACAGAAAAAAAATATCATAAATATTGTTAATAGCAGTCTGTGGAAGTATAAAGAAATCAAGTTATACAATCAAAATCTTCAAATTGTTGTCATCTGGCCTCCATATTTAAAAATGGTCACCAAGATGTATGTTAGGTTATTTATCATAGCTGCACAACCACTGGACTGATTTTAACTCCCTCAAGCTCATCTTACTTCTTTTTTAAGAATAAGCATTTCTTATGATTTCACCTTATTTAAAAAGTTCACATATACTGAGGTTTCAATTTTTATCAGTTTGTACATTTATTCAAATAATACTACTTCAAATGGGAAAATGGTTCACTTTTGGTATTGTATTCACAAATACTAAATACATCTAATTATACCACAAAATTTAAATAACACTACAAATCTCTCAGTTTAGGATCAACCATATGACGGTCATATGTGAACTTATATGTGTATGCATTCAAATACTTGAACTTTTTTAATTTTAAGCTAAAATGAAAGGGTTTCTTTAAGAGCAATAGTTTCTGTAATTTGTATCCAAGAATTTTTAACTTCTGATATAATTCTGTGGTACCTGTTTAATACTTTGTTATTACTATAACCGCATTACCTATATACAGCAATAATGATTCTCTTTACATCTGACCTGCATAAACACATATGTGCATATAAATAAAAATAAATTTATCTATCTATCTATAGGGAGAACCAAACTTGTGGAATGGCTTGAGTTCAATGTGTACCGGAGATAAGCGCGAGAAGTATGTAAAAACACATATGTTAGAAAGACATAGAAGCTGGCTGACCAAGGAATCTCATATCACCACGTTGCCCAGCAGCGCTGACATAGGTCGTCGCAATTTGCCGCGTTGCCAATATGTTTCACGAGTTCCTTGAAACATGATGCAAGTTGAAAATATGCGTTAGTTAATTCTCTACGCCTAAATAATGGTTTTATTTTGAGCATACACATTTGTGAAATATGAATTATGTCGAATCTGTTAATAATCGATTCCGGATCGGTCCTAACGGTGCTTCATTTTATGTCGAAATGAAAGGTCAGGATCGCCACAAATTCTGCAATAGTACATCATTGGCTCGTTTGACAGCACCGCATCTCGTATGAAATACAGAAAACGAAATAATTCAGATAGTTCCAGATATTTTTTTTTGAAAAGGGGTAGAGCCAAATATAAAGCTAGAAAAAAAAAATTCTATGTAGAATATGCAGTTTTATGCTCCATACCAGTCATTCATGAGCCTACACTTAGGCCCGTATCGTCAGTCGTCCCTACAATTGTAGGGCTGCTTTATGGCCTCCTTGATTGTCATAGTTTTCTACTTCTCCGTGTCAGAACTCGATTTTGAGGTTATGTCACAAACATCTATTTGCATCAAATTGTGCTTGCTTTTGAGTTATATCATGTTTTATCAGCCTGAAATTTCCTACAATTTAAAAAGAAAACATATCTTCACAATAGGAGAGCGCTGACGCTGACACGGGACAAGTGTAATCTAGAAATTTTGGAAGGAAAGAAAGGAGTATGACAATCAAGGAAGCCACAAACGCGCCCTACAATTGTAGGGACGACTGACGATATGGGCCTTAGCCAGTTGGGCACACGAGGGACGTTGATTTGAGATGCCTACAATTATGCAGGCACATCACTTATTCCCCTTTCCCTATATTGGTTTTTGTGCGTACAACAGGTATAGACTGGTAGATCACCGTCATTACCTCTTGACAAGCAATAAGGAAACCAAACCTCTTCAGTATATAATCAGATATTAAATTGAAATGTCAGGTGAACTCTCTACACATGACAGCATACAATGGCCAGCGAGTTCTCCTGACTGGGCACAATGATTTCTTTTTGTGGGATGAAGACTCACATTTACGGTTACACTCCATGCAAGGGCTAACACTTTAGATGAGTTGCGGCTGAAAATAATAGAAGCATGCCATTCAGTGATTCATACCATGCTAGAAAATGTTCGCACAGGCTTCCACGATAGGTTAGGTTACTGTTGTTTTCATTTTGAATAGAATTATTTCATTTTTTATGCAATTTGGTGTTTTAATTTCTTTCTTTGATTTCCACCGATGGTGATAAAATCAACACATCCTGAGTTATTGTTACATTTCCCGACAGATAGCGGTTGAATCACAATTAAAAAATGTGTACGCTCAAAATAAAATCATTATTTGGGCGTAGAGTATAAACTAAGGCATATTGTCAACATGCATCGTAGTTCAAAGAACTGGTGTAACATATTGGCAACGCGGCAGATTGCCGTCTCATTCTCTTATTTGTGTTTTCAAACAATTTTGGCGATTCTCTCTCATACACATTGATTTTGGCTCGTCAGTGAGATATAGGTTCCTCTGTATATGTGCCTTCAGTTTGAATTTGTGGCATTATTCATCATTAAATATGGCGTTCAAACGTTCACGATTTGGACCGGGTGGCCTGATTTTTATATACTCCTATAGGTGCCTAATAATGATCCACATTCAAACTGAGGCGACATACAAGGGCAGACGTGACCTTAGTGGCTCTTCCTGGACTATAAATGATAACTCGTGTAATATGCAACTTTCTACATCCTACAGCTCTGAATCTGAACAAACAGAAGTAGCGAATCTTCTGCAAGGCGACTTTGCTGCACCAACAGAACAGCAACTTGAAGCTGCAGATTTATCAAAGCCTAGCTCAGCTTTGTTGGATTTGAACTGGTCCGTTCAATCAGACTTCATGAAGGGCAATTTTATGCCGTCCAAATTGATGCAAGAAGAAGGATTCATGTTCATGGAGACTCCATTGGAGAAGGAAGCAAGCCAAAAAAGTGAGAAAAGTCCTGATGTTAAAAGAGATAAAAGTGACAAGCAGATGTCTTGGTTGAGTTTGTTTGCCGAGTTGGATCCACTGTCCAGTAAAGCGGGTCAGTCTGGAGATACAGCGTAGGAGGAGTCTATTGGACATTTTTTTAACATATTCTCATTGAATATACGATTCATGACCAGTATTTTGAACATTTCTGTAGGTATATTTATGTAATTACTATTTTGTGATTAAGCTGCAAATGTCTCATTGACTTTCCTATTATTTGTGAGTAATTTAGAGTTAGTTTTTTCAAAAACATCGTTTATGAAAATCATTACGATTAATGTGGTCCAATTACGCGTACTACAAAGGGTACTATAACAGTTTTGCAATACAGCTTTATTTATTGACTTTGTTCAGAGTAATTTCCACCACATTCAATACATCAAAACCAGTCCTTAAACCATCTCTGCCAAGTTTTACCCGGGAGTGCGGCACACTCTTGTCCCAAGCCCTCAGAAGCTCCTCATCGCTAGAAAACCGTTTGCCTTTTAGCTTCATTTTCACATGCGGAAACAGTGCAAAGTCGCAGGGAGCAAGATCCGGACTGTAAGGAGAATGCTTAATAAGTTTCAGTCCAGTAGTGGTCAAATACTCCGTGCAGGCTTTGGCACGGTGAGCTGGAGCGATAACTGGTGGAGGTAGCAAGTGTCCATTCTTAAATTTGGCCGCAGGTTTTCCATAGACTCTATGACTAGACAGGCACTGTTCCGAGTACCACTCAGCTATGACTGTCTTCTGTGGGGTCCAAAACGACATGCCCCACAATCCCGCTCGATTTGAAAAATACAGCGATCATTTTTTTTTCCTTAAAAGATCGGGATTTCCTGACAGCTACGGGTGTGTCCTCGTCATCAAAGACCCAAACTTTGTTTTGAGCCTTGGTCGGCACATCGTAATAATAGAGCCAAGTCTCGTCACCTGTCACGATGCTGTTCACATACCGAGATTGCCTCTTATCAGTGGCGGCTCGTGAGGTAGTGCCACGGTGCCATGGCACTACCTTGTCTTCTTCAAAAAGAATATTTTTTTCAATCTTCAATGTTTTACTTTATTTTCTGCTTTTTCATTTTTTTTGGTATAAATTATATGAAGTGACAACACTGACAACGTGACAACACCGCAAGCACCCGACCGACGCGACGAGACGAGCATGCCTTGACCTTGGCGTCATCAACTTGTGCCAATTTAGGGCCGGTCCAAATAAAAAGAGAGAAATTTTACCAGCATCGCATACGAGCGACAGAGATAACGCTACGCATGACATGTTTATATGAGGTGAATAGCGAAAGACAAGTATAATTTGTGCCAGGCACATCATCAGTCGTAATTCGTTATCAAATGATATCGGCGGTGTTTTTGTTCGGTCGGTCGTTTGGTTATGATTACGTCTAGTGCTGATTTCGGTCTTTTTTTACCTGAAAAGTGAGAAATAACGTTTATGTTTTTGTACGTCTAGTGTTAATGAACTGCTCTGTTTTGTGATCATATTTTTTACTGTTTTATTAAAACTAGTGAAAATGAATAAAATCGGGATATTAAAAAACTCACTTAGTGGTTTTTCGCTGGATCAAAAACTGCAAATTAAAGAATTAGGACGGCCAATACCCGATTTAAAAATTGAGAAACAAAGTGGTAGCGGACAAAAATCGCGCTGTCGCAAATTTAATAAAAATGTGTATGATAAAAACAGCTGTATATGTGGTTGTGAAGAAACGAATAAACTATTTTGTTTTGTATGTGTTCTATTTGGAGGTGACGAGACTTGGCCAAAAAAAGGTACAGACGATCTTATACATATATGGGATAAAATGAAGACCCACGAAAAATCTAAAGTCCATATGAATAATGTTTTTAGCTTTTCTATTCTTGGTAAATTAAATATAAGGACTCAACTCAATTCGGCTTATCGCAATGATCTAATTAAACATAATAATCAAGTGGATAAGAATCGATATGTATTGAATAAAATTATTAATTGTATAAGGTTTTGTGGAGCATTTGAGTTAGCCTTAAGGGGTCATGATGAAAAGGAAAATTCGGAAAACAGAGGCATATTTAAGGAGCTGGTGAATTTTAGCGCCGAATTAGACAACGAATTGAAAGTCCATATTCAAAGTGCCAAACTTTTTGAGGGTAGCTCAAAAACAACTCAAAACGAGCTTCTTGAGTGCATGCTAGATGTTTATCATGAAGAAGTTAAGAAGGAGATTGCAAATTCTCCTTTTGTTGCAGTAATTGCCGATGAAACGACGGACGTAGCCTGTGAATTTCAGTTAGTTATTATTTTCAGATATTTGTGTAAAGGACAACCAGTTGAGAGATTTTGGAGATTTTACGTCCCCGACGGACACGATGCCAAATCAATCGCTGCATGCGTTTTAAATCCATTACTAGATCAAAATCCAAACAAATTAATAGCTCAAAGCCATGATGGTGCGTCTGTTATGAGTGGTGAATTGAATGGCGTTCAAAAAATTATTAAGGAAACTTATCCACTTGCAAATTATGTTCATTGCTATGCACACCAGTTAAATCTAATTATGACAAGCGCATGCTCTGTCAATAAGCAGGCTAGAATATTTTTCCATAATTTATCTGGATTGTGCTCTTTTTTTTCGACGTCTCCTCAAAGAACAAAAATTTTGGATGAAATAGTTAATCGCAGATTGCCAAGATCTTCCCAAACACGTTGGAATTTTCAGTCACGAGGTGTTCATACAGTTTATGAAAATAGGAAAGACCTGATTAAAGTTATGGACAATATAGAAAGTACTTCACGCGATTCTTCGTCGATTAATCAAGCCAGTGGGTACAAATTAAAGCTGCAAGATACAAATTTTGTATTTTGGCTAAGTATTTTCCATAAAATAATGCCACATGTTGAAATTGTCTTTAACCAATTACAAAAAGTACGCACCGATTCTGTTAAGGTCAAAAATGATTTAGAGAATTTTGAAGCAGCAATTCAAACTATACGAGAACAAATGGATAGCATTATTGACGAGATTGAACGAGTGCAGAGAGAAACTGATGAACCGGCAAGAAAAAAAAAGGCAAGTTGAAGAAGGCAGCAAAAAACGGGAAGCGTTAGAAATATGCGATGCAGTATTATCGCAAATAAGAACAAGATTTAACTTTTCTGGACATTTAGTTGCTTCTAATTTATTTGTGTGTGAAAAGTTTTCTGTTTATAAACATCAGTTTCCTGAAGCACATTTAAATGACACATGCACACAATTTTCATTTTTAGACAAAAACAGGCTTAAAACTGAGTTACAAGTATTATATCAGAGAGAAGAATTGAGTACTACTTCTGGAGCTGTTCCACTATCCATTTTATTGAACGAGGAAGGATTAAATTGTACGTTTCAAGAAACTCTTAAGCTCGTAAGTATTTTAATCACTATACCGATGTCAACATCTGAAGCAGAACGCTCTTTTTCAATGCTGAAACGGATTAAAACTTTCCTCAGAAACACAATGAAGGAAGAAAGGCTTAGTGCTTTAGGAATGCTGTCTGCAGAAAAACATTTTGTTAGTGGCATTGAATATTTTAATAATAAGGTAATCGAAAACTTTGCTACCAAAAAAGAAAGAAGAATGGACCTCATATATAGAAAACTATAGTTATAGGTACTTCTCCACACTTGTTTTATAATTTGGTGCGCGTGTGTAAATAGTTTTATTTTTGATTTTTTTTTGGACATATAGATTTATTGAACCTCAAGAACTTTGACCACTAACTATCAGGGGTAAGTTATAAGTTATTCTTTACAATTTTGAATCGATTCAAAATTATGGCTTCCATTCTGGCACTACCTCACGGAATTGGCACGAGCCGCCACTGCCTCTTATCGATCATTTTCAACGTCTTTCGGCACAAAATCGTACGAGTCTTGCATTCCCGTCAGACTTTGCGGTACCCAGAAAGAACAAAGTTTCCTTACGTGTAAATGGTCATGCAGAATTGAATAAGTTGCTGGTGCATTAAGGTGTAAGGTCTCGTCTATGTATGTCACTCTCCGGTTTTCGTCAAGCATTTTCCTCACAGCAGTAATGTTTTCCTCTGTTACTGACGTTCGCGGCATTCCTTTCCTCCCTGCGTCGTCCAGAGTGAAATTGCCCCTTTGGAATTCTCTATACCAGCTGAATATAGTGGTACAATGAGGACAATCATTCTTTAAGGCAAGCGTCATTTCTTCTAAGCAGTGGTCAATGCTTAAACTACGCGTAAAGTTATACCGTAAAACTGCCATTATCTCACTACGTGACAACGATGCCATAGTCCGCACTTTACATTGTCAATACGAATAAACAACTAAATCAACAGACGTGCTGCTGGCGTTATATTTCAAAACTAGTGCCCTTTGTATAATGGAGATAACCTGATAAAGTTCACTGGTTTTATTTGCTCCTCCTAAAAAGTACCTGTAAATGAATCACTTGTTACAGAATTTTAGGTATTACAGAATAACATGTGCAACGATTTTTCGGAAGAATTATTTTCTTTTCTGAAAGCATTCCATAAATGTATTCCTTTTTCCCATATATCATCATCAAGGCTATGTCTGGTATTGATAGGCCATGGGCCTACAATATTTATGGGGGAGCTGTAAGCATAGAAATGTGCACATTCTGGTCCCATCACACTTTCAAGATCCATAGTATAGCATTAATTTGACCAACTGAGAACCATCTACCGCTTAAAAGAACAATATGGATTTTACAGCGATGTACATACAGGCATGATAATTGGTTTGTTATTATATTTCCAACAATTAGACATTGCCCAAAAGTGTTTTGGCATGGATAAGTTAGCCCATCTGCTATCAAGTTTACCGTTAATTCCAGTATTAGACAAAAAACTCTAAAAGGAAATTGAACATCTGCAGCTATACTAGCAATGTAGATGTGTGGCACAGATGTATTGTCGAGTCACGGTTCCCAGCTGATTAATTTATTTTTTTTATTTTGTTAATCCTAAAATTGACCGAACAAAAAGTGTCTCTAAAATATTGTTTTGTTATTAATATAGTTTTGCTGGAATTTGACTGTAATCTGAAATGAACATGCCAGTTGTACTGGGGTGAACTTTAAGTAAATTACTTATTTGATTTGAATATGAAACAATGTACTGCCTAAAATGCTCTCTAAGGCGCGGTCACACAATACTTTGTACATTGTAACTTAATTTTGTCTTGTCTATCCAAATTTGTATGTACTTGGAAACACCTTTTGTACCCCATAACAATTTATTGCAATTTTATTTTAGTACCAAAGATGTTTAATTGATACCAAAGAATACATATATACTTTTAGAATATTTTCGTATTTTCTTGCATTCATCTGTTTTTAGATGTGATTTGTGTACTTATCTCGTACTTCTATGTGAAATATTTTATTGCTTAAATCAAATATATGACGAATTGTAATATAATAAACCATATTTGCAAACATTCTAGTATGGTTTGTAAAATACACTGTAAAATTAATAAACAAATTTATTAAATACCTAGATTAGTTTTTAAATACGAAGTGCTCCTTTTTCTATTCTGCATTGAGCCCAATCTCATTTGCAGGGACAATCGGGTGTTGTCCCAGTTCCTCCGTCTCTCACAGCAGAGAAAATCTGGGGTTTGATAATAATGATGCTTTTGCTATCTACCACTACATACAAAACTATTATCATTAAAAGCATGTGATATAACATAGATACATTTGAGTTGTGTAGCTTTCTTCACAGTTTTATGATGAAAAATAAAATATTTCAGATGTGGTAAATTGCAAATGAAAAAAATCTTCAAGGTTCTACGCAACGAATTGGGAAAGATCAGTAGCCAAGCTTATATGTTTGCATTGTTTGTCGCCTAAATTGACCAGCTTTAGTCAGTTGTCCAACAATAACTACCAAAATGACATCGTTGTATCAATATAATAATAATACTTACTGGTGGAAATATCTACCTTCATTAGACTTTCGCCGCCCATATCAGATTATTTAAGTAGTACCATGTCTTGAAATATTCTAACAGTGATCCTCACTACAGACTATGAGAAATAGAAGACTAACAAAGAAGGCAAAAAGCAGTCACTGTGCATAGGAAAATACCTCTTTCACATATTTGAGATGGATTTAGAAATAACTTTTTAAAAACGTTATTCAAGGACTGTATCTACAGTTCGCTACAGAAATACAATTTACAATGATCTGACTAGGACGGAGTTTAACCGGGTATTGAACCTATGTTCGCAGGACCTATTATACTTCAGGTTTTGTTTACAAGGCATCTGGCTCGGACACACGTGGCTGACGATGTATTGTAGGCTATTGTAGACAATAGATTGGAATACAAAGAATAGATCAAAAGGAAGTTAGCATAGTTGAATAAGCATGATGCAACATTGTATTAACTGTCTGGTTACTAAGTGCATATAACTTCCCCTATTACAAAAAGTTGGTGCCACGCGACAACTTTCGAAGAAAAATAGGAAAATTACAAAAATGAAAAAATAAAAACATTGGACAATCGAAATTGTAAAAGTTGAGAAAATGTAAAAATCGCAAACATTATAAAATTGCAAAAAGGTGTACAATAGTAAAAAAATAATTAAATTGCAAAAATAAAAATCAGAAAGGACAAAGTTGTAAATACCCTTTAATCTGTCCCTGTCGCAAAATTCGTTCTTAGCTGACATGTCCTGTCCATAAACTACCTCCCAATGGATTTCGTGTTCATAAGTTAAATACTTCTCGAGAGAAATTCCCATAAACTTGACACAGAAATATTCAACCCCCTCCTACCACATCTTAAGGATATAATTTCTGAAATTCTTTAATAATATTTTTTATTTTAGACAAAATGTACTTCTACTCGTTGGCTGGCCTAACTTGCAATATTCTAGGTTTTTCAGCCTCGAGAGTATTGACCCCAACTTTACCCTGCAGGGGTGGAACTTTCAAAATGTTTTTGTCAGTGCCCATTTATATTATATCAAGAAACCAAATATACAAAACCCATATTTGTTTGTTTAAGTTGAAGAATAAGTTTCCATAGTAACTTTCACCCCCTATTTCAACAGCAAGTTTTAATTTTCCAATTTTCCAAAATGGCGCATATGCGCCATATTGAAATTTCACCACTCCGTATTTCGGATTTATAACTTGAGCCGTTCAAAAAACAGGCAGGGGGACCTATTTGAAAAGTACTATGCATAAAGCGCTTACGTAGGTACGAACTGCAGACTGAAATATGGTTGATAATCACTGAATGTAATAAAAGCATGAAGTATCTTAAATTTTCCGTATATGTATTGTGATTTTTCTCTTCGTATGTATTTTATTAGCGATGGTTTTTTAAGGTAGCTATTGAATCATGGAGTTTTTTCCACTATTTACCTTCAATACTAATTTCTACGAATACTCAACTTGCTGGTATAATTTAAGTGGCCATCCAGGATAAATGTAATTTTTTAACTGTCTCCTAAACTATGACAGTATAAAGGTTCGTTTACATATGAGCACGCACGCACTGAGCATACGCGCACGCATTCGTTCGCGTGCTTGGAGCGTGTTAAACCTAAAATCCATTTTTCAACGCATGGGCTGATCCAGTTGTTCGCGTACGCGGTTAACATCGAGAATACTGATGTAGCCGTGGCAACATTTATTATACTGTATAATTTAATTAAAAGAAAAAAATTGGAAACGCAGATGTCGTCGTTGGTGGATAACTGAATTCTATGCAAAAAAAATAATTTATTAAAGGAATTAGTATCAGATAGTCTCTGTGATCAATTCAGATATTTTACAAGAATGACCAAGGCTGACTTTGAATATCTGGTAACACCAACGATAATGAAAACTGATACACAGCTTCGAAAATCTATATCACCAATAGAACGTTAAGCCACAACCTTGCGTTTTTTGGCACACAGGAGGTTGCAATGTCGTATCAGAGTGTCAAAATCTTTATTTTACTTTTTTCGCGACAAAATGATCCCATCAGACTTAATTTTTTTGTGTGCTTCGCAACAGTCTAAATTTTCAATACATTTGATTACTAGTTGCTGCCATGCATCATTTTATTTTCGATTTTGAATAATACTCTTCGTGTCTAACGTCCTACGATTTTTTAATTTCTGAAGCTCTTGCAAGAGTTTTAAAACTTTAGTATTATGCCATCCATCATTTACTGGACTAAATACAATCACTTCTTCAATCCTGTGCGTCGCGTTGTCGTTTCCGTCCACACTGAGCATTCTCGAACCCATTATAATTACTCTGAGCAACGTCTTGAGACCGACACCACGCGGATCGCGTTCGCTGTTGCTCGCGCACATGAATATACAGGGTGAGCGTACGCGCATAGCCGTTTACACTTTAGCATTCGCGGTGGATTAGTCAGTGCGTGCTCAGATCTAAACGCACCTTAAGATACCATAATTTTTACCCATGCCTGTGCCAATTCTTTTACCGTACGATATTTGCGTACCTTGGTGTTGGTAGCGCTGAACGTCTGTTAGTGACAGGACACAGAACTGTCACTTGAAGTGACACGTGCATGACATTTCCATATTTTTGAAAGTATACAAATCGTATATACTTTCTAGTTTTTAGCTGTAAATTTATATCACAAATCACTAGCTACATTGAGATGGTTGTTGAGGAAGAAAATCATAATAATGAAGAGAAATCCAAGAAAGTTGAACAAGTAAAGCCTTTCACTCTGGAAAGTGAGTAACATGTTTTATCTTACAAAGGCAGCAACTGAACATCTGTTCTTATATTTTCAGTATTAAAATTAATTAAAGACTGCCAACAACAACATGGATTGCGGCATGGTGACTACCAACGGTACCGAGGATACTGCTCGCGTAGAATTAGCAGGTTGCGTAAGGTACTCAAAGTCCCGCAAGGGGATAAGAAACACTTCAAGAAGAGGGATGTAACAGAAGCCCATGTTATGAACTCTAGAGCTGATGAGAGATTCTTGCATATACCACTGATGTTAGCAGAGAGATGCTGGGCTTATGCTATGCAACTGAGACAGGAGGCCAACACAGAGCCTAGGAAAAAGTTCCATCTGGTGCAAAAGTTGAGAAAGGCTTGTGTCTTTGCTTTGCAGTTGGATGAACTGTGTAAGGTTAGTAGAGATACCATTTTGCTGGTGCAGCTGAAGGCAGATACTTTTACCAAATAAAATGAAGTTTTGGTCTTCCTACCCTTGATAACCTAATAAAAGCATCTGAAGATTAGCATTATTAATGCAATGTACATAGTCAGGGCCATGTTATGTTAAGCCATGAAGGGGCACTAGCCGTATAGGAGGTTGGGACAAAGCTAAGTCTGATGGGATTTATGGTAGATTAAAATTCTGGGTCCTATATTGGAGCTAGTAATAATTGAAGAGTGCTTAGACATTTTTTTTGAAAATCCTTCAATAATTTTTATCCTAAATTTTTCAAGGACATTTTCATCAAGTTATATATGTTAACAGTTTAAGGGCATATTTAACTCTAATTTCTTGGTCATTTAAAATTGTGGAGTCTTAACCATCACTTTCTTGCCGGTTTTCCTTTGTTTTTTTATCTTTATTAAGATAAAATTGAACAATATAGAGGGTGGCCAATAAGTACCACGACAAACTTATGGAGAAGGTTGGCTTTGGACTGACCTCCCAAAAAACAAAAACCTATATAAAAGTGTCATCATTTTTGATATATTGAATTATTGGCAAATTTTAAAAAACTAACCTTTTTGTCTGTGGTCTTTAGTTGCATGTACAAATAAGGTTATCGTGGTTCCTTAATATGTTTGTACTACATTTCATTTGTATATGATAAAGCAACTATCTAGAAGTATTTTATAGAAAAAATGAACAAAGTATAACCTTATTTGTACATGCAGCTAAAGACCACAGATGAAAAGTTTAGTTTTTTTAAAATTTAAGAAAAAATCCAATATCTCAAAAATGGTGACACTTTTATATAGCAAAGTTTTTGTTATTTGGCAGGTCAGTCCAAAACCTACCTTCTCCTTAAGTTTGGTGTGGTACTTATTGGTATACTAAGTGACATTAGAAGTGTTACATCCAGAAAAAATAATTTCTTTTACTTGTTTTTTGGCAACATAATGACTATATTTAAGGCATGCTGTGGCAACAATCAACATTTTATCTTTGTTTTTGTTTACCTTTGTTATAATGTTATACAAATTTGAAGACTCAAACTTTTTCCCAATATCACTGCATTGATGGATTCTTATCTGTAAGAGATATATTAGACAGTAGAGATTGATGGTGTGAAGTCTGTGAAGAGGAAGATATTGGGAGGAGTGCCACAAGGTGCTGCACTAGGTTCCATACTCCCTCTCATCTATATATCAATATTATATCCTCTTTACATTGATGACACATCAATATCTCTTGCAACTAACTCTCATGGAAATGTAACAGCAAACAGATGCTGAATTGGAAATAGTCAGAATCTGCTTTTATTTAAACATGCTGTTGTTAAATGGTGAAAAGCAAGTTAAAGAATAAACATCCAAAATGAAAATCAAGTTAAATTTTTAGGTGTGACACTTGACCATTAGCTCCAATGGAAAAGCCACATTGATGTTCTATCCATAAAACTTTCTCAGAATATTCATGTCCTGCAAAAGTTATTTCAAGAAGTGTTGCCAAATATACTCCTTATTTGATACTTCACACTGTCCCAATTGCATATACCATTTGTAGTTATTGTATGGGGCAGCTTTGCTGAGGCAGCTAGTGTTTGAGCTGTAGAGGAAGGCTGTTAGATTGATGGCAGGGCTGAAATACGGAGATGGTTGCAAACATGTGTTTATTGAATGGAAGCTGCTGACTGTGCCAAGTCTGCATGTGTATGAGTGCTTGATGTTTGCCAAGACAAAAGGAGATCTATATCAAACCTTTGAAAATGTTTAGGAATGTAATAGAATAATTAAGAAATTTGGTCACTATAAATCAATTTTCAACAAATTACCTCTCAATATAAGATGAACGATGCATTCAAATAATTTCAAGATTTGTAGTAGAAATTTGATGATTTTCTAAATACTGATTTAGTTCAAAACATTTAGGGCCCCCGCGCACTAGGCAGCCTGGCTACGCAGCCAGGCTGCGGCAGCCAGTAAAACATATGACGTTGTATAGGAGCCCGCGCACTAGGCAGCCACGAATTCCCGGCTGCGGCAGCCAATACAACGCGCCTGTTTGCACGGCAGCCGACTGGCTGCCCGCAGCCAGAACGTGTGTAGGCGAATGTATGTGGCTGCGCCAGTCTCCGCGCACTAGTTGTAGCAGCCAGACGTATTTTGCGTTCCGAACTTTTTCAAAAGATGACTTTCGATACAGAGAAATTTATTCGGGAAATTGAAAGCCGTAAAGCAATTTGGGATATAACATCAGAAGAATACAGTGATCGTGATTTAAAGAAAAGAAGATGGGAAGAAATCACGAACACAATGTGCTCGGAAAATTTATCAGAAAATGAAAAAAATGAATTTGGTAAGCATGTATTTTTATTATCTGGATTATACAGTATAATACAGGGTGATTCTGCACCACCAATCAATATTTTTGTAAGTTATCGCACAATAACTCTATATTAGTTATATATTATTTTTTTTACTTAACTAGGTATTTTCACCTCGATGTTTTATTTAGATAAATAGGTAAGCACTATTTTAATGCATATCTGTTTTGCCATTCTAACGGATTTGCATCAATAAAATAATCCGCAAATAAATCCCTATAAGATGCTGATGATCGGCTGCTTCTATTTGTGGGTCCCCCGGATATTTCCAGTTCTGGTGGAACGTACAGTGTGTCTTGAAATATATACCCGTCTCTTTCGCGCACGTAGTTATGTAAGACACAGCATGCTTGTACTATGGCAATTGCAAGTTCCTGTCGGACATCTAGTGGACGGTGAAAAATTCTCCATTTGTTGGCTAAAATCCCAAACGTGCATTCTATGTACCGCCTTGCCCGAGACAGTCTATAGTTGAAGATTCGTTTCTTCGCTGTTAAACTCCTACCTTCATAAGGTCTCATTAAATTTTCACATAAGCCAAATGCCTCATCCCCCACTATGACGTATGGCATCGGTACTCCATTATTTGATATGGGGCGCTTCTCCGGGATTTGTATATCTTTGTTAACAAGTTTTTGATACAAAATGGATTTTTTATATATAGATGAGTCACTACATTTTCCATAAGCCCCAACATCTATATATGTGAACTTGTAATCTGCATCGCACACAGCAAGTAAAACGATGGAAAAATAATTTTTATAATTATAGTACAGTGATCCTGAATCGCTGGGTTTTATTACTCTTATATGCTTTCCATCGATGGCACCAACGCAATTGGGATAGTTTGCATTTTCATTGAAACCTTTTGCTATTTCAAGCCACCTCTCTTCATTTAATTCTGGAAACGATGACTGTCTCATATTCTCCCAAATTGCCATGCAAACTTCATATATGATATCTCGGACAGTTGTATGTCCAATCCGATAATTATGACTCAATTCCATCATAGAACATCCTGTAGCAAGATATCTGTAACAAAGAACAAATATTAATTTTCAGGTAAATCTCTACAGAGCAAGTGGAAGAACATCAGGACTAGTTACAATAGGGAAGTGAAACGCAGAGCTGGTATTAAAAGTGGATCAGCAGCTTCGCGCAAGAGTCCATACGTATATTTCGAACAACTTCATTTTCTTCGGCCCACCGTAGTTATTAATGAAACTCAAAATAGTATGGATGAAACACGCACTGCCGAAACCAACGATAACAGCGGTAGTACTCAAGGTGAACGACATGTTTCCAAAAAGAAGAAGACAAGTGGCGACGACAATTTGGCGCAGGTATTAAAGGAAAGTATTGTAATGAGAGAAGAGCGTGAAAGACAGCACGAGTCTGATTCAGATAGACTATTTATGCTTTCACTTCTAGATGATTTTAAAAACATCCCGAGACATCGTAAGCTTTCTACAAAAATGGAGTTAATTGAAGTTATAAAAAGAGCTCTAATGGAAACTCACGATTCCGAATTTAGTCCGTTTCGGCAACGTTATGTTAATTATGAACCAGGGACATCGGCCGCCACATCATATAGACCACAAACATCGTTCAGTGGACAATATCGCCAAGGTCAAGGATACTCGACTGAATATGGACCGGAAACCACAAGTGGTGGGCAGTATCACTATATGCACTCGACACACTCGAATTATAGACCAGAAGCCTCGACCACTGAAAGCCGCCATGGGTATTCTACGGCTGTTCCAGACAGGCAAGACAATACTGTTTATACTGATGCGTTATCACCAACTGACACAAATGCAACAGATACGTCTCAGGGTTCTGAATTACTAGAACTATTTACTACACAGGACAACTTGAACTAGGAAATTCATTACCATACGTGTAAGAAATAAATAATAAATGTTATGACTAATTAACAGTAATTGAAGAGTATAACTTCTAAAGGGTCTAAGTGCCAATTGACGAATTTTTAGTTAGAGTATGAAAAACTGTTCTAAGTTCCAACCCCAATAAAAACAAAGAGTCTATGTTCCAATAACATATCTAAATGGTTCTACTGTTAATCCAAAAATAAAATAAAAAATATGTAATAGGCTTTTCGTATTGTTTTTGTATTGTTTTTCTGGTTAATCCCAAAATCATAATTTTGGCACTTAGACCCTTTAGAAGTTATACTTTTCAATTATCTATCATTTTCGTACTCACCTCAAAGTTATCACCAGTTTTTCTTCAGGACTCATACAAGCTCGCATACGAGTATCAATACCCTTGATTGAATTTCGTATTTTTTCCAAAAGGTTATCAAACGATTGCACTGACATTCTCGTGTAGTTAAAAAACCGGTCTGGGAATGCACGAACATCTTTGAAATAGGTTTGGAATAAGCCTTTTGAGTGTCTTTCTAAAAAAAGAGGATGAATCCAGTGTCTTTTCTTTGTTTTGCTTTGCGTTTTTTACGAGATAGATAAGCAATAATTATATGTAAGTTCTTCCACGTCCATATCGCTCGACGGAAGGATCTAGACTAGTCGTTGATTGGCTGCTATATCTGGCTGCGCAAACATTCTGGCTGCCGCAGCCTGGCTGCGTAGCCAGGCTGCCTAGTGCGCGGGGGCCCTTAAGTGTGATTGTACCATGTAAGTGGCTTTTCAGTGTGTTAAAACATTTGTAAACAATATTTTGTATTAACATGAATAAATAAATGAAATGAGAATAAATGACATTCCAGAAAGGTTCATGAGGTCTCTACATATTGCTGGCACCACTTTATTTAGAGGGTTTCTTCTTGTATTAAATCCTGTAGCCTGTCGCCTGCTACCTGTCACTTGCATCATCAGAGTATAACTGCAGCCTAACAAGCACACACTACACATCACTTTCCTTTTTTTTCCTCCCCCCCCCCTGACTTTGGGATCTAAGCAACCACTTATATGTTTCAAACTTCCTGTAATTTATATAATCTAATTTTCAATCATTTGTATTGGTTTTTATTACTTTTATCAAGGTTTATTATTATGTTTTTATAATTGCAGGTGGACAGATGTGATGCAAGAACTAGGCTTGAGTCCCAAGCATATGTGTCTTGGATTCATGGCACTTTGCAATTTGAACTGCAGCTATGGCAGAAAGCCGCAGAAAATTTCAAGCAAGCACAAATTATTTATGAAAAACTAGCATCTGCTTTGCCAGAAGAAGACCAAATTCCTTACAAGCAAAGAGTGGAAGAAATAGCTCCGAGTCTTAGATATTGTGCTTATAATATTGGAGATGAGAAGGCTGTGGACTTGTTAGAATTGAGAAGCCAAGGTGTGCTGGAAACATTTGATGCTTTAGTGTCTCAAACCAAGGTAAACACTGTCTAGCATTGATAACAATTTTTGTAATAGTAAAAATATAACATTACTTACATAGGTTGAGAAGGTAAGCCATTATTGGGCAAATACTTTTATATGGTAAGGCGCGTAGCATCGAAGGATGTAATGTGCGAGACCAATAATGACCTTATCGAACGAGGTGTGTGTAGAATTGTTCCACTGTCACCAGTATACAGGTTGTGTCATGGAAAATTACGCATTAGGCGTCATGCGCACTGAATGTGTTAAGCTATTGAGACAGACTATCCATGTTTGTAACATCTTAAACTAATTCTGTGGTTTTTATGCTGATAGAACTCCATTGCACTGTGCCAAGCAAAGATAAAACGATTTCAGAAAAAAATCTCTGTGGGCAACTAAATGACTCGAGCGAGTTCAAACTTGTACTGAAGGCGGATCACATGTATCCATGATTCGTTCATGAATGAGTTGTTCAAAATGAACGACTCTTGTAAGTGAGCGATGATTGAACACCCTTTTGTTACGAATGACTTGTTCAATTGTGCCAATCATGTCTGCAGCGTGCAGCAACTGAACTACAAACTGACAACATGGTACAGGGACTGTCTATGGAATTAGGTTCTGTTTTGAGATGTTTCATTCTGTTTTGCTCTAGAACTCGGTAATTCTTCAAAGGAGGACCACAATCGTTACATTCAAATTCAACCAAAAATATTAATGCTAATATAAATTCAATAACATAGACAACCCTAACCCTTCAATTCATTTTCATAGTATTTTATACATTCTCCCACTCTGAGTCAGCTTCGAGCTCGATCGGTAATCGTATCGTTCAAACAAGCGACTCACTGAAGAGAGATGAAGGAAATGAGCGAGCTCAGTGAAAAGAGTCGTATGTCAAGCGTAATCACATGTTCCCCTGACTCCCCCAAGCCTGGCGCCTCCAATGTTGCCAGATCGAACGCTACGTTACCTGTCTCATCACTCAATTTGAGTGGGAAAAGGTGTGTCTCAATTTTTTGATATTGGTATATTTATATGCCTCCAACTCCAGTAACTCAACGCACCTATTAGATATATTTCACTCATCATAGATGACTATGTACATTTGTCCTCAAAACTTAGAAATATATAACACAATGTATGCGCCCGCAGGAATTTCTCTCAGAGGAGGAAGGTCATTTAGTTGTTTCTTATACATATTCGTAGCTAACTGTTTTCTCAAAAGTGCTAACTTGTGACAACATAATCCTTTTTGAACTGATGGCAGTTGTGTGCGTGTGATGTCAACTGACTTGACGCCATTTTTTTTTCAGGAGAAAACAGCAGCTGTACTACATGAAATCCTTTGGTTTGGCATGAAGATTCCAATCAGAATTGAACGAATCCGTTTATTCTTGGTTAGCATTGAAGGCCTTGATGACTCTTTAAAGCATGCTGAAGACAATCAGGCGAGAATAAAGATCCTAGAGAACTTGTTTATTGATCTGCGTGATGTCATTTCTCTGGCTAGAGACAGCGCTCGCACTGAAAAGCAAGATCAGCTGCTTCTCTCATACTTGTTAAGCATCAGAATAGAACGTACCTCACAGCGTAACTTGCTGCTTATCATGCAGGTACAGTAAATAGAATATTTTAGTTTGATGTTAGCTATAGGCAGATCGAAAGTAGGAAAACAATTTAAAATTCATTTCAGACCAGGAAGCCTCAGGATTGCGTCCGTCTCTTGGACATCAACATCCAACAGACTACCGAGTTGACCCAAAACGAGTCTATTAAGGATAATGTAGATGCCTATAGGTACTATGAGGGACAATTGCGAGGTTATCGCACGTTGAGGTCGTACTATTTAGGCAAGGTGCAGGTTGCTCAGAAGAAGTGGAAGGAAGCAGCTGTGCTGTTTGATTCATCTTTTGAAACTGTTAATAAGATTAATACAGGTTTGTAGCTTTCTAGGCACGAGCAAAATACTATAGCTGAAAACTTAATTTGTCTGACGGCTTGAGTTCAATGTGTACGACAGAGGAGTGTGTATAGACACATATGTTAGAAAGAGATAGAAGCCGCCTGGATAGCAAAGCTCATCACCGCGTTGCCTAGCAACGCTGACGCGGAAATCTGCCACGTTGCCTGTATGTTACACCAGTCCCTGGAATTAAGATGCATATTGAAAATATGCGTTAGTTTATTCTTCACGCCGAAAATTTGAGCGTACACATTTTTGAAGTGTGAATTGTGTCGAATCTGTTTAGGATTGATTCCCGATCGGTCCTAACTGCGCTCCATTGTAGGTCGAAATAAAAGGTCAGTGGTTTGCTTTAGAACAGCGCATCTTGTACATTCCAATGCAAGGTTTCCACCTCTATGATCATAGTTGAGCGATTTTGGTCAGCACCCAACACCCATCTTGCGTTCGTAGGCGAGCGTCATCCTGCTTCCAAATGGCTTTCACCTGCGTACATGCATTTTCCGACTGCATTGAATTAAATTTGAACAGACCTCCTTCTTGGACCATAACCTAACCTATTATAGCAGCCTGTGTGAACATTCTCCTGGTGTAACATATTTTACCACGCAGTAGATGCACGACCTTCTGCGTCATCATTGCTAGGCAATGTGGTGATGACCTTCAGCCAAATTTGGTTTTCCTTGTAGATATAATTGATACAAGTTTATGACATCAGTTCGATACAGATCTATGTATCTATTGAAACATATCAAAAATTGAAATATGACAAATTTGGCGTACAGTGCAGTTCTAATGTTTCATGACAAAATAAACGAAACCTCCAACATAGCCCGAAAAATTAGAAAATCAATTTGAAATAACCCTTGAATCAAAATTCAGACGTCGAACTTCTGCTATTTAAACTAAAATATTTAAAATTGTGAAAAATGTGACTGCTTGAAAATGCCTAATAAAATTTTCTTAATATTAATGCTATGATAATGTGATATAATAAATGAACATACATCTTTTTATTACTCAAAGATCTAGCATCCTACTTTTTTAAAAAAATTGTAAAAAAAATAATTTATTTTATAATTTATTGTTTTGACATTAAGCAGTATCAAAACATGTACCGATTCAATTAATAATTTTTATGACATATCAATATCATACTGTTATACTCGTCACCGTTACTGTATACTTGATATTGTTGCTTTTATTTCAGCAAACTATATCTCAGAGTTGAAGGAACTTCTACAAAAAATTAAGGACAATGCTGCAGTGGATACAGTTAACGCTCAGGCCAACTTTGTATTGGATCAGGATGACCAACAGGGCATCCAACTACCTCAGAAAGTCTACAAAAGTAAGAAACCACTTGTGGAAAGATTGGATGAGTTCAGAGAGGAGCCCCAATTGCTCTCCAAAAATCCGAACCTTGTTCCGGTACCTCCGGCTATGGAGCCAGTACCGGCCAAGCCACTGTTTTACGATTTGGCACTTAATTTTGTGGAGTTTCCCGATTTGTCAGAAAAACTGGAAGGAGGACAGCCTAAGAAGCAACAAGGGGCTGGTATATCTGGATTTGTTAAAGGGTTGTGGGGATGGGGTAGCAAGAAGTAAATTGTTTGTGTATGGCATATTAATTACAGCACTTTGAAAACAATGTTTTTAAATATATACTATATCTTATATCTACGAACATCTTAGAAGTAGCATATAATTCATACAATAATGTCATCTGTGTTTTAAAGTTTGTTGGTCTTCCTTTCTTACTATTACCAGCCACTTTTATGTGACACTGATGCTACAAGCTACAATAAAAAACAACAGTTTGTAATGACATATTTATTATCACAAAAAATCATTTTAAAATCGAATATTTTAACACAAAAGAAATTTTATAATACTCGACTATTTAAAAATGTTTTATAACACAAAATGTTTCTAACAATAAGTATTGATCGACCAGCCAAAGATTGCTAGGGACGAAAGGGGGAAATGCGATGAAAAAACCTTACCATTAGACGATTTTATATGGAGTCATAGGCGGAGATCGGAGAGACTTGAATTATTAATTGAATTTATATTTTATTACAACTGGTAGTATTAATATTTTTTTGCGATTCATAATGACGTGATACCAAACATACATTATAAGAAATAAATATACACAAACACTGAATATTGAGAACAAAATAAATATATTTTTTAGGCAACAAGTAATATTCCTATGTACGCATTATGATTGAACAGCAAAACAAATTATGCATTCTTCTAAAATAGAATACAAGTCAAAAATATCTGACTGAATAGAAAAATATAGGAAAACAAAAAGTAATTTCTTGATGAAATAACCCATAAACAACACATAGAATTAGACTTTCTACTGAGATACTAAAAGCCACAAACCAATAGTATAATAAATGAATATCTAAAAATTCTAAAAGGTAGCCAATCTAGTATAGTTTCAATCCTGATTAGAGTCATGATCACTGTCTGAGGAACTGTCATTGCTATCACTTTCACCTCCTATGTTGATTATTATTTCTTCCTGTATTTCTTGAATGAGACTGTCTTTTTCCCAATATTCATCTTCAATTTTTATAACATGTCCAATAACCTTTTGCCAGTCACTGGCACTTACTGAAGCGATGGCCTTATTAGAAATTTCATCTAGTTTTTTTATAGTAAATTCGCCGCTTGTATTATGGCTTCTAATGAAAAATTTTACTTGTGCCCAAATCATCTCTATGGGATTAAACTGACACATATAGGGTGGCGTTCGAAGTGGGGTGTGTCCGAAACTTCTTATTAAATTATCTATCTTATAATTTTTCTCATCAGATGGTGGCCTATGTAGACAAGCTATTTCATAAAGCTCCATTTTTTTAGCATTAGGATCATGCTCTATACCTTTTTTGCTCAACCACGTGATGATGTCTCTTTTTAGAGAAGATCTAGTTGGAGGCTTGTCTTCCAAAGCTGAATGGTAAGGTGCATTATCCATTATTATAATACTATTAGGAGGAATGTTAGGAAATAGTTTTTCAGTAAGCCACTTCGTGAAATTTTCTTGGTTCATTTGACCGTGATAATCACCAGTGGCACAGCCAGCCTTGAAAATGAGACAGGCTCCAGGAACAAAACCATCTTGCGAACCCGCATGAACAATTATAAGTCGTCCTGGAAATGAATAAATAGCCTCATTTTAGTGTTATTTTAAGTTTGCCAACACCTTTTTGAATCATTATGTATAAAAAACATATTTTTGAGAAAAAAATACTTGCAAGGGATTATGTATTCAATTAGACAAATTAAATGAGCACTTATTAAGAATATTCCAAAATTGAGAAAAATGTATAATAAGCAAAATCGAGGTGAAAGAAACTTTATTACCTGTAGAACTTATATTGCTCAGGACACCCATAATTTCTTCGCTTTGCCAGCATTTCTTGAAAGTGAGGTCATTATCAACCCAAGTTTCGTCCAAATAAATAATATGCCTTCCTTCTTCCCGGAACTTTTTAATAGACCTAAGATACTTGTATCGCCAATGTAAAATACTGGGTCTTTCCATTAGTAATTTCCTTTTGTTGTGGCATTTACGCCAGTAAAATCCTTTTGCTTTTAAAAGCAGCCTCAACGATTCTTTACCAAATGGAAATTCCATTTCTTCCTTCAGTTTGATTAGAAGTTTACTACAAGTAGGTACCACTTTAAAATCACAGTAAAATTTTTCTATCATTCTCCGAATAATGGAAAAATCGACTCCATCAATTTTTTGGATCACAGAAGGGCGTGATCTCTTTTTTCCGGGAGAAGCTAAAGGCTGTGTGGAGGTTGCATTTTGCCTGTCTTTATCTTCTTTTCTAATTTTACTTATAGTTCGTTCACTAACACCCGTATAATATGCCGCCCTTGCATTTCTAGCTACCAGTGGATAAACGAAAGTATTGTTAGCCGCTTCTGCATCGCAAGCACGTATCACGTTTGGTATTATTTCCCTTGCCTGGCTGTGAATAACTTTCCCATGCTTGAATTCCATTATCACCACTAAACAGTAAATTATATTTTCAAAGTATTTGCCAACTGCCTACGCCTATGGGAGTAGGTTTATAAATGACCGTGCCATCGGCACGTTATTCTAGTTTCAGATAAGATAAGAGTTTTGGACCAATCAGCGACCGGATGTTTACCTGCGGCCTGGGTTTTCCAGCTACATTGCCAAATTCAGCGGAACAATTCTATATCTTAAATATGTTAATATGTATGGACCGCATTTTATGTAGAACATCTGACAACTTCGCAATTTTTTGTCCGCATTCTTTCGGCTTGCAATCTTTCGCTGGTCCAACTATACGTAACAATAGTTTTTAAATGCAAAAATGCAGGTAAAGATATCACAATAAAAGACTTGAAGTAACAGTTTGGCCTTACAGGAAGCTTCATCATAACTCTTTCTCCATGAATATCTCTTCTGATTTATCCTTCAGGTAACTATAGAGTATTTGTTGTTAGTTTTTCAGTATATAAAAATATTTTGATACTATACTATTGCTACTATATTTTTATAAAAGTATATAGGGCGAATTTAAATTACTTTTATCAAGGGATACAAATGTTAAATGTGACAAAATAAGCTAGGATATGTATTGGACAATATACAATTTTTACAACTAGGTGCTGTTCTGAAGATCGCATAAACAAAGAACCCGGCAACACGCCTATGAGAAAAGTGGTTTTGGTTAATTTCGATGATTTTTTTGTTATTTGTTTTGGCGTCCTTAAGGAATGTACTATTAGTCTAATCATATTAGATGAAAATACCCCTGGTTTGCGAAATAATTGTAAAGTCTGGTTTTATTGATGCAAGTTGTTCAAGGGGGTATTTTAATGATGGACGCATAAAATGGAAAACCTTTTTATTCAACAACCAAGAATGAGAAAAGGTTTTTTTTGAGATTCAATGGAAAGTGTTGGCAGGAAAGAAAAAACTCTTCAAATAAGATTTTTAGGTATTTATGAGACCCACAGAATGAGACCACACGTAAAAAGATCCGACTAATAGTAAAAAAGTTATGTCCGAAAACCGAGGCAAGATGCAGGTTTTCACACTTGGTAATTCGACGATAGTTTCATGCAGATACTTGAAGTTATTCAAATTCGTAGGCTTCATACTTATAAATAAAGACAACAGAATTGGAGTCGATTGGTCAAGTAGCTTTTGCGAATTTAATTAAAAACAAGCACAAGCTGTTGTACACTTGTTGCGGGCCCGTTTTGTAGCTGTACGTGTTGCTTAATGGCACCCGGCATAACTAAAAAAAATCAGCGTTATCAACCGAAATAACTTTTTCTCATAGGCGAGTTGCCGGGTGTTTTCTGATATAATTTAACGACAAAAACCGTTCTATTAAAGATATATTTGTAATTCAAAGTTGTCATAAATTCTGTACAACTTATCTTTTTAATGAATGTGAATTCTAATTGATATAAATTTAAGTATTATTTGTTCGCCTAAGTGCACGTTTACATCAAACGCGCTTCGCTTGGAGCTGTGCGCTTTGCTTTACAGCCCAGTAGGAAGCGAGAGGAACGACAACACAGCTTTAAATGAATGTGTTCAGACCGCGCGCATGGCGCTACGCGCTGTGCCTTACGTTATACTATGCGGAGCGGTGGAAAACGCGATGTGTTGGTTTTGCGTTGCGTTTTGCCTCGCTTGTTCAGACAACTCCGAGGGTTATCTGCATAAACACAATGGAAGAAGAAATTATCACCGCCGTTTTTAAACGAGAGGCAATATGGAATCCGAAGCATGCGTTGCATAAAAATGTATACGCGTTACAAAAAATGTGGAAAGAAATAGGAGACGAAGTTGGAAAAGATGGTGAGTTCATATTATGTTTTAACTAGGGATGGATATAATATATCAACTTTTAGAATGTGTCGATGTCTTCTTTTTGTTGTCCGTATTTTTGCATCGGTTTTGGTTTCCATGTATAGGGGCGTATTCGTGTTTTTATTCTATGTATAAGTGGTTTGCGATACGTCATCTGTATAAACCATCGTGTGTATGAGGTAGTAGCAGTTTTAATTTTTAAGGCAGAGTAGTTAAAGAACAAAATAATTAGGGAATAGAAACTCAAAGATAATACTATATAATACATTTATTGTACGAAAGAAAATTGATTCTGCCACTCAACTGCACCAGTAGTCACAAAATAATTTGTTAATATTTCTCTGGTTCTCTTTGCATCTTCGGAAAAGCGATACTGGGAGTGTGTGTAGGTACTCGGATTAATATCGCCGCTAAAGCCCGTCTGACATTCCTTATTTGTCTTAAATCCCTCCTGTTCTATAACAAAATTGTGCAAAATACAAATGGCCTTTACAATATTTATAGCTGTCTCAATTTTTGTTTCGATAGGTTTTAGTAAAATTCGCCATTTGCCACTCATTATGCCAAATGCGCATTCAGCACATCGCCGGGCTCTGGAGAGACGATAATTAAAAATTCTTTTTGAATTATCTAAATTTCTTCTAGGATATGGCCTCATTAGGTATGGAAGCAGAGGGTAAGCTTCATCGCCTACTATAACCAATGGGGCTTTTATATTTGTTTGTGGTAAGCATTGATCAGGTGGGACGTCAAGCTCTTTTCTGTCTAATGCTCGAAAAAGCGACGAGGACCTAAAATTTCCTCCATCGCTTTGGCGTCCAAAACTCCCAATATCAACCGCAATTAATTTACAGTCAGCATCAACTAGGGCTTGAAGTAATATTGAAAAATATTGCTTATAATTATAGTATAGAGATCCGGTATTGGAGGGACATTTAACTTCAATATGTTTGCCGTCAATACTGCCTATGCAATTTGGAAAATTCCATTTGGTCCAATATTGTTGTGATTTATTGTGCCACGTTGCTTGTGTAGGTTTTGGTAGGTAATCACTTTTCATGGTATCCCATATTACCATGCATGTATGATTTACAATATTTGAAACTGTTGCCACCCCCAATCTGAAGTGTAGAGCTAGGGATCGATAGGATTCTCCAGTAGCAAGAAATCTGCAACAAACATACATAAAATATGCTTGGTGTTAATAGCAATTTTTGTTTCAGTTCAAACTGTTAAAAATAAATGGAAATACTTGAGGGACTACTTTAACAGAGAAACAAAAAAGTTAGAAAAACCCAGATCAGGCAGTGGAGCAAATGAAGCTGTAGCAAGTCCTTGGCAATATTATTCTCTTTTGTTATTTTTAAAAGACCATCTGCAAACCCCACTGAGGGATGCAAATATAGAAGCGGAAAGGGTCACAGAAGATATTGACTTAGAATATAATGATATACAGGACGTAGAGTCGCAAGATTCTGACAATGTTTTGTCACCGCCATCGACCAGCAGTCAAGCACCTTCAAGGTCTGCAAGCCGATTATCTTCTACTTCTGAAACTCGGAAGGGGGCGCAGAAGCGAAAGAAGCAACTGGCAACAGAAAACGACAATAGCGAACTAATAATGTTAGAAAAACGGAAACTTGAGCTCCTAGAGTCTGAATCACTTAAAGAAAATGATGATGATCTTTTGTTCCTAAAGAGTCTTTTGCCATACATGAAGAGTCTTCCTGCTTCAAGAAGATTACGTCTAAGATTAAAGTTTCAGGAACTGCTTCTTCAGCAAGTTGAGGAGCATGAAAGTGAAGTTTCACAAAATGTTTGTGGACAACCTCCGGCACGTGTCTTTACCTTCCCCGCTCCCTCAAGTTCCGCTTCGGACAATCATACATACCATCATCACATACCGATACAGTCAACACATCCGGATCCGACCACACACAATGTATCTGAAGGTAGTGAATTGGACACCCCTATGCGAAGTTTTTTTTCAGGATATAACGCGTAACATTTTTATTCGGACAAATGTATTTTTTAATAAAATAAAACTCAGTTTTTCATAAACACTATAATTTTATTTTGGCTTACCTCAATGTTATAACCAAACGTTGTTCTGCTGAAATCCTTTCACGGAAATTGGTTCCAATCCCACATAAATAAGGATCCAAATGGCTTAGGAGAAGGTCGAAAGATTCCTTTGACATCCTCAAGTATTCATAAAATTTTTCTGGATATTTTCTGGCATCTCGATAGAGGTGATAGAATTCTCCGAACGATTTCCTACATATATTAATCTCATGCACCCACGATCGTTTTAGTTTTTTTCTATTCACTTTCAACGCAATACTTTCGAGTAGTAATATCTTCTTAACTCGTGAAGGAGCCATGGTGAAATGCTTGGAAAATGCGTCTTTAAATATAAAGTGTGTTTTAATAACAGTCGAGGTATGAAAAGCGAAGCGCCTCCGATATGAATGAACCCGAACGCATAGAGGTTCGCTTGACATGAAGTGAGGCGCACAGCTCCAAGCGAAGCGCGCTCGATGTAAACGTGCCCTAAGCCTTATCTGTTATACTGTTACTAAGATCAGAAAATTCAGTATAGACAAAAAAGAGAATTATTCACTGTTTGTTTACTAACATATGGAGGTATTCCATTAAGAAAACCCTTAGTATATTGTTGATGTCCTCCACTGTGTTCATGTCAATGATGCTGCGATCGTCCTCTGGTGTATGCCATTCATTCGGAAATGGAGTTGATATCAGGTGGAGTATCGGAACATCTAGATAATAGATACAAAATGATAGACTACAAAACATGTTTAAAGGATAAATAATTCTTTTCATGGACATGAAGGTAAGCAACTCTGTCAATTTTCAATGTTCACCAGCCTAACAAAAATATATAACCAGTGTGGTATAAAGAGGCGGATCAAAATATTAGTCTCCACACCATTATATGAAGATCATTGTACATACAAAATAAGAGCTGAATCTACTAGAACAGATGTTACCAAACCCTTTTTTCTCATAGCATACTTTAACCATTCTGCTGGTGGCTATTATATTCCTACCATATTCCAAAAGCTCTTCAAAGTATGAAGATACGATCTAGCGATACAAATTTTCACAGTTGTAAAAGTAAAAAAAAACTTCCTATACCCATATATTAATTAAAATAGTATGATTACAAACTTAATGGGAATAAAATTAAATATTAGTAATGTAAAACATATCTTCTATTGCAGTATAAATTTGGGTTTGGTAATGTAAACAAAAAGTGAATCTGTTCCTTTTTTCGGTTAATAGATTTGTAGCAGCACTAAAAACTTTTTGCAGTTAAGTAAAATTTTCTCTCAATTTTCCTGGATATTGGTCGAATATTCCTATCTGTAGCCAAAATAGTTGATACACTTTTTCAAATTTCACCATCAGATCATTTTTACGCCCGTTTTATATCAACAATTTCTTCACGAATTTATTCGGATGGATTTTTTCAAGGTCATCCTGATTATGTTTTGGAGTTTTGGGGACAAATTCATGAAGTATTTGGCAATATAGAATGGTGCCATCCAAACAATATATGAATTGTGGTTTTGATTTTGAGGCGAACCTGATAAACAGAAACCAGATCGTTGAATACCATAGTTTTAGCACACTTCTATACTTGAATTGAAAAGTTGGAAAGAAAAACAAGGTTGGCACCATGGAATTTGACAAGTTCTAATTTCGGAAAAAATCCACGAAGAGCTTCAGGGATTTATTTGACGTCAAATTACTGTTACAATTTGGACACTTTCCAGGCATTGGCAGCGGGTTGCGCGCGCTTCTTTGCAAGTCTGTACACGCGTTGCACCGACCATCGAATATACGAGGGTCAGTCCGTGGCCTTCTTGAAAGTGAGAAAGTTCACATTTCAAATTTGAATTACGCGGCAAACGTATACGCGACGAAGTGGGGAGAGGTCTTGATCGACGCGTTCGGCGTGAGGGTTAAATAGTCACAATGGAGCGTTCGACCGGAGCTGCCCTGCGAAAATTTTGTACACGATACAACATTCGCCGACCAACAGATGCCCCAAGTAAGAACCTATTGAAAAAGTGGATTAAGAGGTTCCGTGAAACAGGCTCTACTCTTAGTCAATCTATCCCTGGCCCCACACCTACTGTATCAATGAAAAAATGTGCGTCGAGTAGTGATTCGGTCATTGCTAATCCTCGGCGTTCTGCACGGAAGTATTCCGCTGTTTTGGGAATCCCTAGGTGAACACTGCATGACATAATGAAGAAAAAAGTGGGTTTTCATACAAAGTCCAAAGGTGACTGATGCGGCATATCCTCTAGCGGTATTATTGGGCCGTATTTCTTTAAAGATGAAAACGGTCATGCATTGACAGTCAATTCCGAACATGACTGACACTTTTGTTAGCTCCTAGTGCAAGAACAGAACGTCGATTTAACAGAAACACATGGTTTCAACAGCACTTTTTCCTCAAAAAGTTATATCGAAGTTTGGAGACATTCACTGGCCTCCTAGGTCACCGGACCTCACGCCATGCGATTATTTTTTGTAGGGTCATCTAAAGTCAAAAGTGTATTCCAATAATCCACGAACACTGGAGGAGTTTAAAGACAACATTCGACGAGAAATAAACATCACTCTGGAACTCTGCAAGAGTGTTTCAGAATTGGCGCGCGCCATTAGAAGAGTGTATTCGAAGGGATGGCAAACATTTGGACGGAATCATATTTAAGAAATAAAACCCGCCGAATTTTTGAATATGTTGGTAGTAATAAATATTTTCTTTTCATTGAGTTTGTATTTTTTCTTATACCAAAAAGTAAACTTTCTCACTGGACAGCCTGTATTTCCTGACTACAATAATAGATAAAGTTGTCAACATTTTTGCGCCTTATGGATCGAGATAAATTTCCCACTTATAACTTGGGAACCCCCATTTTCTTTTCGCGTCAATATAGACCCGTTGACCCTCCTGTGGTCCACTCGGGTCCATCTAGACTACTTTGGACATCATTCATCTATAAATGTCAACACTGATGATTGAGAAATTATTCAGTAACTTACCTCGTTGCATAAATGGTATGTGATCATCTTCAATGTATGAATGGGAAGCCCTTCTTACAAAATATCGTTGGTTTTTTGGTTTCTTCATCAGACCTAGGCTACTCAAATTGTCTTCGATCTCAGCAAGTCTGATAAACCTTGAAATTCAAATGAATAACTCATCAAATTGCATACATAAAACATGCATACAGGTATGTCCTAATCAAAAATTTAAAGCGATTGTATGTGACATTTGTAACAAATTCCTATTTACAAGTGTAATAGAAATACCCAAAAATCTAAAGGATTGCGAGCATAATAAGCAATATGTGGTGTGGCAGAAATTTGTTACATCCCGGGTACGAGCGTTAAATACGCTGCAAGAAAGTGCAGTTAGCATTACACCGATGAAGAAAGAACAGACAACTACTGTAGCATTCTTATTGTAGCGTCGCATTAGCATCGGTCTATTGGATTATGTAAATCTTGCAGTGCAAATTATTTATACAGGGTCTTCCTTAATACATAAGATATGACTCCTGAAATAATTTAGTCTAGAAAATTATATATGAACATATGTCCACAATGGCTTAAATTTTCAGCTATAATTTTTACGAAGAAAAATATTTTTTTTTATATCTTTATACTTTAGATATTTTTATTTTTGGGGGATATACACTACTTTTATTCGAGTAAAAAAATTCTATTGCGTCGCCACTGCCGTCCCTGCCAAAGTATAACATATTTTACAAGAATTAGTATGCCATTGACATTTTTCAAGGTGATTTTTTTTCCAGTAAGTTTATTCTATTTCTTTTCTCTTTATCGGTAAAGGCCTATTCATGACGTGACAGTGCTGTGACTGGCACGTGATCCGCCCGGCGAAACTAAAAACAGTCTTCCTGTAATTTGGATGAACTGATTCACACTAGACCGGCACGTGAAAGTGACCGTGTTCTCAGTGCCCTCTACGACGCCGTACCGTGATCATCGCATTGTTTTGGAACGATATTTTTCGATTTTCACGGCCGTGTTTTTATGTAATTTCGTGAATATTTTGATATATTTGGTCAAAAACATGAATGATGGAAAACTAATTGAATTTGTGAGCGCACATCCCGTGCTGTAAAACCAGTCAAATTCAAAATACATGGACTTCCGTTTTCTTCTCGTTTCTTCTTCATCCAGAATTAATGCAATAATTGCAAGTTCATCCTCTGAAAATTTTGCCATTTCGACCTAACGTGAACACAACTGCACTGTCAGAGCACAGAGAAAAAGACTGACCGGTGTGAATTGAAAACACTGTGAGCTCACGTCATCGAGAATCACTGGCACGTCACGGCTGAGTGTGAATGGACCTTTAAAATAACAAAATGGTAACTGCTAATAACCATATTGAAAAATATCATATATAAACAATAGTCACTTCCACCTGTTCACCTTGAACATGTTCTAACGGTCACTCTCGGTGCTCTATTTCTATAGAACCATCCATGTCGACTTCAAATGAAGTGGTGCGGCTGATTTTTGACTGACTCACTATAGAGTCAAACACTCTACATTGCACTCTACAATTTGGCTAGCTATGTGCTCATGAATAGTTTTTGGTTATGATTGTGTCAAATACGGCATGTTGGAGATAACGCAAATCTGGCTAAATGCTGCGGCGTTTATGTGGAGTCATAGCATCCTGGTAATACTATTTGTCATTGTTGGTTGGAGCAGCCCAGTGGACATTTTCTCTTAGTTTAAAGTTTTGTCAGCCTGCTTGTCAATTCTAGTTACCCAGATACCAGATAAGTCGGGTGAAGGGGACAGAAAGGACGGAATAGAGCAAAGAAATCAGTTGTAAAAACGATGACTACAGTGCAAGACCTGGAGTGTCTGTGAAGTTGCCCAATTGTGTAGTTCTCGTATATTGCCATGCAACAGTCGACTGTTGTTTTAAGTAATTCTAAATTCCTTTAATATGAAGGTATTATCTTATACATGCACAAGGCGAAGCGAGGCGAACTGAATCGCGACCGACATTTGTCATTTACACGCGTCAAATGTGACACGTCGCTCACGTGTGTAGGCTGTCATTTGATTATTTGTAATGGAACCCAGCGGAAGTTTAACTTATTTTCTCCTCAATAAGCCTGCACAAACTGAATGAAGATTGAGAGCAAAACTTGCGTAGATAATGGAAGTTGAAAATATGTTATCTTTGACTTACCATTTTTCAGTTTGAGAAAAATGACTTAGGAACTTGGTTCCCCTGTGACCTATCAAATCTAATAAAACCAACATATCCATTTTCTCTAACTCGGATACTGATTCTCCAGATTTTATTGAGCTCACAGTGCTTCCATACACTTCAGCCAGATGTTTTGCACCATAAATAGAATCATTTGGTCCCCATTGATGGAATGCTTCTTCTCCATCAAAGAAAACTAGCTTCAGATTCAGGTTCCGATTGTCTTTCAGCTGACCTAGTTCATTTTTCAATTCTTTAGCCAGGTTTAAGAGCATGGCACATGGTACAGCAGAATCTGTAGCACCTGCGATTTGGAAATAAAAATGTTATTTAATAGTTGAACAGTTCTCTATTTTTAGTTGTTATGGAGGTTTGATCTCAATCCACCTTTTTCATTTGACTTTATTGTTTTCAGAAAGCATGTAGAATAACTTACCGACAAAAACTTCTTTTTCAAAATATTTGCTATCATAGTGGCAAGCTAGTACAAGGTATCTGTCAGCATTTGGATTCAATGTTGCTATGATATTCCTGAACTTCAATCTTCCAAATATTGGAGTATTATTTTCAAACTCATCAATATCAGTGTTCCATCCTAGGTTTTGTAGTTCTTTTTTGATATATTGGAAGACTTTTTCATGGTTAGGTGTTCCTACCACTCTAGGTATCAGTATATTATTCAATACTTCATTGGTATATTTAACATTAGATAATCCAGCTACATATCGAATTTCAGAGTTGGAAAGTTGTTGAGTTCTGTGGTTTTTCTAAAAAAGGATATCTTTATTTTGAATGTTGCTATTGAAGTATACTTTCATTTTAAATATGCATGAGATACATGAATAAATGCATTGAAAACATAGTGAAGATAGTTTAGCTCTAGATATAGATTCTGTTTATCATTAAATGTATTACCAATGAAACCCATTTAGGCTAGGTTTAGTATGTATGCAATGGCATTTGAAACAAAAAATTGAAAATAGATACAATCTAGGATTACAGAGGGTACTATAAAAGTTTTGCAATATCACTTAACAAACGGACGCGAGGCTGCATGTTGTGACATGAATATGAGTGCATGGTAGCCGCCAGCAGCACGTCTGTTGATTTAGTTGTTCATTCGTATTGACAGTGTAAAATGTGGACTATGGCATCGTGGTCACGTAGTGAGATAAGGGTAGTTTTACGGCCAGTGCTTGGAAGAAATGACGCTTGCATTAAAGAATGATTGTCCTCATCGTACGACTATATTCTGGTGGTACAGAGAATTCAAATGGGGCAATTTCATTCTGGAGAATGCCGAGAGGGAAGGAAGGCCGCGAACGTCAGTAAAAGTGGAAAACATAACTGCTGTGAGGAAAATGCTTGATGAAGACCAGATAGTGACATATCAACAGATAGAGGAGACCCTTACACCTTTATGCACCAGCAATTCATTCAATTCTGCATGACCATTTACACGTAAGGAAACTTTGTTCGTGCTGGGTACCGCATTGTCAGACGGAAGAGCAGAAGACTCGTCGTACGACTTGGTGCAGAACGATGCTGAAAATGTTTGATAAGTGGCAATCTCGGTGTGTGAACAGTATTGTGACAGGTAACGAGGCTTGGCTCTATTATTACGATGTGCCGACCAAGGCTTAAAACAAAGTTTGTGTCTTTGATGATGAGGACACACCCGTAGATGTCAGAAAATCCTGATCTGTTAAGAAAAAAATGATAGCTGTATTTTTCAAAAGCGAGGGGGATTGTGGGGCGTGTCGTTTTGGACACACAGAAGAAGTCACAGCTAAGTGGTAAAGGTAACAGTGCCTACCTAAAGTCATTGACTCTATGAAAAACCTGCGGCCAAAGTCAAGAATGAACACTTGGTACCTCCAACATGACAATGCTCCGGCTCACTGCACCAAAGCCTGTACCGAGTATTTGACCACTACTGGACTGAAACTTATTGAACACCCTCCTTACAGTTCAGATCTTGCTCCCTGCGACTTTGCACTGTTTCCGCATGTGAATATGAGGAACTTCTGAGGGCTGGTGCCGCACTCCTGGGTGAAACTTGGCAGAGCTGGTTTAAAGACTGTTTTTTGGTGGATGGAGCAGTGTATTGAATGTGGGGGAAATTACTTTTAACAAAGTTAATAAATAAAGCCGTATTGCAAAACATTTATAGTACCCTTTGTTCTAACAAATTTGTAGGAATTTATCATAAATAAAACTTTCTGAAACATGATACCTTTCTATTTTTTTTCAGGTAACCATGTGAAACTCATAATACTTTATAATTATATCTGACCTTGAAATATATGATATATAATTTTGAAATGGCTATAATTTTCATGTACACGAGTTCATAGAGCTGGAAAATATGATTAACACAAAACTCATTATTCACTATAACAACTCATTTAAGGGAACCCAAAAAAAAAGAAGTAAAGAACAATCTTGAGAGTATACTATATACCAGGCCTCTCCAACTCAGGTGCCACCAGTGCAGCGCCGAGCACCGCTCGCAGTACAGTGCTGCGTGGTGACTCCGTGGAAGGTGTTGTGCTAACCGTAGCACCCTGCGAATAGAAATGACCCAGGAGCTGGTGGCATTGAGTATACCTTCATCGCGGATTCGACTAAATTTAGTAATAATATGTAGTTTTTAAGTAAACAAACAAGAAGAGCATCCTGCCAGAAGTACCTGTCATACCGACTTAAAGATACACCGTGACAAGAGAATTTCACCGTCTTCACCGAATCCAATGAAGCCTACAAGGTTTGATGGAAATTTTAGGCTCATTTGGAAAAACATGGTATGACAAAGTGATTTCCGCCAGAAGTTTCTGTCGTACCGATTGAAAGCTATAGCAGGCAATGCAAACAGATCAAAATAATACATCCTGTTTGTATGCTTCATGCTTGAATTTAAAATCTTATTTGAGTCAGTTTGACACCAGGCTTCTAGATGTTCGAAACCATGTATGTATGTAAAATGAATATGAAACGTCATGACCGTTGATATACGTATAAGTTATGGTAAAATCCTACCGTCACGTTGTATCTTCAAGTCGATATGACAGGTACTTTCATCGGCATACCAAGCCCTTTTTGGTCATTTAGTTTGAAACTACATATCTGTACCCGAGAGGTAAACAATCGTAAATCCAAAAACTAAAGTTTCGAGTAATGGATGAAACAGGCAAAAATATTAAAACACAGCTTCGACAAAATTAAAAATAGTATCAACATCAAAAAGGCGGTTTTTAACAAAATAGCATATTTTAATCATTATTTTTATTTTGGGGTAATATTACTAGAAGATCTCATAATTGAGTCAAAATGGACCTACGGCTGTTTACCTCTGAGCTACTGATTATTATTACTAAGTTTAGTAAAATCCGCGATAAGGTTTAATTTTGCCGGTTCCCAGCCCCAACGGAAAATGAGTGTGGAGTGACATTCGTATTGACGTTTGAATTGGTTTGATCTAGTCAACGCGTGGGTGATAAAATAATGTTCATAATTTCGACGTAAACACATTTATTCTTAAGATGATCTTTGACAGCGTTTCGATTGAACGAGTTTTCTAAGATTTGGTACAGTGGCTTGAGCAGTGGAAATTCTGAGTATCGCCTCTAAGGACACATCAGACAAAGACCTGTTTTTAGTTTTGTTCAAATTCATTAAAGAAAACAATCTGCTCGCAGAGATCTTGCTTTCGCTGGCGCTCCATCAGTAACAACACTACGCAAACTTTTGAGTAGTATACTGATGTCATTCATTGTGTATTCTACAGCATCAAAAATATCTTCTCTGGCCATTGTATCTTTGAGCGGGATAATGTCTAGTAGTTCGTCATTGATAGTAAAGACTTTTTCGACACCTCTAACGCAAACAGCTAATTATGCTGTGTCAGAAATGTCTTTACTTCATCCAGAACTATAGAATACTGCACAAGATGGGCACACAAGTTCAAGTATCCGACGAAAAATTGTTTGCTTGGACATACTAATTGTCTTAGGAGATTGCTTATAGGAGATGGGCACAATATTTCTGCATACTCCACTAAGCATTACTTGACAAGTGCACCATCAGTAAAACGGTCTCCCACTTTTTGCGATTTTCAAAGCAACAATATAACTGCATTACGACACCATTAATAATAATTACGACCAAATTAATAATTACCTCTTCAGAACTTAGAAGGGCTGGCCTCAATACCGTGTGACAAATTAAACATTTTGCTTTTCCATCAGTATTTACAAAAAATAGGTTTCTTCCATGCAGAATTGAATGACATCGTTTAAAAAAAGATGCACGTTAAGACACTAAAAAACCTGTCCACAGTCAGCTAATATGTTTGTCTGGGTTCAGCACCGGAGCGCACCAGCACCAAGTGCTCGAGTTGGAGAGGTCTGCTATATACAATGGAAAAATACTCTTTTCTCTGAACAGTAGCAACCTTACATTAATTACATAATTTTAAGAATACAATTTTGGAAACTAAGCACATTTTTTGTAATACAAATTAAAGGGATGTAACAAAAATCTAGAAGGATTACGTTGGCAAAAATTTACTTATACTTACTTATATGAGCTTGTTTATGTGTATAGAAGCAAAATAGATTATACCTTATACCACATCCTCATTTAATTCAATTAATAATCAGTAACTACAATAATTAGATGAACCATCTCATCTAAAGGCTCACGTGAATTATGAAGTGAGGTTCAGAAGTTATTCTGAATAGATAAATACATCAGTGATATCACAATAAAATCAAGGTTTTTGAATCTTTAGACCACTGCTGATTTTTTTTGACTTGTAATACATTTTTAGGAATTAGCATACATTACAAATTACTATACAGGACACTAGTGAATATTATATTAGCTGTGGCTAACAGCATACAAATACATTCTAATTTGTTCACAAAAGTGGCCATGAAAAAATATTGCCTTCAATTTTAAGACTTAACTAAAATTGATTAGAACATTTCTATCAGGGTCGATATTACAACTGGCATGTCCTCATTTGTTTGTATTATTGAAAGAATCTGGGAATGGAAAACTAATCAACATTTTCTTTTATTACAAACAGAAGCATCTCTTACCTGTAATTTCTTCAACTGCGACGCATATCCTTGTACAAAAACTGCAGCTATAATCACAGATCTTACAAAAACTGGTATCATTTTGCCTATGAATACATAAATTGTTAAAAAACAATGTTAGGAGGAGAATTAAAACATCTACTCCCTAACCTAAAAATTACCGTCAACCGTCAACGTCAGGACGTGCAGTGTCAAAAATATCAACACGAGAAATGCAAAGGTTCGCTGATCACTCTTAAGTATGATGCGCCATCTACCATGCCATTGTGAACATACTATGCATCGAGATTGGATAAGGTATGGTGAAAATTTACTTCATGTGATCGAGATGGGAGCAAAACTGTTTTTAAATAAAGGTGAATGTGTATTGCAAATATGGTGAATGTCCCACATTTTTTTATATACTGAAATAATTTTTCGTTGCTTAATCGCAGCCCTCTTTTCAGAAATTTTCTGACAGATGTCAGTAGGGAGAAAAGGTCTGCCGTGTCGCTGCACTGGAAGCACAGCAGCACGCTGTAGAGTTTGGTGAACGAAACTTGTCCAGTCCGATCGAGCAGCATCTATTCCTTTCTCATCATATATGACCGGGACACTGGGAAACTCTTTAAGAAGTGATTTGTATAGTTCCCAATCAACTCTTTTCCTTGGAGGAGTTTCCTCCTCCACGAAATGACCATTATCTACCTTTAGAACAGGTAGCTGGTCTCTGGAGATGTCATACAAGATCCTAGAAGCAATACTAAATCTGCAGTTTTTAGGTATTGCAAAGTCAAACCTCCGGTGCCTGAAGGTGATTGCAAGAATGGTGTGTCGGCTCTTCGGTGCTGTGGATAAGATACCCGTTTCGCATCATATGCTTGTAAAGCCGAACCCCTCAAGTAGAGTTGAGCATTGAGTATCATGATCGGTGTTTGCAGACGTAGTCCCCTGCCGCAATAAGAGGGCCCGAACAGCCCAGAAGGACTTCCAAGTCCTCCTTTCGCAGCCTGGCATCGCACCATGACCATGACCGAGGTGATCTTCAATGGGATGCATCTCGGCGTTTGTGTTTCTGTGATAGTCAATACCATTGAATCCGTCAGCGCGTATAACATCGGAATTCGAGAAAGCTAATCGCTCCCGGATTAAGTATTGTTTCTTGCAGCAGAGCTACTTCTATATTATCATCCAATAGAGTTTGATGAAATTCCCATTTTTTGGAAACACCTCTTAGACCCAGACAATTCCAAAAAAGAATTTTGATAACTGCAGGTCGTCTATTGTACTTAGCCATTCAATGGCTGCGGAAAGATCGCCTGCAATCACTGAGCGGCGATAATCAGAGCACTTTTCATTTGTTGAAGGTACCTAAGCGCAGTTGCTAGGTTCACATTCTGCGTGTTCAAAGTGGGTTGAAGAGAGGGGGGGCCGAAGATGTTGAGACGGCTTCTTCCGCGTATGACTTGCTGCGTCTTTGCGCTTTAACTTCCAGATCTCTCCTGGGGTGAAACGGCGAGTGGGACTGTTAGCGGGATGCGCCCCTCCACCTAAATGTGTCATGTGGTCGGAAGCACATTTTAAACATTTGGGAGGTGCTGTGCAGTAAGACTGCGCATGACCACACCTTTGGCAGCGGTGACACTGCCCAGTAAGTCTACAGTTCTTCTGAACAGGTGCTGGGACATTTCAATCTTGGGCAGTAGCACGACCACCAAAGGCTTGGGTGTGCCGCCACTGAACGTATGATGGGACACGTCTTCCTCACTGAAGAGGCCAATGATCCTGCGGTAGTCATCCTCAATTTTCGGCAAAATCCTGATTCTTGCATCAACGGCAACTGCGCGTTCTATCTTAATGCCTAAGCTTATGAAGTAGTTTAGATTCCGTGACTTGGCCGCATCATGCAAAACAATGTGCGAGATTCACCTCTGGCGGGGTGCTGTGCTGGTCAACTCACCAGCAACGTGAGATTATTGAGATAATGCAAAGTTAGTCGATGCAATGGCCGAAAATGAGGAAGATGTGGTCGCTGCATCGACTGGCATAGGGCAAGTGGCAGTGGAAGTTGATACATTTAATGAAGCTGACGGTTTTGAGAGGACTGTCAACTTGAATTTGGATTTTGCTTTTGGATGAGGTGGAAAGTCATCCGTCTTGTCGGCTTTTTCGTATAGTCTGTTTGCTGAGAATCAGCAAACTGATAGTCGGCGACAAGTCATGACCTAGTTTAGTCAGTTAGCTGTCACTGATATGTCGCTGACTGTATAGATTGCGTACATAAGAACGTTGCGAGTTAGCTGAGGGAGTCAAGACTGATTACCGACAACTAATCCGCTGTTCGTACAGAAACTTCTGACTGTTTGATGACTGTCAAATTAGTCAGCAGATAATTTGCCAGTAAATTGTCAGAGCTCGAAATCAAGTACAATAATTATTCGAAAGTAAAATTTTTCAGAATGAAGTAGACAATTTTGGAAAAGTTGGGGTATATTCGCTTGCTGCAAACCAGAATCATCTAGGATTCATCGTCAACTGTCCGAATTTTCCTCTAGAGAGGCAAACATGGGACACTTTCTAGAAAAAATAACAGCACCAAAAAATGTCAAGTAGATTTTCTCAATATTCCTATTCAATTCTCATTTAAAAAGTATAAACATAAATTCGAAGAAATATGACTCCACACATCGAATGACAAGTTGAAGAAGTAAATAGTAAGAATTCTGAATAAACGTCTGCAGTGATGCATGAGAAATGTACAAAGTACTGAATAACTCTTAATAAAACTCGGATAGTATTGTTTTTGTTCCCTTTTCGCCCAGCGTCGAAGTGTATGCACAAAAAGTATTTATATATTCTAACTATGCAAGTCCATCCCAAAGCTGATGGAAAAAACCAAAATAACGAATTCTCGAGATTTTTGGATACGGCTGTTTTTGCTGGGGTGAAAATAATTTCCCTGTAGAGGGTATTTAAAATTCGACCCTCACCATTGGAATCTCGGAAACTTTAGGGATACAAAGTCGCTTAAATAGGGGCAAAGTTGCGTATTCAGATAATCACCAAATTGTCGCTTAGAAAGTTTTGAAATTGAAAGAGACGAAATTTCCCAAAATGGTTTTAATCTTTTCTTGACTTCATTTGTGGTGAGATTTAAAAATTAATTGTCACATCAACAATGCCACATTTTCTTCTCTACAAGACGGCACAATTAGAAGTTCAAAATGACGTTTTGTCTCTTGTCCTCCAGCATCAACCTAATTTTGGATATTGGATTTTTACACACATGAATAGAATTTTTATTCTGATTCTTAGTTATTCCAGAAGTTCCTAGATAGGCCTTGACATTATCAGATTTCATTTGTTTGCATAGTAACAGAGTTTGGAAGACTGTGAAGACCTCTGCTCATTTATGGTTATTATTGTTATTACCATCAATACAATTTTCATTTCGTGTTCCGGTTTCACCTCATCTCTTTATTTCCTTACAGTATTCATCCAATAACAAATTTAAGGTCATCTAACAACATTCCAATATAGCGTCTGTATTAAAAGGCAAACTTGATGATGAATTTCGAAAGAAGAAATGTCGAATTGAAAATTTGACTACGCCATCTTGTGGACGAGAATAAGTAATAATGATAATATACAATTTTTTTGGAATCCCATGTCAAATGAAGTCAGGAAAAAATAAAGCGATTTTGGGATAAATCTGGTGAGCGAAACAAACATCTGATAATCTGAAGGCCTACTTAAGAAATTCTATTTTTTTTGAAGTAATTAAGGTTCGGCAACGTCAATGTATCATAATTAAAATTTCTATCCATCTGTGTAAAAATGCAATATAGCGTCCTTAAGAAATAATAAAGTTGATGCTGGAGGACAAGAGACGAATCGTCATATAGAAATTCTGATTATGCCTTCTTGAGAGGAGAAAACGTGCCAATGTTAATGTGCAATTTATTTCAAAATCTTAATCTAAATGAGGTCAGGAAAAAATCAAAACAATTTTTCTGTCACTCTCCGGAAGTCTTTTGAATTTTTAAACTTTGTAAGTGCCATTTCGTTTACTACCCCATTTAAGCGACTACGGATCCCTTACAGTTTCCAAGATTCCAATGGTGAGTGCCGAATTTGAATCGCCTTGTATATGCAGACTCTCACTAGAAGAAAGAAGTAAAAATACTAAGTACAAGGATTTAATAACGTCTTTGAATAACAAAGGGTGATATACACTAAAAAGCTAAAATGGCTATATATTTCACAGAGTTCCCAACATGGACAAAAGGAACTGAGACTTACAATAATACGTAGAAGTTAGGCTTAAATCGCGCAATTTCGCATTTCGCAACTGTAACAAAAATTTTCAAAAGATTAGTGATTACGAAAATCGTATTAATGATGGTTCTTGAAAGTTAGGTCCTCTATTGTTCGGATTTTTCATACTGTATTCATAATCTTCATTTTGCCATTACCGCGTCAATAAACTAACTGTTTCTTCTGTCACCTTCTCAATCGAAAATGCTTGTTGCTATTGAATTGTGGCACCGCTTTCTCTACAAAATTCAGGTTTTTGGGTTTCATTCTCTCCTCCAGTAGATCTTCAAGGTCTTCATCTTGTTGGTATATCGCTCAGTTTTTTTTACACCGAAGCAGCCGCGCAGGTAAAGCCTACATGCCAGGGCACCGCGGCTGCTTTGAGGAGCTTAAGGAGACTTTGTTATTCCTATTTTTGAACTGCCTAAATTTAGCAGAACTGGAAAAAGCTCCTAATGGAGATTGTTACAAGATCTCGACACCCTCGGGACAAAGGAGCGGTCTTATCGGCCAGTTCTGGCTGTACGAAGTTCGACACGGTTACGTTGGGAGGCCGAACATGGGCAGGTACATGGAGCGAGGGCTCTGAGGAGCAAAGCCCGTTGGCGCAGCTAGATCGACAACGGCCCGTCGGTGTGGAGGTGTCCCCAGACCGTTTATTAGAGAAGAGTAATCGATCATTAAATATCTTTTGCGAAGCAATTTTATGCCTCAAGATAGTATCGACACACTCTGATATCAGTATCTGTGACTGGTTGACTGGTGTCCTCTGATCGGTCAGAAGGTTCTGTACGAACAGCGGATTAGCTGTCGGCAAACAGTCAGAAGCTGTACGAACAGGTAACATCTCTCTGATTCTGATTTTGACAGTCACCGACAAGTTACTGACTAATGTACGTACAAACCATTTGTCTGTTTTGTCGCTGCGTCTTTTGTTAGATTTGGCCTGGATGAATCCGTCATTCTGTATTTCATCGTCGGTCGATGTTTGGTTTGTTCGTACAGTAGTCGGTAACTTGTCGGTGACTGTCAAAATCAAAATCAGAGAGATATTACCTGTTCGTACAGTTTCTGACTGTCGACAGCTAACCCGCTGTTTGTACAGAACCTTCTGACATATTAGA